TATCAATTTCGTGAAACAGCAGGTAATTAGTTTCCCTGCATTTCATAAGACAGTTATACCCTACAAATCTATACACATTTCCTACCATATTTCATTGGTCCCAAGGTTTTTATTCTCACCCCAATCCATCCTATGGGATAGGAAAAAACTAAACAATATGAGATATGGTAGGAATTGTGTATAGATTTGTAGTGTTAAATGATTTGACGATACAGAGCATTTGTTTGGTTCTTTCTCAGACGTGTATGCTCCTTATAAACTGTTTTTCTACAGTTTTATAAAGACAATTACAGCTCTAGTATGTTAAATCTTCATTTTAGATTAATGTATAACCATTTTCTCTCTCAGGGAGAACTCTCCTCCATGGGTACTACACCTGGTCGGACATCTTCAGACTTTGATAGTCGTGACATATATCCCGAGGAACTTGCAAGCAGCAAAGTGGATTCTAAAGCAGCCCCCCTTTACCAGAGATTGCTATCAGCTCTAATTTCAGAAGACTCGACCAATGTGAATGAAGATTTACAATTTGATGGATTTGGAGCCGACGTTGAGTCAGAATTCAGTGTTTTGAATCATATGGTGGAGTTCAATGGTTATAGGAGTGATAGACTGGACTTTGATGAGCTAGAAGATGACGTGTCTGTTATCCCGCTCAAGGGTGTTAATACTTCAGCCCACCATGTCAATGGAAGATTTTCAGATCATTTATCCATCGACTTCTCAGATATACAATATGAAACTTTGGGGATAGATGAGAAGATTTATATGGAAGCTCAATCTATTGGAATTTGCTTGGAACCTATGGTATATGCTCCAGGAATTCTGTTACTTCAGGATATGCTGCTTGCTGATGATATAGGATTTGGAATCGGATTGCTATAGTTCCCAGCGGATTGATGTGTTGCTGTTGTGTTTTCTTGCAGCCTAGTATTTCAAACGTGGAGGATGAAGGAATTGTTGATGACATCAAAACGTTAGAAGTTGCTATCTGTGAGGTGGTATGTTCTCTCATATGCTCTTGTCTTCTTTTTTCTAAAATAATATTACCCGGAAAATTATGATTTTTTGTCGCTTCTGTTGTAACTTGGCCATTTTTTATGTTATACTTGTTAAGGAAAAACCAACAACTGTATTCTCAAGATAGCTAACTTTTTGATGCTTTCTATCTTAAAATTCAAGGGTTCTAAGAAGAAAGAGATGTTGAATCGGCTACTAAAGCCTGCCCTAGAAATGAGAGAACGTCAGGAGAAGTATGAATTTTTCTTTCTTCTGTTTTTGCTTGCTCGCCTGTAATGATCAACACTGTGATCTGACGATTTTGTTCTGATATTTTTCCCTTACATAGGGAGTTTGAGTGGCTCGGTTATGAAAAACTCATTGAAATGGCATATGAAAAGAGCAAGGTAAATTCCTTTTCTTCTAAAGGGGTTCACATTGTTACCCTGTTGCTCCTTTGTCCGGTTTGCTTTTCTGATTTATTCCGAGTCCATGTTTTGATTATTATTTATGGATTATATTTTACAGGCAAGTCGGCGTCATCACTCCGCAAGTGGAAAGAGTTCGGCTAACAAAATATCAAAGCAGGCCGCATTTGCTTTTGTGAAAAGGACGCTTGAAAGATGTCGTCAATTCGAAGAGACAGGCAAAAGTTGCTTTAGTGAGTCCACATTCAAAAATATCATCATTGCTGGGTTGACACAAATTGAAGATAATTCCACAGACAAGGAAGATATTCTATCAGCTTCAAGTATGATATCGTTTTTGCCTTCCAGAACTGTGAATTATGTATTCGAGTCTACAAACTCTCTGTTAATTTGAATCTCTCTTTTTTCTCTGGCAGCACCTATGGGATCGCAACCAAGCTCATCACTGGTATTGCCAATGACGCAGAGCATGGAGAATCATGCCAATTCTTCTGAAAATACTTTACGGGAAGGCAAAGATGAAACAATGTGGTCAAATAGAATGAAGAAGAGAGAGTTGTTGCTTGATGATGTGGGTGGAGCACCACTTTCAAGCAGTACGAAAGGAAAGAGAAGTGAGAGGGACAGAGATGGAAAAGGACAGGCTTCTTCGTCAAGAGGCGGGGGAACTAACAAGATCGGTCGGCCTGCGCTTGTAAATGCCAAGGGTGAACGGAAATCAAAAACAAAACCGAGGCAGAAAACAACACCGATATTTTCTTCTTCTTCTTCAGTCAATATCGTGGAGCAAACCAGAACATCATTGGCCAAATCAACTAACAGCAACAACAGCGAGTATAGTAACTTGGAGACACTGGAAGAGTCAGAGCCTCTTGACCTATCTCACCTGCAGATACCAGACGGTTTAGGTGGTCCAGATGATTTTGATACACAAGCTGGAGATCTGAGCTCATGGTTGAACATCGATGACGATGCATTACCAGATACTGATGATCTCCTTGGACTTCAAATACCCATGGATGATCTTTCAGACTTAAACATGATGGTATAAGCTCCCTCTCTTTATTTCTGTATAGTCTCGTTTGTTATACTATTAGCGATGAAGAAAGATAAAGGTAAGGGGTAAAGAAAAAGTTTTGGTCCCCTGAAAGAGTAACCACCACTCCACCAGTCACCAGTATCGGTTATTCGGGTTGGCTAGAGCAAACTAGGCGATATAGATTCTGATTCTTTTTCTTCTTCATCATCATCTTTAGGGTTCCTTCTTTGTATTAGTTCGATTAAGCGGGTGTTTTTGTTTATTGGTAACTGGGTGTTGGCTTTTGGCTCCGGGTGATAAGATAGGTCCGGTAGTTAAAACTTCAGGTTGAGGAAAACGAGCGATAGTAATGTTGTGTAGTGATATATAGTTAAGTGGCAGGTCTTCTTCGTCTTTTTTTTTAATCCTCTGGCATTTTGTAGCTTTTTCATAACCTCAGAACAGTTATTATTGCCTCTGTACATACACATTTTATGTTCCTTAATAAAAAAAAATTCATGCTAACATTGTTGTCAATCACGCATATAGTATTTGTTTACATATCACCACAATTTTACTGAATTCATACAATTTATGATTTGAGTAACTTGGAGTTTGGATTAAACTCGAATTAAATTTAAAAGGACATTACTTTTAATATGAAACTAAAATAATGACTTGTATATTTGAATTTCACTCTAATTCGCCCCCCCCCCTCCCCTCTCTCACCGTGGAAGCAAAAAAGAAAAAGAAAAAGAAAAAGGACCAAAAAAATAACAATGACTTGTGAAAACATTTTATCTGAAAAATGTTATCATCTTTCTTTAGATATGAGAGTGAGAGTTGCGTTTATAGCGTTGCGGTTGGTTTTGGACACAGCTTGCTTTAACGTTACAGTTGGAGACGCTCTAACACTTCGTCGCTGCTGCTCAATGACAAGCTCACTCGCGAACCACTCTAGTTTCTCTGAATTGCTCATTTCACCGATCCTTTTGCTTCCGAACAAAACTGATTCCACGTTGTTTTGCTTCAACATCTCATCAGCTATCTCAGTCAGTTTCTTCACATTCTCTGCCCTTGGATCCGTGTCCACGTTCGGTCCACAAGCTCCTAACCGCGATCCGTTTGCCTGCTGCACCACAATATATTTTTCTAATGATTTTTTCATCCACAATGCAAATACCAAAAACACAACTAACAAAGAAGAAGAACATAGAACATAGTTTCCCACTTCATTCCCAAAAGCTGGTTTCTTAAAAAACGTTTAAAAATGAGATAAAAAAAGAAAAACCTGAATGCGAACGTAATTACTACTCCGGTAAGGCCCAAAGCCCATAGCAACAGCTTGATCAACAAACTCAGCAGACCCATCACCAGAGATCCTCGCCATCGGCCGAGCCCATTCTTTAACCCGCCAATTCTTAACCTGCTCATAATCATAGTTCACTTCAAAAAGCTGACCAGTCCCAAGCGACAACACCAACAAATCCTCCACTCCTTTCACCGCCGGGAACTCCTGTTTGTTGTGAAACACGTGCGTTATCGCCGCCGCCGTCGGATTACTCATCGCTAATCCACCTCCAACCGCAACGCACCGTGTTTTACCGTCAACAGAACACGTGCGAACCGGGTCAAACGTCCCCGGCTCCGCCCACGTGGCGCGGCAGATATCTCGGAGACGAAAATCGAAACTGTCGCTCTCGAGCGCGTCGGCGCGTGAGAATAGAAACGGCGCCGTGCTTGAGAGATCGTAGCAGGAGATGAGGATTGGTTTGAGTGTGTCTTTCAGAGTTAGATCTGCGAACGATGCTTTCATGGCTTTTTCTAGCTTTGCCGTTGCCGCGGTTACCGAAGATGATCCTGATCCTGATCCGGATCTCATGACCCGTTTAATCGCCGCCCCTGCTCCTCCTCCTCCGCTGCCTCCGCCTGATCTGTAGAAACCTTCGGCGTTGTCTACGAGGAATTTCCAAGTATCCTCCGCTTTGAAAATGGGGCGGTTACCGTCTCTTGTCGCGAACATCATCGCCGAGAATACTCCTCCGACTCCTGATCCGGCGGCGACGTCGAAGTAATCTGCGATCCGAGCGTTAGGATCGCCGGATTTCTCTTTCAGCATTTGCTCAAGATAGATTAGGGATTTTCCCGCCAAAAGACCTCTCATGCCGCCACCGTCAATACTCAACACGCAGATTCTTCCTCTCGGACTTCTGAACGACGAAGACGGTGTTCCAGGGAGAACGACGCCGTTTGGGGTCAACGGAGATCTCGGAGAAGGACCTGCCTCGGAATCACCGGGTCGTAATGGACTCCGAGGTATCCATAATAGCCTTGGGTCTTCGTAACCGAAGAGAAACCTGCTTTCGAGAATGGAGAAGATCTCGTAACTGAGCTTACCATCGGAATCGGTGATCGGTTCGTGCGATCGAGTCGTTGACAAGGTCGGACTGGTTTGAGTTTTCTCGTAATGGCCAGGAGTGTTGGGAGCTGTGTGGTTGACAAAATGCTTCTTCTTCCCCTTGGAGGAAACTGACAATGGCGGCGGCTTATCGTAACGCCGATTCATAATCGTTAAGGGAGAAGTTAGCTTTTACACAAACCTTGAAACTGAAGCTTCAACAATCTGATATGATAAGGTGGTTTTGGAAGAAAGACGTGTGCAAAAGATTTGTTTTTTTTTTTTAAAACTAAATTTTGATTTGGAGTTTTATGTGAAGCAGTGTGGTTATGTTAGCAATGAGATGGCTAAGCACTACTCGTGTGCTCCGAAAGGTCTCGTACCCACGTCCGACGCCGCCTCCAGCAATTTCAGCTCATTTCTTATTTTTCTTCTTTATTATTGAGTAAACATGTGTATTACTTTATTTCACTTGTTTAAACAAAAGCAGTTTTATTGGTTGGCGGCAGATATACCTAATTTATAAATCACATAAAGTATTCGACGAATGTTAGATTTCTGAGTACAATAATCTATATGACACTCAGTTCTCACATCGAACGTTTGCCACTAAATTCAAATAAACCAATGACGCTTTCTTTGAATATTAAGATCATTCTTCTATTTTCCCAAAACATTCCAATCTAAAGTATCACAAGATATGAATTCTAAGTGAATTTTTTTTTCAAAAACAATCTCATTTGATTATATATCTATAATCTTAAAATACATCGAATAAATATATCTATAAATATATAATAAGAGCATTTCTTTTCATTGGAAGTTAAACACAGGAAATCTCAGATGATAACAGGAACCAGATGGTGATACTCAGGACTGGTGATACTATGTCTGTCTCCCTGTAGTTTAAACGGAGAACGTACCGGACAGATTCCCAAGTGTTGCAAGGGGTGACCCTGCATCTGTGAAGTAGGACGCCAGATCGATCCCTGAGTAGTCGTATTTGTTCAAGAAAGGATGTTCCTGAAATGTTTTTGACACAGAGGATGATTCAACACTTGAATAGATTACAGAAAAATTTATGCAAAAGGGATTACTATAAAATAAACCATTAGTTCATTTTTGATCTAGAGGATGCTTCAACATTAGAAACGATGAAAAAGATGCAAAACAGATTTTCTAAAGAACAAACCATTAGTTCCTTAGCAGAGCTTCTACTGTTCGGATCCTTCTGCAAACTGTATAGAATATATTAAGTCAGTCAGTACTCAATCCCGGTAAAAGAGGTAGTCTTTTTTTTTTCTTTTGAGAAATTACCATGTGGAGATGAATGAAGATAACTCAGGGGAGAAACTTCCTGAAGGAAGTGCGGGTGGCGGTTGGTCAACAATGGCTTCCATCAACTCGAAAACACTGGTCCATGTTTCCTCTTGATTTGGAGGTGCATAAGGGAACTTTCCTGTTGCACATTCGAGCACTACTAGTCCCAAGCTCCATATATCACTTTTGTTACCATACTTGTTTCCAACAATTCTCTCTGGCTGTAAAAAGGAAACATTAAGATTCCTAATTTTCGCTAATGCTCGAAAGGTTTTCAAACTAGTCAACTCTCAACAGTAAACGAGATACTTACAGACATATAATTGTAAGTTCCCACAAATGTGTTTGCTAAACCTGCGGTGTTTGTCATAACGGTACTCACACCAAAGTCAGTTATTTTGACTTCTCCTCTGTGGTTGATCAACAAATTTGATGGTTTCAAGTCACGGTGGATAATATGCCTATCATGATGAAGATAGATCAGTCCTTGGAGCACCTGTATTAACAGATTCAAAAAATCACATCAATCAACGGATAGTCGGACACAAGAAAGTATGGTATCCAGTGTTTTCTGTGTTACTTACTTGTCTAAAGATGGCAGAAAGATATGACTCAGGGATGGCTTTAACTGATTTGAGAAAGTCTGCAAGAGATCCTCCATCCATGTACTCCAAAATTAGTGAGATTGCGCCATTGTCGTAAAATGATTGGTACGAGGTAACAAGATTTGGACATTGTGACGATTGATTTATTTTCAACTCCTGTGCAATTGCCTTGCGGATTGCTTCATCGATATTTAGTTGAATGACCTAATTATATAGCATAGGAGTCATGCAAGAAAGAGAACAATAAGGAATAAGATTCAGTTGAAAGTAAAAAATGCACAGTGAAAAGGCAAGGGAAACATAAAAGGAGAAACAGGTTCCCCTCCATAAGACATTAGAAATAAAAAACTGAAATATGAGAAAGCTGAAATCAACAGTGATAAACCCAAAATGAAAAGGAAAACATCACAGAAAAAGAAATCTGCACAAATATAGTTAGTAAGAAATGATTTTGCCTTTTAGTATTTCAGAAACAAAGCAGTTTTAGATAAAGAAAGATCATTTATTATATGGATCATATAGCATATACAATTAATGACAGTCCCAGAATTCTCCAAACCCAATAAAAAGAGAACAAATTAGCTCATCTTATACATTGAAACTGTAACCAATGAGTACCTTCAACGCAAAAAATTGGCCAGTCCATTTGTGTTGAACCAACTGAACAACACCACTGCTTCCTTTTCCAATGACTTTAACCATATCCAAATCCGACAAGCTCAGCTGATCATCAGCTGGCAGAATTGGAGACAGCTGAAAAACACAGTTGCAACAATAACAGATTACAAAAGTAATCAAGAAGACATCAGCACCTGATTCCTCTCTACCCAAAAATACATTAATGACTTTAAAAAGTTTCTAATTATGATCAGATCCATAAACCACATTACATTTCATGCATTCCACCTAGCCTAAAACTCAGCAAAATCTTCATTCACAGTTACCAAAACCTGACATACTTTGGAAATTCAGTAAAATCAGTACCTAGAAAAAGAGAAAGAGATGGAGACTTACAACTTCAGGCTCCAATTGAGAGATGATTCGAACTCCATCTTTGTTTACTCGCAGATCTCCATCCTTGAACGTACCGCTCTGCGTCCTACAGAGAGACCACAAAAAAACCTAAGTTCCCCTCCTCCACAAACACAAACACAAAACCAGAGACATTTCCGAACACAAAAACACATCTAAATCGATATCCATAGATCCATGGAGAAAGAGATAGAAATATACAGGAACTTGGTAATGGATTGCTCGCCAGCAACAGGAATCGAGAGCTTGAGATTATTGCTAAATCCACCTTTCTTCATCGTCTACTTCGTTCTTCGCTTCTTCCCTTTTGTTTTTTTCTCGACTGAGTCATTATATAATAATTAAAATACAGTTTTAAGCATAATCATCTACTTTTCAGCAATTAAAATTGGAAAATAAAACAGCCATTAATAAACTACTTTTAGTCAAGCACATGCTCACGACGTTGACCAAACGACTTTCCCATTTACTTGTTTTTCTCCGGTTTTCGTTGACCAAAAAGTTTAAATCCACATTTTAACCGGTTTTCTTTCGTGTTTTAAGCTCCGGTTTTCGGAAAATATATCTTACAAATATGAAATATGTTTACATACAGTATGTATAAATTCAGTTATACTTGTAAGTTACAAATAATCACAAGAGAAGTAAAAAAACTGTTTCGGATATAGTAATATATATCTATGAATTAACACCACTGTCATCTAACCAACAAGAACAAGCTGTTATTCAACATTGACCTATAGACATTCTTATATATATAGCTATAGAGGCTCAACAAAAGATTTCACTAAACATATGATGTTATCGCGAGGGAAGAGCTACAAGAGGCAATGATCACGAGGTTTATTCATATTTCCATCATGTTGAAGGAGAATTTCGAGAGCAGCTTTGGAATTTGCGATATGATCGGCCCATAAGTCTGCAATGCATTAATGTAAGTAACATCAATACATTATATATCGATGATGCATAACACGGGATTGAATACAATGCAAGAGAAAAGGGCAGCTTGATTGACTGATCCTATTAGTTTTACCAGGAAAAACACTTCATGGAAATGCAAGTCAGATACACATACCTTTTCATTTTCATGAAGTTGGCACAGCGGAACAGCGAGGAGTTTGAAGTTTTTTGGGACGACAAACTGTTGATGTACCGGTAATCTAACAAGAAAAAGCTTTGAGCATTCCTGAACAAAACATGATTTGATGAAGCAGACAGCAGAGCTTTGAGTATACATGCACAAATCTGCAAAAGTCTCAAATTTTATTACCATATGACTAACTAACCTTTGGATGTTTCACATTGGGCGGCAAGAAAGGATACATCAAAGTCTCAAAGTTGGGTCTCCACCACATGCCAAGGCATTCTCCTACCTAAAAATAATATTGTAATGTTAAAGAGACCATACTTAATCCGGAAACAGTCAGAAAAAACATTTAAAGATAAGCATCCATATATAGGGTAGTTAACTACCTCCAAACCAGGAACAACAACATTTTCATTAATCGAAAGCTTTGATCCTAGTTTCCGTTTAAGACCTTGGATATCTAGTATGTTGAAGAGAAACCTGATATTAGGATTGAGAATTGAAGACAGAGAATTTACGCATAAAGAGGTAAGGAAACAGTAAACTAAACCTGATTCTCCAGGTCTTAAACGACCACCTGGAAGCTTAAAGATGGAGTTTCTAAATTGAAGAAGCAAAACATGAGGATGCTTAAACAACTCAACCTGATGTGTCCCAAAAATAGTTATTAGTTAATCCTTTCCTTTCAAACCAGTTTTCTCAGTAAATTTTTCAAAATCCCTAATTTTCCTATCAACTGTAAATTTTACCAGAAGAACAGCTTCAACGCAAGTCCTCAATCCATGAGCAGCATAGCTTCAAAAGACAACAAAAGCAAGATAATTCTAGCTATAGATTAACACAAGAAACACCCAGATGATCAAAATCACACGAAAACGAGAGAAAAATTCTGTAAATTACTTCGATTTCAATCTGATGACTCGATCAGAGATAATCTCGTCCTTGACGCGAAGAGCGTCTCGTGAACCAAAGTAGTAGCTGCTAAGTGGGTATAAATCCACCATCACGTCATGATCGATATGGTTTCGTCTCGTCGTGTTCTCTTCGCTTGTCTCCATATCTAAAGCTCTAGCTTCCTCACCCATTTTTTCCCCCGGGAAAATCAAAGACAGAGAGCTAAAAGCGATCTCGAACGATGAAAATTAAATAACAGAGAGATTAAAAAGAGAGAAGAAGAAGCAAGAAGAGTGAAGAAGGTGTCATAGTCGGATCACTGCAACGTGGCAGCTCTGGAGAGCTCTTCTCCGCAAGACAGTGTTATTAGCTGACGCCGGCGGGAGAGTGACCGAGGAAGAAGAAAGTAATGGGCCTCTCTCTTACGATATTAATGGGCCTTTAAGAGACGACATGATGTTTTACGCATTGTATTGTTTTAAACTAGTAAAAACGACGAAACTTCCTATTTTCTAACTAGAAAACGAGAATTAGAGTCTCTGTTTCAAATTTGGGTGTTTTGCTTCTTCTTGTTCACTTGAGGAAAACACAGTAAAAGAAGAAAAACAAAAACCTAAAAAGAGGATGAAATTCGCAGGCCTGAAATCGATTGAGAACGCACATGAAGATTCCGTTTGGGCGGCGACTTGGGTTCCGGCGACGGAAGATCGACCGGCGTTGCTTCTGACTGGATCTCTAGATGAGACGGTGAAGTTATGGCGACCGGATGAGCTGGATCTTGTGCGGACTAATACTGGACACTCACTGGGAGTAGCAGCTGTGGCGGCGCATCCTTCTGGGATTATCGCAGCGTCTTCTTCGCTTGATAGCTTTGTACGCGTCTTCGATGTTGATACTAATGCTACTATTGCTGTTTTGGAAGCTCCTCCTTCTGAGGTTTGGGGAATGCAGTTTGAGCCTAAGGTAGTTGCCTTACTATGAATCCTTAGAACTCAATGATAAACCTCCAGTTTGGGTTTTGAAGGATTTGGGTTGTTTTGGGGTTAAGGAATTTGATTGCTTCATTGAATTTCACTTCTTAGCTGCTAGTAATGTTAATGCTTGGAGACTATATGGAATTGCTGAGAATCGTTTGAAGTTGTAGCTTTGATCAGATAGGGCTATCTACTATGCTGAAAAACAGATCTAGATCATCTTCAATTTTTCATAATCTTATGACCAGAGTAGTAGCTTAAGATAACTTATTGGTGGTTTGATGAAAAATCTTGATTTGGTATGGTTGTATACATGAATAGTACGTACACTAACGGTAAATCAAACTGGTGACGACTAGTGCAATCATCTCTTTCAATAACTCTTTCCGTTTACCTTTGCTGATTAGTGGCAAGTCATTTTCAAGCAAAGTATTGTAACTTATTGAGTTAAATAATCAGTTTCACGGTTAATTTGTAGTGGAGCTTTTATTTGCTTCCAAGCTGGTCTTATATGATTTCATCATCACCCTTCAGAATGATGCTTTTCTGCTAAGTGCTAACATAGTATTTTACATGTTCCAAGGGTACAATCCTTGCTGTTGCAGGTGGAAGTAGTGCTTCCGTCAAGCTTTGGGACACTGCAAGCTGGAGATTAATCTCAACTCTATCAATCCCACGCCCAGAAGCACCAAAACCTTCTGATAAAACCAGCAGCAAGAAATTCGTTCTCTCAGTGGCTTGGTCTCCTAATGGGAAACTCCTCGCTTGTGGTTCAATGGATGGCACAATCTGTGTCTTTGATGTTGACCGCTCAAAGCTTCTTCACCAGCTGGAAGGTCATAACATGCCTGTAAGGTCCCTTGTGTTCTCCCCTGTAGACCCGAGAATCCTCTTCTCTGGATCAGATGATGGGCATGTGAACATGCACGATGCAGAAGGCAAAACGCTGTTAGGGTCCATGTCGGGGCACACAAGCTGGGTGCTGAGTGTTGATGCTAGCCCAGACGGGGGAGCCATAGCAACTGGCTCGAGCGATAGAACTGTGAGGCTATGGGATCTTAAGATGAGAGCTGCAATTCAGACAATGAGCAACCACAATGACCAGGTTTGGTCTGTGGCATTTAGACCTCCAGGTGGAACCGGTGTCCGGGCTGGTCGACTCGCTAGTGTCTCTGACGACAAGAGTGTATCGCTCTATGATTACTCATGAACAATCTTATTCTTTCTTTTATGAATTCTCCAAGATGCATCTTTTTTTTTTTTTTTTTTTTTGTCATCCTCCAAGATGCATTAGTTTCCAAGGATTCTATGTAAAAACCAGTTGTATTAATGTAATTGCAACAGGTTTTTGTTGGTATAAGATTTTGATCGGAAACATTAGATGATAACTCGTTTACATAGAAAAGGTTCGAACTTTGCCTTAGAACTTATTGGAAAACTGATAAACATATAAAGAAAACAGAAAGGTGAGGGTTGAAGAGTACACAGACAAACGACTAAAAGTTTTTAGAAAAGACAAAACAGCTAAAGATTATGGTCTTTCTCTTATGACGTAAGTGTATTACTTCCTAAGTAACCCTTGAGAACATCCATGACAGCTCCGAAATCTGCTTTCACTTCAACAGGAGGATTGGAGAATCTGCAAGCCATGTCAGGGATGGCATTGGAGTGATAATCTATCTTAGACTGAGTAAATTTCAACCCATGAGCAGTACTCACAACCACGGTTCGATCAGTCGGTGCAATCACTCCTTGGTTCCTCAGCTTAAACAAAGCGGTAAGAGCTACACCTGTATGTGGACAGATAAACATTCCAGTTGAATCCGCTTGAGCCATTGCGTCCATCAGCTCCTCCTCTGTGGCTTCTTCTACAATTCCGTTGCACTTCTTGAGAGCGTACACAGCTCTATCAATAGAGACAGGGTCACCGATCTGAATGGCAGAGGCGAAGGTGGTACTTGCAGTCATGGGCTTGAAATCCTTCCAACCAGACTTGTAATGCAAGTAAAGAGGATTAGCATTTGCAGCTTGTGCACAGACCATCCTTGGGATCCTATCGACAAGTCCCAGTTCTTGACACATCTTGAATCCTTTGTAAAAGGCGTAAATGTTTCCTAGATTACCTCCAGGAACAATCACCCAGTCAGGAACTTGCCAGTCAAACTGCTGCAGAATCTCAATAGCTGCAGTTTTCTGCCCTTCTAACCTCAAACTATTCAACGAATTGGCCAAATAAATCGGCAGTTCGGCTGTTATCTCTCTAATCAGCTTCATACACCCATCAAAATCAGTGTCAATACTCAAAACAAACGCACCATTAGCTATCGGCTGGACCAGCTGAGCCATTGAGATCTTGTTCGCCGGTAAGAAAACAATCGATGGGATTCCAGCGGAAGCACAGTAGGCAGATAGAGCCGCAGAAGTATCCCCAGTGGAGGCACATCCAACACCAACCACAGGTCGCTTCATCTTTCTCAGGCGATTAACTTGACTAACCAAAACAGTCATTCCAAGATCCTTGAAACTTCCGGTATGACTAATACCACAGTGTTTCACCCACAGATCGTTCATCCCTAGAAACTGTTTACCAAACCTCTCCGCCCAGAACAGATTTGAGTTTCCTTCAAAGGCCGAAACGATGTCGTCGTCATCGATCTCAGGAAGAACCCACTCTTTCTTCGACCATACACCCGATCCAAACGGCCAAGTGCTTTTACCAACACGGGAGTCGAAGAGATCTCTCCAATAAGCGCCATCGAATCGCTTCAAAGCCTCCATATCGTGCTCGACATCAAGCAAACCACCGGAGCGGCTACGGTACACGATCTCGTCGAGGGAGTAAGACTCGGTTGATCCAGGAGCCGCATTAAACGGAACGTATTTAGCTGAAAATGGATTAACGGCGGTGGAACGGTTGCGACGAGCCTCATCTCGAATGTTGTCTTCGGTACGGTGAGGCTTGACGACTGTTTCGATCGGGGATTTGCTGCTGGTTCCATCGGCGGTACAGGAGACAACGACGGGGCGGTAGCGGAGAAAGGAGGCAGAGCGGTGGTGGTGGTGATGGCGGCGGATGGGGTCTTGTTTAGGGTTTAAGGAAGATACAGAGGCATTGAAGAGACAAGAGGGAGCCATTTTTTTATTTTTTGAAGAGATAGAGAGAAGTGAGATGCGGCTGAGGATTTTGAGGAGCCACGAGAGAGACAGAAGGAGAGCAAAACAAAGTTCAGATTAATTGGATTATATTAAACTAAACCGGTAATGATTTAGAACCGGATATTCGGTTTAAACTTTTAGGTCTATTTATATAAAAAAGAAAACTATATGTGACGTAGAGATCTTTTGGGCCCAAAAATATCTTAATGACTTAATCCCTTTCCGTATATAGCAATCGCTACTTTATATTTTGTCACGTTTGCTTTTTTAGCAGGCTAATTAACAAAACATTTATATGGTAGATACATGTTTGACTACAAAAAGAAACGGTAGTGGTGTTACATTTGACCCAAAGAGAAACAATAAAGTGGAAGATACTGTATAATATATTCTCACCAGAATCACGTTTCTGAAATAACACTTATCATTGATTTTAGATTGAAACTCTCTAGTCTCTTCTGGTTGTAGACGACAAAAACAGCATTAAAGACTCGGATTAAACCTTTTCACCGTGGTCAAAATCATAGTTACAAAGTGAAAATACACAATAGTCCATTTTATGATGAAGAACTTTAGAGCTGAAACCAAAGCTAACCTCTGTAATCACTAAAATACTGCATCCACGGAAATTCACAAGTTACATCTTATTTCACCTATCTCAACATGTAGTTGGTTCCAATTGAAAAATCCTTTAGAAACAAAATTACTCTCTGAAACGGGTGTATATATTTATATATAGATATGTATATAGTAAATATGACTAACTGTCACAGACACAAATTTATTTAATAAGAGGAACGAGAAAGCAAGAAAGGACTCGACTCAACTCAACTCAACTCCTATTAAAAAACTACACGAGAGAAAACAAGTCAATCATTGCTTAGAGCAAAAGAACATCTCTATACATTGAGTAGGAGAGAGATTCAAAAGGGGACACCTAAACGGGTGGTATGTTTGAGAAGGAGAATCCTTTGTATCCTTTGTAAGCGTAATACGCTATCCGCGTATAATAAAACCCTGGGATGAATAGAAGACACCCGAGGACGATGAAGAAAATCCCTGGTTTCACCATCAAAAGAATCAAACAGAGAATAGATGATCATTACCTTAGCTCATGCCCAAATCACACACGAAAAACTAAGCATGATATATCATTGATGAGAATGATGTAATTCTCGCGATACAGGCTAGTTCTGACAATCTAGTTCTGACAATACAGATAGAAGGGCAAATCAAACGAAGTCAAGTTAAGTATGATGCAGATACTATGCTACTTTTCACATTGCATTGGTAATGTGTGAAATGCACTAATCAGTTACAACCACTCAGTGGATGAAGAGCAGACTCACTAGTTTTGAAGAAAATCTCATGTCTATGTTACAAGCAGACTTCATTGATTATAAGTACCTTCTAATATTCAAGATGAGAAAAGCTTAGAATCAACATAAACGAGTTAGCCCAGAAGTTCACTAAACAGTACATATTCTAAGAATGAAATCAAATGCCTTTGGAAAGACTCTATTAAGTGTTGTTGTGTCTATTCATCCAAATCCCCAGAAAACAGAGGTCAAAAGGCCAAACTGAAACGAAATTACACACCATTGTAGCTAACAAAAGCACTTGCAATCTATATTTATCAGCTTAATCACCTAAATTTATATAACTTTATCAAATCTAGATATTTCCTAAAACAAATTAAGCTGAAAAATCAAACTATTGCTTTCTAAATCTCTCTCAAACTAACATTAATAAGCCCACCAGAATCTCGCAAATTTCCATTTCTACACCTACACTGGATCAATTAAGCTTAAGGAAACACAAGAATGACGAAACCAATGGAGAATCAGTGATTCAGTAAGAATGATAAGAAATCGCACCGTGGCCTCGATCACCGCCAACTCGATTATACGCCATGAAGAAGCCGGAGATAATCCCTAGGGTTCCGAAGACTAGTAGAGCCACCGCCAGTGCGATCTCCTTAACCGGCGGCCGGTTATTGACGGTGTATGAACTCTCAATCATAATGTCCTCGTCCGTTATAGAGAACGCATGGTCGACGTACGCCATTTACACTGCTCCGGGAACAAGATCAAATGGATCGATCTATAAGAGAGTAGAATGACGATTTGAATCGGATTCTATTGCGTGAATTGCAGAAAATCCAGAGCTCGAGAAAAAACGAAATCGTACTGTTTGTTTTGCTTTAGGTCTTCAGATGGCTAATGAGTCTCTCTTGCGACGGTGACGGGATTAGTTTGGTGCAATTTTTTTGATCTGTCGTGAAATCTACTCAACGTACGGTGCACTGCCGGATCTTTATTATCTAGATGCCCAACTACGCCTTGTTTTTTTTTTTCCTAATAAAACGGCAGAGCGTGCGGTTTTTTAACAAATCAAAATAACCAAAATAAACCGAAACAAACCAGAATATACTACTCTATTGTATGTTCTGTTCTCTTGATGATATGACATTATATATACAGAGTCGAGAGATTCAAGTCGAGAAACCAAACCAAACAACAGAGATCAAATAGATTTGTGGGGAGGATAGAGTTTCCAGAGAGCAACAGTTGCATCCTCAGATGCAGACGCCAGTAGCTCACAGTCTGGAGAGTAGGATACAGCATTGCACTGCAAACAAACACATGGAAGCATCAGATACTAACATTCAGAATGTCTCACAACTGTTAACAAGAGAGTAATATACAAAGTCTTAGACATACCATTGCTCCGTGGTACTTTAGTATAGCTAGAGCATTTCCTTTGCGGTAATTATAAACCCTTACTCTGTTTCCAAATAAGTAACAAACAGGAGAAGAGCTTTTAGTCCTTGTCAAAACTTGTTGAAAGATCGATGGAAAGCGGAGAAACGAAAAGAACGATTTCATATGCATCTAACATTTTTTCTTACATTTATCGTTAAGTGTGAAAGAAAAGTGAGTTTAAGAGCAAACTTATAACCACAATATGAACAGAACATTTGAGAAAATCAAATCTATACTTTCAATCTTAACTTGGGAAAACTTGAAACAGATCGTCAAACTGAGTTTAGAACTGAAGAGGCCAAATCTTGATAAAAACGACTGAGTTTTTCCAATATTGATAAGAACAACGTCCAACCTGTGGTCCCAACCAGCCGTGGCTGCAATTTTCCCATCCGGTCGGATTGAGGTCCCCGATACACCAGGCCTTTCCAAAGTAATCTCTTTCCTCATTGAACAAGAACCCTAATAAAATATACAAAATTCATGAAATCAGCATCAGACTATAGCTTTATGGCGATCACACAAACCCTCCTTGCTAGATGTCAAACTTACAGTTGAATGGTTGAGATTATACATCACAATTTTGTCATCTGCCCCTCCTGAGATGCCTCCATCACATGATGATGCAACACTAAGACTTAAAACTGTGTAAAGAAAGACAAAATGAGTAATGTGAAAATTGCAAAACGCCGTACAAAATATAAGAAAAATCTGAATACATACTACAGAGGATGGGAACAAGACCTGGCTCTGAATGAAACTTCACACTTGTTAAAGGAATCTTAGCATTGCGTATATCCCAAAGCAATATCGAACCATCCTCATAACTGCCATTTTGAAATGAATCACCCGTTATAAAAACAGCTTGGAGATTTGTCTTTCTTGACAACAGCTCAAGGAAGAGAGTATACCCAGCTAAGACATGTAAGAAACCCTGTGATTCAGGAGGGCAAAACAGTTGAACAGCCATACACATTCCTGCAGATTACCAAATTTACGACCTTGATGAGATTATCTTAAGCACTGTCCAAAGGTGAACTGAAGAAGGCATTCTAGTTTGATGAAATGATGGAACTTTTTTTTTTTTTTTTAGCAAGAAATGTACATATGAAAGATCTCAGAGAATGAACAGCATAATCTTTTACCTCTTGCTTTGGTAGAAGCATTGGGGAATTCGTCAGGACTGGCTTGAGGAAGCTGTGTCACCTTGACTCTGTTATTGAGATCCCATATCTCTACCTTTACAGATGAAACAAATCAGAAGAATGGAAACAGGAAACTGAAAACCAAAAACTAAGAAGAAGAAACAAAAAATATATATGGATTTCTAGTCACCTCAGTAGGTTGCTTCCCTGCTACTGCTACATAAGTGATACCTTCAGCATGATCTCCATCTGTTATTGTCAAATTCTTAGTAAATCTTAAGGTATGAAACAATACGAAGATGAACCCTTTGTTTTTTTTTAAAGAGAAACATTCTTCAAATTCATGGAGATCAACTCATGAATATGATCTAACTTATAAAATCGTAATATGAAGGGTGTCAGTTAATTCTGAAGCCAATGATTGTAGACAACGTAAGTAAAACATACCCTGAAGCAAACCAGAACCTTCCACAGATCCTTCACTATCATCTGCACATTGAACATTGCATGTGTCTCCAGCATCCTGCTCATCAAAATTTTCGGAGTGACCTTCAGCTTCCTTAAGAGATGTCTTAGGCTTCTTAACAAGGGAGAACTTGCAAAAATGATAGGCGCTTGTCTCAAGTATTAGTAATGGGTCTCTGCCAAGCATGTCAAGAGAAAGATTAGTTCTAGTTTGTTAACAACAAACACATAAACAGTTGAACAGGGAAAGAATCATATCCACCTTGATAGACCACCATCTTCAATATCCCAACATTTGACAGTTCCATCTCTCCCTTGACTATAATCGTAACAGTTAAGTGGTTTCAGGTTTTCCGGAAATAGATTGATTATAAAAGCACTATTGCTTACATTTACCTGATAATCTTGTTCTCTCCTAACCAAGGACTAGCTGCTACAGCTAAAACCCCATTTGCTCTACTATGCGCCCTACAAATCCGAAACAGAACAATGAGCTACAATAGGATAGTTTATTTATGACAAAGCAATGAATTAAAAATCAAAATCACAAACCAAGCAGAAGAAACTGCACGATGCTGAATGGTATCCCAAATCCTCAGCTCTCCATCAGCTGAACTGGAGAAAGAAAGCTTCAATTTTGCACCAAATCATCAAAATAAAAAACAGCACATGACTCGAAAATTGAGCACAAGTGGGAGAAGACTAATATACCCAGTGAAAAGCAGAGATTTTGATGGATGGAACGAAACGTCCATTACCGAGTGACGATGCCCTCTAAGCACAGCCACCGGATCAGGCGGTGGTCTCTTGCTCATCTCCGACGTAGCCTTCTACACAAAACCAAATTCTTGTAAAGTTGTAATAGAGGAACCAACACACAGCTTAATCGAATCCAAGTCTCAGACTTTGACAATAGCAACACCGAGAAAGAGAGCCTTTACCCGTGTCGCTTAAAATTAAAAACTTTGTTCTCTTGAAAACGGCACAACGTGCTAACTTACTTTTATGAAACGGAAAACAAATTAATATCCGCTTGACGGATAACAATATCCAAGTTTCCAAATAAACCAACTCTCAAGTATTTCATCTCACTTTCATCATAACAAGAGAGCGAAGAGCTGATTCTGAAGGATCCGATTAAAATGGCTCCGAGATCCGATTTACAAAACCTAGCCACCGGCTCCGGCGCCGGATCCGCCACATCTGATGATTCCTCAATCGATCCGATCTTCCACATTCTCCGTATCATTCCTTTCTCCTTCCTCCGACCACCACGTCTTCGTCTCAAGCTCCCTTCCTTCACACTCCCATCGCCGATGACTGTATTCTCACTGATTCTCCTCACTTACTTCCTCGTCGTCTCTGGCTTCGTCTACGACGTGATTGTCGAGCCTCCAGGTATCGGATCAACCCAGGATCCCGTCACCGGTTCAGTACGCCCCGTTGTGTTCATGTCGGGTCGGGTTAATGGTCAATACATCATTGAAGGTCTATCTTCGGGATTCATGTTCGTGCTTGGTGGGATTGGGATCATAATGTTGGATCTGGCATTGGATAAGAATCGAGCTAAGAGTGTTAAAGCATCATATGCTACTGCTGGGATCTCATCTATTGTGATCGCTTATGTTATGAGTATGCTCTTCATTCGCATTAAGATCCCTGGCTATCTCCATTAGAGTTTTAGATTGCTTTCACTTTCTTATGTAGTTGGATCATTGAAAAAAGTGACCTTTTTGTGTGTGTTTTTAAGCTAATGTGCTTCTTGTTTGATAATGAGAATTCTAGCTATGAATGTTAGTAATCTGCAGCATTGCTTTGATTTCTCAATCTCATTGTTGAAGAAGATACTGAAAAAATGTTCAGTAGCTCTATACTCCCCGTTATATGACAACACAACCAATAAAGTAGAGAATTTTGAAGTTGGGTTTGTTTGCTTCAGGTGTTGAATAAGGATTGTCGAGGCTTGCAATATCGCAGCTTCGGAAAACTCTGTTTCTTGTGTGAAAAGCTCTTCTTTTTATTTTTTTGGTGTAAACTTTGATGCATGTTTCTCTTATACAACAGACTAAAGATTATGTGATCGTGGAAGCCTTACATATGTATCTGTCAAAAAATTACTAGGAATGAGTTGTCCTGAAACTGGTGGTGTTTTGTTTCTCTTACCAGCATAGATCTTGAACTTCCCCAAAGCTAAAAGTCTCAAAATACGATGAAGGCATGAATGAATAGAAATGGATGGAAAGAGTGAAAGACTTATTTATAAAATTACTTTTTGAGGTCAAAACTGTTTTTTATAATCTTAATTACATGATTTACAATAAGTTATTGAATCTGAATGCTGCGTATATATACATACTCTTTATATATTTAGTGATGAATTAAATAAAATGGTTGAAAGATAGCAAAATTGTGGTTCTGTCTGCATTATTCTTATCTGCTGAAATAGGTTCTTGGGGAAAAGAGACGTCGAGGTGAGCACATCACAGGAAACTTGGTCGAAGCTAAGATATCGATGGGACGGTACTCAGGCATGATGAGGCCTTCTCTCTCTTCCCTGGTCCAAGCCCTTGATCTGCCATTAAATGTTCCATACTTGACCAATTTGCGGAATCCCCATGTCTTCTTCTTTGCTGCGATGTTCACCAATTTACCATTCATCTTCTGGCTCAGATACTCTCTCACCGCCTGCAAGCTCTGCTCAACAACCTCAACGGGTGGGGACACGAGCGGGTTTCCCTCTGCACTCAGCTTCCTCAGCCGCCTCATGCATCCAATGGACTCAGGCAACACTGTTATCTTGTTGTAGCTGATATCCAGCTCGAGGAGGTTCAGGAGAAGACCAATAGAAGATGGAAGAACAGAAAGATACTGGAAGTTCTGACTTACATTGAGGATCTCGAGGTTGATGAGGTTCTCGAGGTCCTCAGGGAGGATCATAAGGCAATTAAGACGAGCATCAAGGACACGCAGGGAAGTGAGGTAGGTGATGGAATTTGGTAGGCTAATGAGCTTGTTTGAGTTGACACAGAGCTTCCTCAGATTGGTTAGTTCTAACCCTATGTTGTCTGGTAATCTAGTTAGCTCGTTGAAGTTGGCGTTTAGCTCTTCAAGTGACCTAAGAAAGAAAACAGAGGAATCAATCATCGTATATAATTGGTTTTGTTCAGATTTGAGTCTTTTTTGTGAATGTTTGATGTGTGAACCTGCAATTTTGAATAGTTTTGGGGAGGGAAACAAGAAAGTTTCCAGAGACATTAAGTATCTTGAGCTTAGAGAGACAACCAATGGAGTTTGGAAGAGCTTTGATCTGGTTAGAGTGAATATCTAATGCTATCAAGTTGAGTAATCTCGCTGTTAGAGATTCTGGTATTTTCTGTTATCATGCAAAGACAAACCCAAAAAGAACATTAGAAACATATAGTTATCTGTATATATAGAAACACATGCGATGTCAATTAGTATCTATAGATATTAACCTTGATATGATTGTTGGAGAGATCAAGCTTGCATATATTTGCCAAATTGAGGGAAGGATTTGGGAGAGACTGTAACGCCATGCCACTCAAATTCACAACCTCTAGTCTCTCTTCCTCGTCGTTGTTGTGTGATGGTGACTTAGGTGATGAGGATGGAGAAATGGTTGATGATGTACTCAAGTCCATCATCATCATTGTCATCATATGATCCTTCTGTCCATGTAATTGCTGATACTGATATGCATCTTCGCATATCATGGTATATAAATGTGTTTTGTATATATGAGTTTATGGAGGAAGAAGATGACAATGGTGAAATGATGTGGAAATGAGTGATTCTTTCTTCTGCTTGTAATGGCAACACATATATGTAGAAGACAAAAGGACATGTATGGATGATAGAACGTTAGTGGAAAATTTAAGGAAATGAAGATTTTTCGGAAAATTTTGATTTGTAATTAAGGAAATAAAAGGTGATTAGCTGATTAAGGAGAGAGAGTCACGCGTCGCCAAGTTTTTCTTAAACACTTCGATCATTAAAATCTTTTTTTTTTTTGTCGAGGGATCCCAGTCCCATTCGTATCTTCCAACAACAGCGGAACAAACTCCGCTGGACAACCATCAAAAGATAAAAAACCAAGCGGTAAAGAAAAAGCATAGTTGGCTAACCCATCTGCTAAACGATTAGCTTCCCTATAAACGTGAGTAACCCGGACTAACCAGTCCCGCGAAATAAAGCCATGGCACAACCGTACCAGGAACGCCAGTGGATGAGCCTCACTCACCCCCGACTTAAGAAAACCCACTACTAACAAAGAATCAATCTCCAACTCCACCCGTCGAAATCCATTCTCCCAAGCCTGCACCAACCCATAGTACGCACCCCATAATTCTGCTAAGGGAGCCTCACAAACACCAATATGTAACGAAAAACCGACCACCCAATTTCCAAACTCATCCCGAATTACACCCCCGGCCGCTGCTTTCCCCGGGTTCCCCTGCGAGGCACCATCCGTGTTCACCTTGACCCATCCATCCCTCGGTTTTGTCCAAGCAATTAGCCGTTCGACTCTCATGTCTGAGCTCGACTCCTCCGTAGCCTGTCCAAAAGCTTTAGATACCTCCGTCGCCTTATTCTTAAGAAATTTGAGCCGATCCCGACATAACCCTCGCTCACCAAAAACATCATTGCATCTCCATTTCCAACTCCACCATACCGAAATAGCAAATAAAGTGGGCCAATTCTCCCTCCCGGCGGCAGCCTTCGAACCCAAGTTGTCGTATATCCACTCCAGCAGTGACTTGTTGAAGAAGGCACTTCGTTCTCTACTCGGAACAAGGCGATACCAGATTCCAGCCATGGCCGGACAATCCCTTAATACGTGTAAGATCGTTTCTGCTGCTCCCGCGCATACGTGACACAAATCCGACTCCCCCATATGTCGTCTCTTTCGTTCAACGGCCGTCAGTATCACTCGGTTAGTGACTAGCCAGAGAAAGATCCGAATTCTCTCTGGCACATGTACTTTCCAAACTCTTTCGAAAAAGCGAGCCATACAAGGTCGCACCTCCTCCGTATCTGTCAATAACGAATAAGCCGATTTCACTGTGAACTTCCCATTCTCGGTCCCCTTCCAAGACAAACTATCCTCCATCCCTGGTATACCCTTGATAACCACAGCATAAAGACGTTGCCTTATATTCTCTGGGAGAAAACACCTGATTCGCTCCATATCCCAGCCCAACCCGGAAAGCCAATAATCCTCGACACTCCTATACAACTCGTCCGCCGGAACTGGTGTAGTAGACCAACACCATAACGGCTTATCCATCAACCACCGATCCATCCAGAAGCGTATCGACCGACCATTCCCCGGAACCCATCCAATTCCAAGTGAGACTACTTCTCTCAATCCTACTCCCACACTCCTCCAAGTTGACGACTAAGTCCCTTTTGGCATGAGCCAAGACTGTTCATGCACCGTACCCACCTTGTACTTGTTTCTTAGGATCTGTGCCCAAAGGCTCTCCTTATCATGTAGCAATCTCCACCCCACCTTGGCTAGAAGTGATTTGTTCATATGTCCCGCCATTCTTAAACCAAGACCACCTTCCTGTTTCGGTCTACACACCTTCTCCCAAGATAACAAATGTATCTTCTTTTTCTCCGGCGTATCACCCCACAAAAACGCCCGTGATAACTTATCCAAACTAGCTAGAGTAGTAGCGGGTAATAGTATAGTACTCATCGTATGTACCGGGATTGAAGCCAACACTTATCGTGTAAGCGTTAACCGCCCTGCCAAACTTAACATACGTCCCTTCCAACCTGCTAACCGCGATGAAACCCTTCCCAAGACTTCTCCAAAGGTTTCCTTATTGATTCTCTTTTGTAGAATTGGCATACCCAAGTACTTTCCCAACTCTCTTGTTGCCCCAATCCCACTTGCATCACTAATTAACCTCACCATATCCTTGCCAACATTTGAGGAGAAGAAGATTTTGGATTTCTCCATGCTAACCTTCTGCCCAGAGGCCACACAGAACTTCTCAAGAATACTTCGAATCACTTGTACTTGTGCCACCGAGGCTTCGGCGAACAAAATGATATCATTAGCGAAACAAACATGCGATAACCGAGGTCCATTCTGAGAAATCTTAATCGATTTCCACTCCCCTTGGCTGACCGCTCTAACAATGAGTTGGCATAATCTCTCAAGGCATAGAACAAATAAGTAGGGGGAGAGGGGATCCCCTTGTCTTAGACCCCTAGAAGGCGTAAACGCTTCTGTCTTCTCCCCATTGAGCAACAAACTCATCGAGGGATGCTTCACACATTCCATAATCCGCTGCGACCATTGATTAGAGAACCCAGCTACTCCCAACGTTTCCTCGAGAAAATCCCAACGTATACGATCATAGGCCTTTTCAAGATCCAATTTCAATAGCATCCAACCCTTACGTCCTTTCTTACGTTGCATGGAGTGCACTGCCTCTTTAACTACAACAATATTGTCAATACTTAATCTCCCCGGGATGAAGCTTGATTGTGCTGGCCCTATCAGCTTCGAGATCACACTCTTCATTCGCATAACCATCATTTTCGTAATGATCTTAAACAGCACATTACACAAACTCACAGGTCGAAATTGATTAATCCTCTCCGGCTTCTCTACCTTTGGCAGCAAAACAATAAGTGCATCGTTCGCCTCCGCGGGTAAAACACCCGTCTCAAAAAACTGAAGTACATACCGTACTACCTAGTCCCCAACAGTGTCCCAACATTGGTGATAAAAAACCGGTTGAAAACCATCTGGCCCAGGCGCCTTGAATTTCCCCATACTCCGTACCGCATCAACCACTTCATCCGCCGAGAACGATTTTGATAAAGCCGCCAGCTCCGCCACTGACATAGCCGTAAAACTACTAGCTGGTAACTGAGCTCTAACTGGGCTAATATCCTCCATCGAATACAAGCGTTTGTAATAATCCACAGCCAGATTCTCTAACTCCGTCTTATCCGACACCCATCGACCCTCATCATCCCTTAGCATATCGATACGGTTTCTCCGACGCCTTATGATCGTCGTAGTATGGAAAAATCGAGTATTCCTATCCCCGAGCGTAATAAACTTTTCCCTCGACTTTTGAAACCAAATCATCTCTTCTTTTTCCAAAACTCTATCAAACTCGCTTAATAGATTCGCCTCCCTCTCCAATAATCCATCCGTCTGACTCACATTTAAAGCATCTCGTACGACCTTAATCTCTCCAAGTAGCTTCTCCTTACGGGTGTGAACATTCCCGAAAACTTCTTTGTTCCACTTCCGTAGCGTTCGTTGTAACTCCTTAAGAGCTTCAGACGTCGATATATTAGGGTTCCAGGAAACCGCAAGCAATTCCTTAAAGCCCTCATGACTCAGCCAAGCAGCTTCGAAACGAAAAGGACGACGTCTTGGATCATTTGCAATCGTAGGGCATAATTGCAAGTATACCGGCGTATGATCTGACGACAAGAAGGGTAAGTGAGTAACAGTAGCCTCTTGCCATCTCAATCTCGTCCTTGCACAACATAGTACTCTATCAAGCCGCTTAGCTATGAATGTACTCTCCATTCGTCCCCTCCGCCAGGTAAATTGCCCTCCTTTAAAACCCATATCAATTAAAGAGAGTTCATTAATCCATTCGCCAAACGCAAGAGAATCCGGCGATAAACGACCATTTCCTCCTGTGCGTTCATCCAGTCTTACAATGGAGGTAAAATCACCTCCAATAACCACTGGTTCCTCAAGCCCTTGAAGAATCTCTGTGAGTTCCCTCCAAAGTCCACTCCTTCGGCTCACTGTGGGGGCCGCATACACCGCCACAAGATTAACACACTCCTCCGCATTCCCCACTCTTGCGAGAATAAACTGGTTCGAAGACGCAACAACCTCTACCTGTCCCACCTTCGACCTCCACAATAACCAAATCCCACCACTCTGACCCGTAGCATCGACACGAAAGGAATGATCAAATCCTAACCTTTGACATATCCGACCAGCTCGTTCTCCCTCAGCATGCGTTTCAAACAAAGCTAAGACGTCCGTGTCAAACTTCTTTAATAAGTAACGCAAAGATCTTCGAAAATTGGGTTTATTCGCCCCCCGGCAATTCCAAAAAAGACAATTCATGAGAATGCTCTTTAAAACAAGCAGAAATGCCGGGGCAACCCGTCAAGCATCTGTCGTAGCGCCATTGAGCGCTAAAATACTTTCCGGTTCACCCATCTCAAGGTTCACCACGTCCTGAGCCACCTCACTCGCTCCATCACCTCGTTGTGCCAAACCGGGCCACTGCCTTTGCACTGGTTCAGTAACCACATCCACAGTCGAAAAAGAACCACCCGCACGGCCGATATTGACATCCTCTGTTCGGAGTCGTTTCCCTGAGCTCGACATGTCCCTCCCCGACTGGACCGGTCCAAAAATTAACCCCCTCGTGGGTTTATTTCCTTTTGGGCCTTTAGTACTCGGCCCAATATTCTTTCCCCCTCGCAACCCGTTTTTCTTCTTGGACTCTCCTCCTCCTTGTACACGTAATCCTTTCACCGAATAGGGAGTTTCCTTAACTTGGAACACACGTAAAGTACGTGGAATATTCCCATCTCCTTCATTCTCCTTATTCTCCTCTCTAGTTCCCATATCCTCTCTTATTCCATTCTCCACCAAATCCGCAGTTAACTCACTAAAACGATTAGAAATGGCAAGATTCCCGGAATCCGTAATATCTCCCAGCGATCCTACATTCCTTTCCTTGCTCTGCCTCAGCACCCCATCACCAACTACCACCGCCGGCTCATTTGCCACCGGTCGCCAACCTGACCTCCGCGCCACTGTGAATCCATCCCTACCTTGACTCCCTCCCTGTCCTCCTAACCCCATGGAATCGTCCCCCTCTCGGGGTGAGTCCCTCGATGCTGGTGGGTTCATTTGAGTTCCCTCCCTACCAACCTCAGCTCTCGTTCGAGCGCATGAATGGACCAAGTGGCCATACATCCCACATCCAGAACATATATTGGTTAAACCTTCATACGACACATAGTATCGCTCCTCATTAACCAAAACTGTTCCTTTCAAAGGTTGTGACAAATTCACCTCCACACAAACCCGTGCGAAACGAGCTCTATCAAACTTTAACGTTTGCATGTCTACTCGAAGTGGTTTCCCCAGACCTTCCGCTATAATCATCAGAATAGAGCTATGATACAAGTTCATAGGAATATTCGATAGCCGGATCCAAACCGGTGTTGTGACAATATCGTTACGTAGCGGATCAAAATCCGGTGACCAAGCTTGTACCATCAAGTAGCTTCCGAACATCTTCCACGGTCCACCGGTTAAAGCCGCCATGTACTCCTCTTCCAACTCAAAACGAACCACAAAAAATTGGCGCGGCAAATCCGTCACCACCATCGCACCTTGTGGTCGCCACATCTCTTTTAACTTACGACTCATCACGGCGATTGACATGCTCCTTCCCAACACTTTCACTATCATGCACTTCTTCCATAGCCCATTCATAGCCTCCATCACTTCTCGCCCCACCGTAATCACCGGCTCCCCGTTAACCCCATCCGGAAACGTTAGCTTCGTATGAGACATCACAAACTCATGAGGTACAACATCCTCCGGGACCGGCATCCCACCAACAGTACTCCCCACCACCTTCTGCAACCAGACACCCCTCTTGTCTGGTGGATCTCCTGGAAGGAGACCAGCCTCCGTCATATTTGCATCCTCACCGCCGGAAACCAAAACCCTAGAATCGCCGCTCATATTTTTCTTTTGTTTTGTCTCTTTGATAATAAGATGACATGAATATAATAAAGGTAAATTATACAAAAACCAGTGTATATATCTCAGTTACATTAAAAAGACACTTTAACATAATTCACGGAAGCCTGAGGAGCCACGGTAGAAGCGGAAGAAGGGAAGAACACGAACGTTAAGACTTTGACATAAACTTCTATGTTCTTCATAATTCACTTGTAGAAACTCTACTTCCGGATTCTTCTCTGCAATTTTGCATATCTGAAATATATATATGTATATATATATACAGTATATCCAAGCCAAGCCAAACCAAAGTCACATCTACTATGAAAATATAAAATACCAAGATACCAAATTCGAAAGTAACCCACAATGTATATATACTACTTGAGTTTATTGTGATCCAATCATAGAATAATTAACACTTGAAAACAGTTTACTAAACCTAAATTAAATAGCCTAATTCAAATCGTTTACAAATAGTTATTGCTTAATCCGGTAAATAGTTTGTTTTTAGGTCTTTTCTGTAAGAATATGTTTCCGGTTTAAACCGGCTCACCTTGGGATGAAGAGCCTTACAGGCTTACAGCCACCACAACTTGGTGAGAAGAAATTAACCACGACAAGATTGTCCCTGGCGTTAAGTAAAGAGCCGACAAGATCTTCCGTTGATGTCACCGACTTCATGTTCGGTTTCAGTTTCTTCTCCCACCATTTTTGGTTCCTTCCGATCCCAAGACTTGTCTGGATTAAAACAATTCAAAATAACTATTTCTTCCCAAGTTCCCTTCAAAGAAAGACTAGATTCTAATAATTTTGACCTAACACAGTTGCCGGGGACTTTATTTGGGAAATAATATGGTATCATTTTCGCAAGAGATCAATTTACCAAGGCTGAAATGGTTGCGAGAGATCAATCTTGGGCTAATGCAGCACAGAGAAAAGATGCTTCTAGGGCTGATGCCGGAAAATTCTCGGAGGTCGAAGCGGGCACGGATGGTGGAAATGGGATTTAACTTGATGAACGAAACTACGGCCATAAATTTCAACCTAGGGGAAACAGTTGCCTTGTTCCACAAGAAACAATGTCACATCCAAGATAACGAAATTGAAATGAAGAGAGAAAGGCGAGATTATGAAGGGAACTTTGATATTTCTCTTCTAGTCTCTCCCAACCCTCAAAAGCGAGATTTTGGAGAAGGAAAACGAACTTACAAATCATAATTTTGAAAACAACAACAACATACATTATTTCCCCTAGTAATTATCTATTTTTAGCTTTATGTTATGTTTCTATTTCCATGAAAAAACAATTGTTGCATGTGACAGGAAACTCTATTACCCCTCTGGTTTTATCAATTTCGGTTCAATCACTCGGTTTAACTATTTTATTTTGTAATTCCGGTTTGTTTAGATACGTTTAGCAAACATACTTGTAAGTTGGGTTTTGATAACTGCAGATGGTAGCATAATAGCTAATACTGTAGTTGGGTTTTAAGTATTGTCTGGCTGAGCAAACGGTAGTCAATCCAGTGACCAGACTACTCCAGGCACAGATAATGTACCTTTGATACATGTATTTAAACCAATCCAATCCTTTTAATTAGACCAATCCCACATGTCTGGTTTATTGGACAAAAACCTAAAGACTAAAGAGGTATCTTCTCCACACAGAGCCATTAAGATTCCAAAATCAGGTCCACAGAATCTCGTACATCGCAATTCGCATCTATGGCTCTTCCTCTGCGCCAACATTCTCTAGCTCCCATTTCTGCATCTCCCACAGTTTCAAAATCTATTCTTTTCCATCAACATGCCCTTTCTCGTACACTCTCTTCTCGCCGGAGTGTTCTCAAGCTTTCCGTCTACCGTTTTCGGAGTTCGCCGCCGACGCAATATACATTTGTTCATCGGAAACACATGCTCCAGAATGGCTCTCTCTACTACTCACCTTCAGTTGTCAAATGCAGAAACCATGATGAACCTCGGTCAACTATCATTTCTTCTGAGCTTGCCCATGATGCAAAGTCGGAAACTTTACAGCAAATGGATGATTTGGAGATTACCCACGAAGCTAAAAAAGGAAAGAGTTTTTGGGCTGCCGTTACTTTAATCATCGGAACCGCCGTTGGTCCTGGAATGCTCGGCCTCCCAGCTGCAACTATCAGATCCGGTTCAATCCCATCGACCATTGCTTTACTCTGTTCTTGGGTTTACGTCATTTCCTCTATTCTTCTGGTGGCTGAGCTCAGCTTTGCAGCCATGGAAGAAGACAATGCCGCAGAGGTTAGCTTCACAGGACTTGCAACCAAATCCTTTGGGAACAAATTTGGGGTTTTTGTGGCTTTTGTGTATGCTTCACTGAGTTTCTCTTTGATGGTTGCTTGTGTCTCGGGTATTGGTTCTATTGTTTCTCAATGGTTTCCTGCCATGAATCCATTCCTGGCCAATGCTATTGTCCCTCTAGTTTCCGGAATCTTGATTGGGTTTTTCCCTTTCGATGCCATTGACTTCACCAACAGGGGTCTCTGCTTTCTCATGCTCTTCTCTATAACTTCACTTGTGGCCATTGGTTTATCTGTGGCTAGGTCCAATGTGTTAGCCTCATTTGGTCACTCATGTTGGAAAGTCTCTACGGTTTTACCCGCGGTTCCTGTTATGGTACTGACACTGGGGTTTCATGTCATCACTCCATTCATATGCAATCTCGCAGGAGATTCGGTTTCAGATGCACGTAGAGCCATTCTTCTTGGCGGTGTTGTGCCATTGGCTATGGTGATGTCATGGAATCTAATTGTTTTGGGGCTTGCAAGGATTACTGTGCCTGCTGTACCTTCTTCATCCATTGACCCAATCTCTCTTCTTCTATCTGTGAACCCTTCTGCTTTATCTGCTGTTCAAGGCTTTGCTTTCTCAGCATTAGCTACCAGTTTAATTGGATACGCTGTTAGTTTCCCGAAACAGCTTCTTGATACATGGAAGCTTGTGTCTATGCAATCAAATAGAAATTGGAATGGAAGAACTGGGTCCGTAAGTTTCTCAGGGAAGGAGGGTAATAAAAGAACTAATGGGAAAGTCTCATACAGTGAACCAGCAAAAGCTCGTGATGGATTTGAAGCAGTAGTGATGCTATTTGTCCTTGGAGTTCCAGCTCTAATTGCAACATTCTATCCCTCAACGTTCTCGAGAGCTCTGGATTTTGCTGGTGTTTATGCAAACTGTTTCCTCTTTGGTGTCCTGCCTCCTGCAATGGCTTATATTCAACAGTCTAGGAAGAAGCTCAGGTAACTTCAGTCTGCTTTTGCACAAAACATTCTCTGTAGTCCTCTGTTTCTTCATCTGAGCTATCTTTCGGATTCCTTTGAAACAAAAATCTTCTGATTTTGCAGGTCATGGGTTCTTCCTGGAGGCAACTTTACCTTGCTGATCTTATTCGTAATTGCCATTATTTTGGGAATATGGCATTAGATCACCGTCAAATAGAAATGTTTTGTTTGTATCATTCTACAGAAACATTTGACATGATGTAACTGTGCTAACCAGACTCTAGGGAAGCAACAAGACCCCACTGGGACCTTCATGAAGATATATGCGTTCTTTGGTTCCTTCTAGAAACACTAATAGCGATTGAGAAGTCTTTTTCACATAGCAAGATCACAAAAGAATAATATTACTGGCTTACCTGTGACTGTAGATCTACAAAAATCAGAGATATAAATAAACTGAAATTTTAGATTTAACAGACAACAATAATACCCTCACACACACGTTTGCTAGATAACAGCGTAGGGACACCATTGTGAAACTTAAGATAGCCAGTGAAAATAAACTCTGTGATTTGACATTAACGGATACTGTGTTGAGTAGAAAACTACAGTACTTTGGTCACTGAAACTACAAGATGAATAACTTGGAGAAAAGAAAACTACGGGTTCAGGTCGAAGTTTGTCTCCAGTAGATTCTGAATTTTGGACAAGGAATCAACCTTAAAATCAGGTTGCAGACCGGAGACAGAAAAATCATCTGGTCCATACCTTCCAGTTTCATCTAGCAAGCAAGTGAAGGCTCCAGCTCGTTTCCCACATGCAATCTGTAGAATCGAGTAAAGAAAGATCAATTACCAGTTGTAATCTTCAGTCGAAATGTGAAAAAATTGTCTGAGAGTTGGTACACATCCTTTCCACATAGAAAATCCTTAAGCAATGGCATAAGTAGATCCGTGTTTAAGCTTCTTTAGGGCTTAAACACGGGCATTGCTTAAGATTTGCTATGCAGAAGGTTTAACCTAAGACTTGTTATCATTTCTGACACTCACATCATCCTTTAAGCTGTCACCAACCATCATGACTTCATTAGGTTGGATGTCCCAAGTAGAGCATATATGTAACAGCGGGTCTGGATTTGGTTTATATGGACGAAACTCTCTGCCTAGTGCTGGAGAAAAGATAACCTATACAGTGAAAAACAATTTGTGAGGAACTGCCTCAGAATTCATCTCTCTGATAAACAAAGCAACCCAGCAAAAAACTGATCAGGCAGCTGGTTAGACCGACTTGTCAAAATGTTTTCAATTCTAGTATTTGAGCTAGAGCTTCAACACACTTACCTCAAAACGTTGATGGAAGATGTCGATTGCCTTCTGAACATTGCGTGTAATTAGCCCTCTCCTGTAAAGTACATACAAAATGTAACATCCGTTAGTTATATTCTTAGCATTGAGTATGGTTATCAGGACCAAAAAAACGAAAATCAAAGACAGAGGTATCTGAAAAAACTGACTTTATCTTTCGGGAATCAAGAAAGCCACACAGTTCAGCAGCACCTGCAACATAAGTTATCGCATATCAGAAGAGAACTAAACCTCTAATCACAGAAGAAACACAGTCCTACTTCATCAGATGATATAGATAATTTTCCTTCACCTCCAGTTAATTTTATTGTGCTACCTAGATTTTCAACTGCATAAAGTCAATGACCAGGAAAGGAAAGATCACAAATTGTGATGTGGTGAAGGATAGTAAGAACAGTAATAGACTAACACATCAAGATTCACTTTGACTAAATGTTCATTTTCATTTTTTGCCTTGATTACAATATTTTCTCAACTGTAACTCTACGAACTTGAGAAATTCTCAATCTTTTTTAACCCATCCTTGGGAAAAAGTCTCGATTTTTTAATACTAAAAATTAACAGATGAATACCCAAAGCACTAAACACTTCCACTGCACAAACACAAATTCAATAATCAAAACTCGAGGAAGAATCCGTACCAGGCATGATTTGAAGCTTATCAATCCCCTGTTTCTCATAATCGGCGATGATTTCATATGCTTTCTGCTGTTTATCAGGACTCCACGACTCAATATGATGCAGGATATCAATTCCAGTAGGACTCTCTGCTTTGATTCGCGTGTACGCATCTTCACCAAGAACAGCTCTATACATTGCTGCGAAATCGATGACCGGAACCGTCAGGGTTCCGTCCATATCGAATACAACGCCTCTGAGGCGAGCTTTAGCGTTCATCGTCAGATTCGCCATGGAAATCGAACAAGAAGGTCTGAGAGTGAGAGAAATAAATGATCTTGATAAGAGGAAAGTCATGGGAAAGAAATGGTAAAGCTGAAACTGAAATTGAGGCACATACGTTTTTTTAAACGGTTCATAATTATTCTCTATTTTTAACCAATTTCGGTTCGGTTTGATCTGAACAACAACTTGGTTTGTTTTCTCGGTTCTTTTCACTTGAGCATGTTTGTGTAAGTGCTTAAGAATGGAAACAAAGACACCAACAATCTTAACAACAATGGTTCTGCTGCCTTTTCTCTTCTTATTCTCTGCCTCTTCTTTAACGGTGTCCTCTTCGGCTCGCTTGTTGGCTGCTCGGAAATTGTCCAACGTCCGTCTAACTCGTCCCACCCACCAAAGTTAGAAGCCATTTCAGCTGAACTACGGTTCACTTCGCGGTCATTGACATTGTTTCTAACCATTGATGGATTGTATCGAACCCTGCTCCTTCTCCTCTCCACTTCTTCCTCCTCTATCCCAAATTGATTTGCCATCGATGTCTTTCTACGTTTATCCCAACCAATCAACTTCTGGAACGCGTAAAATAACAATGATGGCCCGCTGGCCACGGCTAGTGACACGAGGAAAGCCTTAGGTCCGGTGCTGATTAAAAGCGACACGAGGATGAACGGGAGGAGATATCCATACGATCTTAACGCCTACAAAGTGATCAAAAAACCAAACACAATACAAAACCGTTACTAAAGATCTACACCCAACAAAACGAAACCATAATCTGATGAAGCAAAAATATAATGCAGGCGTGGATCAAGAAGCCATTTTTTTCTTAGCTTTGAGGAGAAAGACACAATCTTGGTTTGTTTACATGTACTAATAGCACCCTAAAGTATGAACATTTTCAAGTATCCATCTCATTTGAAATCAAAACTAGTTCTGATTCATTGCAAAACAGTTTAATATTCAGTATTAGCTGATTTCTCCATACCCATTACCAGTGAAATTTTTTTGATTCCAAACAGTAGAAGATTCCCAATTTAATCAGCAAATTCAAATGAAACTAAAATTGTACCTTTAAAATCCAAACATTATCTATAATTTCCTCTAAGATCTTCCACAGGTCAAAATTACCATCACCACCACCACCACCACGAGCGTTATCGTCTTCGTCATCTTCAACGTTATCCTCAAAGAGTTCCTCCCAAAGCTCCCGCCTCTTCCTGCCTCTTTTCCCCCTTTCCGTCAAACGGTATCCCTTGCCTTCATCCGCGGCGGCGCATATTTTATAGCGGAATCTCCTCCGGCGATCTAAAGGAACTACCTTCACCAAATCTACTGTAGAGCGTCGTGATGAAGAGAAGTAGAAAAGATAAGAATCGGAGGGGTATAATACAGGGTTTTGGAATCGACATGAGTGGAGGTTTGAGAAACTAAGGAAAATAGACATTCGCGGTGACAATGGACGAAGAAGCTGCAAAGCTCCTCTATCTGCCATTAACGTCTGGCGAAGAGAAGAGAAGAGCAGTGACGAAAATATTCTTCTCAATGTAATGGAACACTCAACTTGCGCCACGTTGTCATCATCTCCTCCATTGAAATCGAACACAATAAACCGGGCTGGTCCAAAGAGAAATGTTCGAATTAAATTCCGGTTTAAAAACATGGGTAATTTCGGAAACACAAAGTTAAATGTCTGACGTGTCACGCCAACGTGGATTCTCTGCTCTCTTCCTTTTTCCAGAAACCAGGGAGAGAGAGGGTGAGAGAGACGAAGCATCAAACAAAGGAAAAAGCAAATACCAGGACAGAAAATTCCGAGGGAAAACGCGAGAAAATTTCTTAGGTTCCTGAGAAAATCTGCAGCTTTTTTTTCTACTGTAAAGGGTAAAGCCGAAGGGTTTAACGTCTCTCCTATCGTCGGAGAAATTTGAAATTTCGTCCGCAAAACGTGAATGCAGCTTTAATCTTCCGCATTTTTATCGTCGATCAGAGATTTTGAAGCTTAGAGAGAGCGAAACGTTTATATTGTGATACATTTGTGTTTTGATTAAATCGTTTGGATCCATGGTGTGGAAACACCTTCTGATTGGGTTCTCATGGATTTTTTCTAATGTTTCTCCCGTTGGAAATCTTCATTCGGGATCGTTTCTAGGAAAATCTGACCAGATTTGGCCGTGATAATGGTACGAGTCTCTCTTCTCTTATCTTCATTGTCATTTCTCCGTGCTGCTCATCTTTACCTTCTTATGCTGGTTTGGTTTGAAGCTGATTTTTATATTCCCCTTTAATTTGAAAGTGGAAGAGGAAAAAATATTTTTGTTTGCAAATTTCATTATAAAATGTGTGTAAAATAAACAGCTAACGGAGATTGACACGGCTTTTTTTTTTTTCCCTCGACTCTGATCAGGCTGCTTCAGTAAAGGTAGCTGTGGGGTCGCATGTCTGGGTGGAAGATACTGATGAAGCCTGGATAGATGGAGAAGTAGTGGAATCTAACGGGGAAGAGATCAAAGTCAACTGCCAAACCAAGATGGTTAGCCGCATTTCTCAATAAGCAACCACACAATCTTTTAGATGTTGATTCCTAAAGAGTTCTACATTAGCAGATACTAGAATTGAAAGATGTGTTTCCTACAGGCTACTTGAAGATGGGTAGTGAGCAAAATGTGTTCTTATTTTTGATGTATTTGATGGTAGGTTGTGGCAAAGGTTAATTCTGTCTACCCCAAGGATCCTGAGTTTCCTGAACTTGGCGTGGACGACATGACAAAGCTTGCGTATTTGCATGAACCAGGGCTTCTTCTCAATCTAAAATCCAGATACAATGCAAATGAAATATATGTATGCTTCAGCCTGTAACTCTTGTCAGTTTTCTTTCTTTCATTTTACACCCACTCATGAATTCTTTGCATTTCCATGTTAGAGCTGCTTAAAACTTTGCTTGTGCGTAGGGATGCTTTCACTAGCTTTCTAACATTTCTTTGCTGAAAATAACTTCTTTTGTTTACACATATCATTCCCATGATCTTAAGGTTGTCTGCCCAATTATAGCTATATCATCAATATGATTTTTCTGAAGTGTCTTTAGCAAGCTAATTTGTTCTTCATGGTTACAGACATACACGGGAAATATACTGATAGCTGTAAACCCATTTAAAAGATTACCCCACCTATATGGAAATGAGATAATGGAGCAATATAAGGGCACCGATTTTGGCGAGTTAAGCCCACATCCTTTTGCAGTTGCTGATTCTGCATACAGGTAATCATCTGTTGCGTGGATGAAAACTTAAATAGTGTCGCACTACCATTTTTATTGGCCTGACAATCATCAAGAATATATATTTAGAAAAATGATCAATGAGGGAGTAAGCCAGGCGATCTTGGTGAGTGGAGAAAGCGGTGCTGGGAAGACAGAGAGCACAAAGATGCTCATGCAGTATCTTGCATACATGGGTGGAAAAGCTGAGAGTGAAGGACAGTCTGTAGAACAGCAAGTTTTGGAGGTAGATGCACTGTGTTAAATGCATCTAAATTCTTACTATCTTACTAAAGATGGACTCACTTAGTTTCCCTCTGTAGATATCTTCTTATTCTTCTTATGTTATGTGCCCGTTATGCAGTCAAATCCAGTTTTAGAAGCTTTTGGTAATGCAAAAACCGTTAGAAACAATAATTCAAGGTGGAATGTCACTCACATCTCTTGATTTTTTCCAGTTTATGTATTTTCTTGAAGTCAAAACTTGACTTATATAGGCAAATCTCATATTGCAGTCGTTTTGGTAAATTTGTGGAGATTCAGTTCAATCATATGGGAAGAATCTCGGGAGCTGCTATTAGAACATATTTGCTGGAGAGGTCACGAGTTTGTCAAGTTTCTGACCCTGAAAGAAACTATCACTGCTTTTACATGCTTTGTGCTGCGCCAGAACAGGTAAACGTAATCCATTCTATGGGTACATTAGGTCGAACATATGAAGGTTCTGCATGTCCAATGCTTGACCTTTTTTTAGATTCATACTGACAAAATTAGCTTCTGTTATGAGATTTCAGGAAACTAAGCGGTATAAATTAGGGGAACCGAACACATTTCACTACCTAAATCAATCGAATTGCTATGCATTGGATGCGCTTGATGATTCCAAGGAATACCTAGCTACGAGGAAAGCTATGGACGTTGTTGGGATTAGTCCTGAAGAACAGGTACTTTCTGGTTATTCATTTACAAAATCAGTAATGAGGACAACTCTTTTTACATTTAATTATCGTAGGATGCAATCTTCCGGATAGTTGCTGCTATCCTTCATCTAGGAAACATCGAGTTTGCTAAAGGTGAAGATTCAGATGCTGCAGAACCTAAGGACGATAAATCCCGGTTCCATCTAAACGTGGCTGCAGAACTTTTCATGTATATGCCTTCCTATTCTGTGTTCTCGGATAACATATTGTTGAGGGGAACTCAAAGCCTCATTTCTCTTTTGTGGTAGGTGTGATGAGAAAGCTCTAGAGAACTCCTTATGCCAAAGGGTGATGGTGACTCGTGGTGAAAGCATTACAAAGCCTCTTGATCCCGGTAGTGCAGCACTAAGCAGAGATGCTCTTGCCAAGATTGTCTATTCTAAATTGTTCGATTGGTAGGTTAACAAAAACAGACTCTTTCCGAAAGGATTATTATCAATTGCCGGTTTGAAATTTTGAAAGGTTACAAAAATTTATTGCTCTCAGGCTTGTGACTAAGATCAATAACTCCATTGGCCAAGACCCAAGTTCGAAATACATAATTGGAGTCCTGGATATTTATGGATTCGAGAGTTTCAAGACAAACAGGTGCTTAACCGGTACGCTTCTTGTGTTGCTTATTCTTCTTCAAAACACTGAGCAGATGGTTTATTGTAAAATTTCCTAGTTTCTTAGCTAGAATCTCTTTTGTCTTTTGGGAGAATATTAATATTCTCATTATTGGTTGTTCCTATAGGTTATGAGGTTCAATTGATAACAGTTTTAGTTCTCTTTTAATTCCAACGTTTTTCTCTTTTCACATGTTTTTGCAGTTTTGAACAGTTTTGTATAAACCTGACAAACGAGAAGCTGCAACAGCATTTCAACCAGGTTGGAGACTGATGTTCCTTTCAGAGTTTTGATTCTTGATTGATCTAAAGATATGCTGATCCGTACTCATGCATGTCTTCCTCTCCTCTACAGCATGTGTTCAAGATGGAGCAAGAAGAGTATACTAAAGAAGAGATTGACTGGAGTTACATAGAGTTCATCGATAATCAGGATGTCCTTGATCTTATAGAAAAGGTAATTAGTATAACACTAAGTGGTGTCGGAACCTTTAATCCGTTTTACTGTAGTTCCAGTTTTCAGACAAATTTTTTATCGATCCTAATACACAATTATTTCATGTCAGAAACCTGGTGGCATTATTGCCCTTCTCGATGAGGCTTGGTAATGTATCATACACTCAATATGTTTCTTCTATATTTCTTCAAGAAGTTACTGATTTTGTGTTTGCCTTCAGTATGTTTCCAAGATCAACTCATGATACACTTGCGCAAAAGCTATACCAGACATTTAATAACCACAAGCGCTTTACCAAGCCAAAATTGGCTCGTACCGACTTTACAATCTGCCATTATGCTGGTGATGTTAGTGATTAAACTTACCTGAGAAGTGTGCCTGAATTGATTGTCTTGAAGTGATGTAAAATTTGTAATTTGGTGTGATGACTGTGTTCTTGTTGAATTTCAGGTCACCTATCAGACTGAACTGTTTTTGGACAAGAACAAAGATTATGTTGTTGGAGAACATCAATCTCTCATGAACTCTTCAGATTGCTCCTTCGTCTCATCGTTGTTCCCTAAACCGCGAGAGGAATCCTCCAAAACATCAAAGTTCTCATCGATAGGCTCTCAGTTTAAGGTCTGATAATAATGTTAAAATTCAACAAATTCTGCTTATATTTGATTCACTGATTCTTATATTTGATTCTCACGATTTACTACAATACAGCAACAACTACAATCTCTGCTTGAGACACTGAACACCACAGAGCCACACTATATACGTTGTGTTAAACCCAATAACGTTCTTAGGCCAGAAATTTTTGAGAACGTTAATGTTCTACATCAACTTAGGTGTGGGGTAAGCTTAATATCTCAGAGAACCTTCTACTTTCATTTTTGCAAATGTAACAAATATTCGGTCTTTACATTGTGTTATGAAATATCCCTTTTTGACTTCAGGGTGTCATGGAAGCGATTAGGATTAGTTGTGCTGGATATCCTACTAGGAAGCCTTTCAACGAATTTTTAACCAGGTTCCGCATTTTGGCTCCAGAGGCTACGGATAGAAGGTAGATTTACCAATGCTTAAAGTTGGCTATTTAATTCTTACTTTAATGCCAAATAGACTAAGATATTAGACTCATAAACCTTTGCCCTCTGGCCGTTATGTTTATAGCTTTGACGAAGTCGATGCTTGCAAAAAGCTACTAGCAAAAGTTGACCTTAAAGGTTTTCAGGTGCGTTTTCATATTCTTATCTCACAGTTTCTGGATTGCTGCTTTCTTATTGTATCTCCAAAAAAGATATATGGCAATGCCACTCCGGATATGATTCATGGTTACATTGCACAAAACTCTTATACGTGCTTTTCTTCTTGCTCATAAGCGATGAAAGGTTTGATGAATTTGGTTGCTAAGTATATTTTGAAATTCACAGATAGGGAAGACAAAGGTGTTTCTTAGGGCAGGTCAGATGGCAGAACTGGATGCTCACCGAGCTGAAGTTCTTGGACATTCAGCAAGGATTATACAGAGGAAACTCCGTACATACCAATCTCGCAAAAAATATATGCTATTGCAGTCCGCTTCAACTGAAATCCAAGCCTTTTGTAGAGGTATTTCATGTTGTATGCGATCCAGGTCGAGTAGATTGTTGGTTTCAAGTATAGTTTCATGTCTTATTAAGCTTCTCGCAACTTATTGCAGGAAGTATTGCACGTATTCAGTTTGAGGCCACGAGAAAAGAAGCTGCTTCTGTGAGAATTCAGAAGCAGGCGCGGACATATATATGTCAGACAGCCTTTAAAAAGTTGTGTGTTTCAGCTATTTTTATTCAGACTGGGTTCCGTGCAATGGATGCTCGAGTTGAACTTCGATACAGGAAGAAGAAAAAAGCAGCAATCATTATTCAAGCAAGTTTCAAAACCTCATGTTGACAATAAAGATCTTGCCTTTTTCGTATCATGTTAGATATTTGAGTTTGTTTGAGTATCAATAACATGTAAGTTACTGATTCCACAGAGTCAAATCAGAAGATGTTTGTGTCGATGGTGGTATTTGAGAATGAAGAAAGCAGCTATTACCACTCAATGTGGCTGGAGAATGAAAGTTGCACGCCGAGAACTGCGGAAGCTTAAAATGGTGACATTCTTTATTACATACAATGGGAGCTCTTAGTTTTTTTTTAAAACCTAATACATACAAATTCACTGGATCGTATGTATCTGGAGATTTCTGAGATGTCTTTGTCTTCCAGGCTGCTAAAGAAACAGGAGCCCTTCAAGATGCTAAGACTAAGCTGGAAAAGGAAGTGGAAGAACTCACATCATACTTAGAGCTTGAGAAACAAATGAGGGTACACATCATACACAACTTGCCACAGTGAATATTGATATATTCTTAAACCACAATACTAGATCTTGTTGCTGTCACTTTTCTGTGTGAGGCATCTAATTTTATTACTGATGCAGATGGAGCTTGAGGAAACCAAAACTCAAGAAGTCGAAGAGTTGCGGTTAGCTTTAAATGACATGAAACTTCAGCTTGGGGAAACTCAAGAAACCAAAAGTGAGGAGATTTTGAAGTTGCAGTCTGCCTTACAAGATATGCAACTGGAATTTGAAGAACTTGCTAAGGAGTTGGAGATGACAAATGATCTTGCTGCAGAAAATGAACAGCTCAAGGTAAGGTCATAAAGATATTAGATAAGAACCTTTCGTTCCTTGGTATTCTTCCATTTATGGGTTGAAGGATACATATTTTTATATATTTAAAGATATGATCTTGGTTGCTCTGTCTTATTCATTTTTCTTCTAACATCCAAGGATTTGGTGAGCTCGTTGCAAAGGAATATTGATGAATCCAAGAACAAATATGAAAAAACAAGTAAGCTAAGTGAAGAGAGGGTAAAACAGGAGGTTCCCTTCATTGACCAAGGTGTAATTATCAAACTCGAAGCTGAAAATAAAAAATTGAAGGTAGGATGATCTCTTGATATTGACCTTTGAAAGACGATCCAGCTTTATGGCAAAAGAGGGTCATTCGAGATTTCAGTGTTTTCTATTGACAATTGATATCTTATCAAGCTCAACATTTCGTAGGGACTGGTCAGTACATTGGAGCAGAAAATCAATGCGTTAGACGGAAAGCACGACGAAACAAGCTCAAACATCTTAGACGAGTTGAAAGAGAGTGCTTCATCTGATTATGAGATGTTGAGTAATCTTGCAGCAGAAAATGAACGTCTGAAGGTAAAGTACTAAATTTATAGGGACGTAGCTTTACTATTGTCCTTTTAGCGTTTTCAGGTTTGTTTTTCTCATTACTATGATCTATGGCACTTCTCAGGCACTTGTGAGTTCATTAGAGAATGAAACTAATGAAGACGATGGAAATGGTTCATCAAATGAGTTAAAGGAAAAAACACGCATGGTGAAAGAAGAGAGATTAGCAGAAGATGTTTCGGTTGATAAGGAAATGGCCGACAAGCTTGCTGCTGAAAACAAAGATTTATATGTAAGTGTTTCAGAAAATGTATCCTTTTCCAAAAAAAGTTTCGAGTTATTTATGTTTTAAATTAATTGAATTCCACAGGATCTGGTAGATTTGTTGGAACAGAAAATAGACGAAACAGAGAAGAAGTATGAGGAAGCAAGTAGACTTTGTGAAGAGAGGCTTAAGCAGGTTATAGACACAGAGACAAAACTAATAGAGTTAAAAACATCGATGCAAAGGTTATATATATGCATCTCTTTTTGTCCAAAGTTTAAATCTGTTATCTTTTCTTTGGTATATGTTTGCTTTTGCAACCGCTACGACGCATGCATTTCTTATTTACTATTATCTTTAGGCTTGAGGAAAAGGTCTCTGACATGGAAACAGAAGACAAAATTCTTCGGCAGCAAGCATTGTTTGATTCAGCTTCCCGGAAAATGTCACCCCAGGTGTCATTTACAAGACCCCCAGTAAGATTCCTCTATGAAAATGCTTCTTATATAAAACTTTTTTTAAGAAAATTCTTGACCGCTTCTTTTTCACATACCTCTTGCAGCCAGTGGAGAATGGACATCATGTAAGGGAAAAACTTTATGAACTTTTCTTGTATACACTTATCCTCTTCGCAAATTTTTGTGTTACTAGAGCTTTGTCATAAGAATCTCTTACTTACAGGAATCATTTGCTCCTATACCATCAGGCAGGTTCGGGGCAATGTCTTTCAGACGATCTCAGATTGAACAACAACCCCATGTATGTGCCTAACAAAAAGATCAGTCATATCACCGATACTTGTTCGCATTTGTTAATTACTTTTGTCATGTTGTTATGATGCAGGAATATGTTGACGTCCTTCTCAAATGTGTATCACAAGATGTCGGTTTCAGCCATGGAAAGCCTGTTGCCGCATTAACAATATATAAATGTCTCATACACTGGAAACTATTTGAAGCAGAGAAAACCAGTGTCTTTGACCGTATTGTTCCTATATTTGGTTCAGCTATAGAGGTAATCTGAAGTTAACATATTAGTCTCGTTGTAGTACTTATGGTCAAAGATTCAATGGAGACATGTGAAAATTACATTTTAGATAATCTGACAAATATGAAACATGAAAGCTTAACTATCTTTTCCTAAGTTTTGGCTTAGACACAGAGTTAGATTGAAAGTTGACATTATGTCATCTTGATTTGCGTTCTGTCTACTTCCAGGACCCGGAAGATGATAACAATTTGGCTTATTGGCTTACAAACACATCTACGCTGCTGTTCTTGCTTCAAAGAAGCTTGAAATCCCATAGTACAACCGGTGCAAGTCCTAAGAAACCTCCTCAGCCAACTTCTTTTTTTGGGAGGATGACACAGGTAACCAAATCCTGTTTATCGACTCTAAGAATATCTTAAGCATACTAATGGCCGTAAAGCTTTAACTTAAAGAGTTTTTGTGTCGTGTGTGATTTCCTCTAACTTAAATATGAAAATTTGACTTCTATATGTTTTAGGGTTTCCGTTCACCCTCTTCGGCCAGCCTTTCAGGTGACGTAGTGCAACAAGTAGATGCTCGATACCCTGCTTTACTTTTCAAGCAGCAGCTTACAGCCTACATTGAAACTATATATGGAATATTTCAAGAGAATGTGAAGAGAGAACTAGCACCGGTGCTTTTGTCCTGTATTCAGGTATCTCTATATATGGTTTCCATCATAATAAATCATGATCTCTGCAAGACAGGGTCATCTCACTTATAAGTCCTCAAACTAATGGCTCAGGGACTGAAAGATTTATCACATGAGTCCTCTGCAGAGACTTTATCTGCTGAGTCATCTGAACAGAATTCACCAGAAAAGCCATCTGAAGGGAATCCACCGGGAAACCTGTCTGAAGATAATTCACCAGCAAAGCCAGCTGAAGAAGATATGTCACCAGAAAAGCCATATGAAGAAGATAAGTCACCAGCAAAGCCATCTGAAGAGAACTCACAGGAAAACCTATCCAAGGAGAATCCACAGGCAAAGCTATCCACAGAGAATTCATCAGCAAAACCATCTGAAGAGAATACACCCACGAAAAGTTGGCAAGACGTCATAGATCTTTTAGATCGGCTTCTCCGCACATTGAAGAAAAATTACGTAAGAACTTTTTGGTATTCGAGGATTCAAGATTGTGTTTGCTTCTGTTAACTCTTAAATTCTTACTCTGACCAACTTCTTCTTTCAGGTTCCTCTGTTTCTTGCTCAGAAGATCTTCAGCCAAACATTCCAAGACATCAACGTTCAACTCTTTAACAGGTAAACTATTTACATTCCCTCATCAACCTTTACGGTTTGAAAATCACCTAACCCACCACAGCAAATAAACTTAAAGCCGTAATCTAACTAATGCAGCCTTTTGCAACGTGAATCCTGCACATTCATAATGGGAAAGAAAGTGAATGCCTGGTTAAATGAACTCGAGTCATGGTGTAGCCAGGCAACTGAAGAGGCAAGTTAGCCTGTCTTGATTGATTGTGTTAACCCAAACGGTTTCAAACTGTTGATCACTTGAATTTTACTTGTTAATTAAATTCTCCTGAATGCAGTTTATAGGATCTTCATGGGATGAACTCAAACACACAAGACAAGCTGTGATACTCCTGGTTTGTTTCTTACGAACCAAATTACAGCAACTTTAATCAACACTACAACACTCTTTCCTCTTTCTTTTTCCTGAATATATCATCGGATTCCTCTTTCAGGTTTCAGAACAGAAGTCCACAATTACATATGATGATCTTACAACTAACCTCTGCCCGGTAACTACTCTCTGCTTTGAATTTGTTTTAAAATATTATAAAACATGCCTGGGAAATTCTTCTGATCTTTCTATCTCTATTTCATCTTCCAGGCTCTTAGTACTCAGCAATTGTATAGATTATGTACCCTCTGTAAAATTGATGATCACCAGGATCAGAATGTATCTCCAGACGTATGTTTGCTCTGATCATTTCTCAAATAAACCAAAATTCATTTTTTTTTCCAAATCTCTATATTGGCTTCATATTTCTGTGGGTGCAGGTGATTTCCAACTTGAAACTTCTAACTACAGATGATGACGAAGACAGTCGTTCGTTCTTGTTAGACAATAATTCCAGGTATAAAAACTTTCAGAATACTAGTAACTATATCTAAATTTTATCAAACTCAACACCATAACCTCTTGAATCTTGTCTTTTCGAAACTCAGCATCCCCTTTGCAGCCGATGAAATCTCCAACTGTATGCAAGAAAAAGACTTTGCCAATGTAAAACCAGCTGTGGAACTCGCTGATAACCCTAACTTCCACTTTCTCAAGGACTGAGACCTGTTCGATTCTGACTTAATATGTTGCAATTAAATTGTATAGTAATCCTTTGCATAGCTTTACGGTTTGTAGAATCTTTGGTCGGTTCGTCATCTAGGCTTTGGGAGGGAATTTTGAGCTTAAGTGTAGGGCTCGCTCCCTTCTTTTGATTTGTACGTTCATTATCTTCAGGGTGGTGGTTAGGTAAAAGCCAATAGCATTTTTTTTTACTTATACAGCAGGAAACTTCTCTATGTAGACAAACAGTAGAAATCAGTTTTGTAACCTTTTCTGGAGAGATTTGGTGACACCCTTAGTCCCAAAATGGGTCAGAGATTCATAATTGGCCTTGCGATATTGTTAAAAGTTAGGACAACTGTTGGCAATTTCTAAACATCAGTGCTCAAAATGAAATGGAACAACATACATTATACATGTTTGAACCTGATAGTGATCCAACAATGACATATGTATGTACACTATCATTAGAATATGTATGTACTGGTTTCTTAACTACATATTATATTTATAGTACTTTTTGATAATGAAAAAGATTGATGAGTTTTTGAAAAGCTGTGATATTTAAAAACAAAATGGTAACTTAAAAAGATTACTCTATTTCTAATTGTATTTTCCCACAATAATAACCTATATATAACAGTTTTGGGAAAAAGAAATTTGAAGGAAGTTAAGGGATTAAAGTTTACGTTAGTTAACAATAATGAAGAAAAAAACAGACACACCTGATGAGTATTGAGTAGTCTCCATCTTGAGAGTGAGAAGGAGGAAGAGGGTATCAAACAAATAGAAAACATGTGAATCTGATCACATGGGTCTTGCCATACCCTTTCAGTTATTACAGTTATGGAGTTTTGTTTGCATTTATCACTCTCTCTCTCTCTATTTCTTTTGTCCCCTTTTCTAACCATTCTAATATACACTATATATAACATGCATGCATACAAACATACGTATCTCTATAAAATGTGTTTTGTCCAAAAATAACAAATATTGTGAACCAAGTGTTTTTCTCTTTTTATTTTTGATTTCCTCAGATTTATATAAGCCGACGTCATTTATTAAATGAGACATTAGGTAAAAACTATATTATCTTTCTTTTTCTTGTTAATCAAAATTATCTTATCTTATCAATATGGTGATTGGTGACTATGATGGTCCTTTTCTGGATTTCTATATTCATTATTTGAGATCTTCAAATATTTCTCTTAGTATATATGGAATTATATTATATTCGTCTAATTTAAATATCGATCGATGTTCCATATCCAAAGAAATATCAATGTACTGTATTTAGGTGATCAGATGAAATGTTTTTTCAGTATTTAAAAGTATACTAATTTAAAAAAAACAATTATCTTTTTGATTACTAAATAAGTTTACTATGGAAATCTATAACATTTCACAAATTGTTAATGATCATTCTAAAATGTCTAAGCGAAAAAAGTAGAGCCGCTCCAACATTAACGAACTTATAACGATGACCGGCCACCACCAATTTAGTTAGATTGTATCACCGTTCACCAATTTTTATGATCACGCTTAGTGTAAATTTTTGAGTGTTTAATTAGCCTTTTAAGTATTAACTATAAATGACGTAGAATATGATTTCGACGGCTAACTAATTTGCTGCGACTCAATAATATGTTTGGTCAAACAAGCCATTAAGTAATCTGCACATAGATAATGCTAATTTTGGAATAATTTCATGTTACCCATTTGATATATTCGAAGCATAAAATCAGTAGAGGAAAATATATATATTGACATATTGTGTTATACTAGTGCATGAAATCAGGTTGCTACTAATGAGCTAAACTGAGAATAGTAACATGGGCTTTGGCTCTCTTAATTAACAAGATTTATTTAATCGAGACTAGAAAGATTCAAGATACCTGATTAATAGAAGCTGACTATGGCAGAATCTCATTTGATTATTGTCAGAAAATAATGGCCATATATAACTAATAATTTAGAAATTCCATTTTACCAATAATTGATCCTTTTGCAACTAGTATAATATTACACTACTTTGGATGAAAAAAATGTAGTTTAATTTGTATGTTTTATCTTCCTCTTTTTTTTTTTTTTGATAAGTAATAATTGTAGCTAGGGTTTGTTATTGTTGTCTTGGCTTAACGTTTATATGATATAATCGTTCATTTCAAACGCTAGAATATATGTAAACATATGCATATTCCCACCACTTGATTTGACCATATATGTGTGTCTCAGTGACTGAGTATTTGTATTTGGTGATCATAAATGGCAATACTCGAATTATTGACTGCATATATAATTACATTTATATTCAAATAAAAAACGAAATAGTAATAGCTTTTAGCAGATAGTTATCTTTTTGTAACTAGCTAAGTTGAAGTTATTTTAATCTGCATGGATTCAATTTGCTATTGTATTGGTTTTCTTAAAAAGGTGGTCTAGAAATGGTATATTAATTGTAATTAGTTTATAGATAATTTATAGAACGCATAATTATCACAAGCTTTACTATAAAGTATAAACGACTTTATAATAAGTATGCGATATATAGTTCTATTAAATCTAGGTTGCATAGTTGGTAGCTTTGATTACTCCACGGTAGTGGCTTAACACCATGTGGGAAATTATTTTTGTTTTATTACTCCAAAAAAAATAAGAAAGAATAGAACTACAACGTACTCATCGATAAGATAACTAATCTCGTTATTCCATGAGCCATGAATTTTCATAATTATCGACTAAATAAATCTACAGTTCATCTATGAAACTAAGACTATAATCAAGGCCTTGGCACGTCATATGCATGCATCTATACACATTAAGTTTCCTTATATTAAACTTAAATAAGGCAGAGGCTATCTAGATTTTGGTGAGAAACATCTTTGCCCGAGTCAAGTCCACTACACATATATGCATGATCACTCTCTCTCTCGATCGAGGTTTCCTGAATATATCTTGTTTTCGTAAATCATCATGATGATTAGTTTCTTACACAACACGATTCCATATTCTCGATGTGAATACTTTATACTATAGTAACTATAGAAGAAGGTGCGGACCCACATAGAAAAAGGTGGGGGCAGTTGCACCCACCAACCTATTAAAAACTAAAAATTTTGTATTAAAATTAAAATTATAAGTGTTAAAATGGTTAAAGTGCCCCCATGTAGTGTTTGAGGTCATGGGTTCAAACCTTATTTGCTACTTTTTGCCCCCAATTAATTTTTTTTTTGAGTTCGCCCCTGCTATAGTTTACTCAGATAACATAATATTTAAAAGTACTTTTTTTTTGTGTATTAGAAAAATCGATATCTTAAAACACTGTTGTGTTCTTGCTTTGGTCAAATTATCAATGTAATTTACTAATTAATGTGAGTGTTGGTTATTTCTACGGGGACAAAACAATTTTATCACTAGATATGCGTGATAAAAAAAGATGCATGTTTTCACACACACATACTCAAATGCATAGAGACTGTTTAAAAACACAAAGGCGCTAATCATTAGAATTTACAAGGAAAACAATAATAGCAAGAGGAATTATTGTATAGAATTATTGAACCAATATGCACTGACATTTCTCATCTCTGCAATAAAAGAGGAATTGACTGATTTCAACAACAACAACATGGAAACATAAAAAAGAGGAATTGACCAAAAACTAATATAAACATGAAGACCCAAAATTTTATACAAGTCCAGCACATGAATATATCTTACATTTCCCTTTCAGCCTCATGCGTATCTAACCCTAGATTTGGTTTGTGCATTGATCGATGTAGATATTCTTAAAACATTCCAAATTTATATAAGATTAACAACTGTTTATCTTATCATCACACAGAGAAATACATTACGTTACTATATACTTGTGTGTGTTTTAAACATTAATATGATAGTTTAACCCCCAAAAAAAAGGATTTATTAGTGTATGTTGTTCTTGTTCCGACGTAGCTATAGCACTTTGCGTCTAATGACCGGGTTTAAAACCATCGGGTTTCAGGTTTAGTTGGAAAGGTCGTTTTCAATGAAGAAACAATAGAATAAGCCGAACGAATGGACCCTTTTTTATGATCTTGTCTCTTTTTCTAGAATGTCTGCTCTCTTTTTCTCAAAGACCGGATTTGATCATTTCTCATATAACAAATTTACAAATCATGCCTAGTGAAATCTTTTATTAAATGGAAATGTTGGTATAGTACTAATAATTCACCGAATAGAACAACTGATAAAATATGATTGTCCGCTCTCTTGAAAATCGTTTTCACTTCAACAAATTAAACACTGAGATAGGTTTTATTGTTTTCGTCGAGTAATGTTGGTGGACTTAGTTCGAATTTCTGACGCTAGCTAGCTTTTACCTTTTGTTTTTGCCATGGAGTCAATTATAAGGTCTAAAATCTTGATTGTTCTATAAATTATCCTCTAATAACACATAATATGCGAACTTGCATCCGGATGGTGATACAACGATGTTTCTAAGACAAATCGTTAGGATACATGTTTTGTTAGAAAATTTAACACAAACCATCAGGGCACAACGATGGTTTAACACAAGTCATTAGCCACGATGTGATATATTTTAGGCAAACACTATTCTATAAGTGTCAATTTCATTCTTATAATCCGGTATATACATATATACATTAAATAGATTAATTAATTAGAAGCCGCTGCAAGCCAATCATTTGAACAACATTTAGACGTAAAATTAAATAAGTAGATATAATCAATAAATAATTTCCCAAAAACAACATTCCAAATTGCTCAAAGCTCTTTCTCTATTTAAACGTTTTCTCCTCATTCCAAAAGGCACAAACCAAATCACCCATCTATCATCATTACATCTTTTTCTTGCCCTAAAAGTAAGTATAAATAACACTATAAAGCTCCGAGTAAGATGTGTAGTAACAATAACACAACTTGTGTCAACATCTCAAGTCTAATTCAGCCTGAGGACGTTTTCTCTCGTCGTTGTATCTGGGTGAACGGTCCGGTCATCGTCGGTGCTGGCCCATCAGGCCTAGCTGTCGCCGCCGACCTGAAACGCCAAGAAGTTCCGTTTATAATCCTCGAGCGAGCTAACTGCATAGCCTCTCTGTGGCAAAACAGAACCTATGATCGTCTCAAGCTTCATCTCCCCAAGCAATTCTGTCAATTACCAAATTTGCCCTTCCCGGAGGATTTCCCCGAGTATCCAACGAAGTACCAGTTTATCGAGTACCTTGAGTCCTACGCAACCCACTTTGATATCCGCCCTAAGTTCAATGAGACTGTCCAGTCAGCTAAATATGACAAGAGGTTTGGGCTGTGGCGAGTCCAGACTCTGTTGAGAAGCGAGCTGCTCGGTTACTGTGAGTTCGAGTATATTTGCAGGTGGCTCGTGGTGGCGACGGGAGAGAATGCTGAGAAAGTGGTGCCGGAGTTTGAGGGTTTAGAACACTTTGGTGGTGATGTTCTTCATGCTGGTGATTATAAATCCGGCGAGAGGTACCGTGGAAAACGAGTTCTGGTAGTCGGATGTGGAAATTCCGGCATGGAAGTCTCTCTCGACCTATCCAACCACGATGCAACCCCATCAATGGTCGTTCGTAGCTCTGTAAGTAAAATAAATTAAAGTAAAACTATAGCCACAAAGTTACGAAAAACAGAACACTGATTCTTGGTAGTTCCTCTGTTCTAAACCAGAGCATCTGATAGTTATACTCTGTTTTTCCTTGTTTGTTTTTATCTGATCGATCAGGTTCATGTATTACCGAGAGAGATTCTTGGGAAGTCGACGTTCGAGTTAGGCGTAACAATGATGAAATGGATGCCGGTTTGGCTCGTGGACAAGACTCTGCTCGTTCTCACAAGGTTACTTCTGGGGAACACTGATAAGTACGGGCTTAAGAGGCCTGAAATTGGACCCTTAGAGCTGAAGAACACCGCAGGTAAAACTCCCGTTCTAGACATCGGAGCCTTTCCGAAAATCAAATCAGGAAAAATAAAAATCGTAGCGGGAATAGCTAAGTTTGGTCCTGGAAAGGTCGAACTCGTGGATGGTCGAGTCCTAGAGATTGATTCCGTTGTTCTTGCAACTGGTTATAGAAGCAATGTGCCTACATGGCTTAAGGTACAGACAGAAACATTTATCTTAGATCAAATCATTACAACAATCGAATACCCGTTACTGACAGTTGATAAATACTAACATGCGATTTGGTCGTTGGTTTATTGTTGTGCAGGACAACGACTTGGCAGAGATTGGGATAGAGAAGAACCCGTTTCCAAAAGGGTGGAAAGGGGAGGCTGGATTGTATGCAGTTGGGTTCACGAGAAGAGGGCTCTCAGGTGCTTCGCTTGATGCTTTGAGTGTGGCTCATGATATTGCTAATTGCTGGAAAGAAGAAACTAAGCAACAGATCAAAACTGTTGCTGCTCGTCACCGTCGTTGTATTTCACACTTTTGATTTTATTTTATTTTTTACTATTTACATATAAGAAGAACATATATACGAGAAAAGGGGGAAAAGAGAGGATTGGCTAGTGTTTTGTGATGTGAAAATCCAGAGATAAGCCCACTCCAGAATAGAAAATAAATGTGAAATGTATTTGCGTTTCCTTTGTTGTAAAGGAGGTTGTGGCTTTCCATGTATTTAACGTTCTTTTATTACATTTCAGCTTATCTTTTATTGGTAAAAATGTGTTTGATTAGTTGTGCTTATATTTGCACTTTTGCAGACATATGAACATAGAGCTGATCTAGAAGTTTAAACTTGATTTAAACAAAATTTATGAACAAGATGTGTCTGAAACTGATTTCTTCATCGACAGAAATATGTGAACGAGGTAAAAAACAGAAAATGTTACTCAGTACCACCAATACATGAACTGTGTACGTATCATTTCTCTTATTATACGATGGTAAAAGCGAGATAACAAACATTAAGGTTCCAAAATAAAAATGCTTAGACAACATTCATTCATTCATCATCATCAAAAGGAGCCATTGATATTACCAGACATCAGGACGAAGCTCTCCAGTAGCTGGAGGCATCCAACGACCCGAGTTATACACGTTTTCACCGACTTTCCATCCAGGAACATCCTTCATCACATCAGCTTCATACGCTAGATACTTCTTCCACTCAGACACAAACCTAGTTACAATCAATCAACACATGGGGACTCAATGTTGGAGCATTGTCTAATTTCATAGCTGAATATTAATGCCTATCCGAAAACAAAAATATAACTTTTTAAAGCTCTTCCCTACCTTTCATCTTCTTCTGCCTGAAGAATCGGTAGAATTGCTCTACGGGCAGCATATTTTTCTTCCTTCAACGCCCTGGTCATCACAGCAATCTCAATTAGAACTTTGGTGTAGATACATTTTGCTTATTTTGACACTTTTGAACATCATTATGCAATTGAGATTCTAACCATAGAAGACTATTAGAGGATGTACAAACCAAGATAAGAAAGACAACAATCTCATGTCTAAACCCAGTTGTAGACTAAGCTAATCATGGCTATTAACTCATAATCTAACCACCTAAACAACCAAGATCCAAGTAACTTGTTTCATCTAACAATTAGATTGGTTTCTTCACCACAGCTCAAGCAATCGTTAAATAAGCTATAAATTGGGTTAAATTAGCACCATTTCAGACTAACTACACAAATTTAAAAGCATCTGAGGTTACTTGTAACTAGAAAACGGACTAGATTCAATCCCAAACTACTCAACATTTCACAACCCATAGAGAGAAACAAAAGTGAAATGTGAGTCGAGCTGTTTACACATCTGATTACCTGCGAATCTTGTTGCCCTGGCCGACTTGGTACATCCCCCAAGCAAAAGCACCGGAAAAGGTAAGGAAAATAGCCATGGCGCTCGGTCCCGTGTTGGAGATCCGGCGAGCATATCGGACCGGCGCGAACCCACCCGGTGGTGGACCATCCTGAAGCAATGGCATATCCTTCACACTCGCCATTCCTGGCTTCTTCCTTATCATCGCCTCCGTCATCTTCAACCTCGATCGAGCACTGATTTGATCCCCAAATCGATCTTCGATTTGTTAATCGAACTGTTCTAGGGATTCTGAAGAAGACAATCAGAAATGAGTACTGCGGAAAAAAAAAACTTTTTTTTGGGTGACTTTTTTAAAATGTTGTAATAACGAACTGGGCTTTTTACAAGGCCCTTATTACAAACGGGCCGGGTCAAAACTCAAACCGGATCCAAATCGGAGGCTAAAACTCGACCAAGCAATGAGCTTGGAGAAAACGTAAAACCCTAAACCCTACTGTGTCTAGAATCTTCGACGATCTACTACATTTCTCCTCTTCCCCGAGTGAGAATTTCTCAAGTTAGCTTCTTTAGTTCGATCTGCTCTGAAGCAATTGTGATCTTCTCGGTAGAGTAAGAATCTAATCACCATGTATCGGCTGGTCACCAACGTTGCTTCAAAAGCTAGGTAGATCTATTCGGCTTTATGGGTTTTTAATTGTATATTGCGATTTGGATGCTGCTTTTTCTTATGACTTTTGGTTTTGATTGGTTCCTCGGAGATCAGATTGGTAAAGATGTAATTGAGCTTTTTAGTTCTGATTTTTCTGAATTTTGATCGATATGTTAGTAGAAATCGGATTGAATTGAACCTTTCTCTGCGCACGGAGACTGTAGCATCTTCATTTTTCTGTGTATTTCTGAAAGTTGCTTTTCGTTTATTGACGGGATTTATCTTTCTTTGTTTGTACAGGATTGCTAGAAACTGTACAAGCCAGGTTCATATTCTTCATTTTGTATTTGGTTATACTGTTTGGAGTCCTTTGTGGTATGTATTGATGTGCATTATTTAAATTGTTAGATTGGAAGCAGGCTCAATTCTACTAGGAATTATGCAGCGAAAGACATTAGATTCGGTGTTGAAGCTCGTGCTTTAATGCTTAAGGGTGTCGAGGATCTTGCCGATGCTGTTAAAGTCACTATGGGACCCAAGGTAATCAAATTATGTTTCTGATAGTTTATGTTCAAGGACTTATATTGTAAGTGAATCTATATATAAATGGAGACTGTGACGCCCTATTGACAAGTATCAACAACTTGCTGTTTTGTTACCCCAGTCCCTGATACAACATTCTAAAGCAATTTTCTAAATTTCCTTAGGGTCGTAATGTCATCATTGAACAAAGCTGGGGTGCACCAAAGGTGACAAAGGATGGTGTGACTGTTGCCAAGAGCATTGAGTTCCAGGACAGAGTTAAGAACGTTGGTGCCAGTCTTGTCAAACAGGTTGCAAACGCCACAAATGACGTAGCTGGTGATGGTAAGTGTTCCCTTTCATTGTATTAATGAATACGTTTTTTCTTTTTTTTTTTTTGTAATTGGAATGTTAGTCTCCTATCGATTCATACTAATCGTGTTAATTGAATGTGACAAAAAAATATGGTATGGTTTACAGGAACCACATGTGCTACAGTCCTTACTCGGGCTATCTTCACAGAAGGTTGTAAATCAGTTGCCGCTGGAATGAATGCGATGGACCTAAGACGTGGTATCAAACTGGCAGTTGATACTGTTGTGACAAACTTGCAGAGTCGAGCACGCATGATTAGCACTTCTGAAGAAATCGCCCAAGTGGGAACAATATCAGCTAATGGAGATAGAGAAATTGGTGAACTGATTGCAAAGGCCATGGAAACTGTCGGCAAAGAGGGAGTGATCACAATTCAAGTGAGTTTAATTTGATCCATATGTGTTAAGTTATTTTGATTATTTTGCTTTATTCCTTAACTTATGTTATCATCTCTTGATTCAGGATGGCAAGACCTTGTTTAATGAACTAGAAGTTGTTGAGGGTATGAAGATTGACAGGGGATACATTTCCCCTTACTTCATAACAAACCCGAAAACCCAAAAATGTGTAAGGCTTCCCACCTTGTTGGTTTAAAAATTTAAGGAACTTCTCATTTGTCATGTTCTGCATGGATATTGTTTGCAGGAACTAGAAGATCCTCTCATTCTTATCCACGAGAAGAAAATTTCCAATATAGGCGCTATGGTGAAAGTCTTAGAACTGGCCCTCAAGGTACAAACAGTTTGGCAATTTCTTGATTGGCAATAATGTCTGATATTCATCAATACTTTGTATCTAAAGATCGAAATTTATTTCCTTTGTTATTTTTCAGAAGCAAAGGCCGCTACTGATTGTTGCTGAGGATGTGGAGAGTGATGCTCTTGCCACCCTAATTCTGAACAAACTTCGTGCTGGAATCAAGGTTTTTCTTTTCAGCCTTCTGTTGTATGCCTTTGTTTTGCAATGTCTTATTAGAATTTAGTTTTATTTAATTCATGTGAATGGTATTGCGTTATAGGTATGTGCGGTGAAGGCCCCTGGTTTTGGGGAGAACCGGAAGGCCAATTTACATGATCTAGCTGCCCTCACTGGAGCCCAGGCATGCCCATGTTTCTTTTTTTATTATCTGCCAAGACAAGCACACCTACACGAATTGCATGATCTATAATGTCTCGTTGGTGATTCCACTTTGTAGGTAATAACAGAGGAGTTAGGTATGAATCTCGACAACATTGACCTCAGTATGTTGGGAAACTGCAAGAAGGTTCGTTTGGTCCAATTCCTTCTGCTTTCTTTCTTCTCCCTGTACCTTCTGGTACTTATATAACTTGGTTTTCGTTTGTTAACAGATAACTGTGTCCAAAGATGATACTGTTGTTCTCGATGGGGCTGGTGACAAGATAGCAATTGGGGAACGATGTGAGCAGGTTAGTGTACCTTTTTTTCATCATGTATAGGTTCAATGTTAATACCTTTACCCATTTTTCCAACTGATAAGAATGTGTATTTTGTTTTAATGTTTTTAATAAATCACACAGATACGATCCATGGTTGAAGCCAGCACATCTGATTATGACAAGGAGAAGTTGCAAGAAAGGTTGGCTAAGCTTTCGGGTGGTGTTGCTGTACTAAAGGTAGTGTACACCTCTTGTAAACATCAAAATAAGAGGCTATTTATGCATTATTAGTTTATGCCTAACGTCGAGATTACTCACATGGGTTTTTAGATTGGAGGTGCGAGTGAGGCAGAAGTTAGCGAGAAGAAAGATAGAGTAACTGATGCTCTAAATGCAACTAAAGCAGCTGTAGAAGAGGGTATTGTTCCAGGTAAAAAAAACATCTTAAATCTCTAAAACAAAGTTTGGTCAAGTCCTGAAAAAAATAAAATTGCCTGAGAATTACATGTACGTTGTGTTGCAGGTGGTGGTGTTGCTCTTTTGTATGCTTCGAAAGAACTTGGGAATCTTTCCACAGCTAACTTTGATCAGAAAATTGGTGTTCAAATCATTCAAAACGCTCTCAAGGTGTTTCTCTTATCATATTGTTCATCCTCAGCTAGCATAGACAGCTTCTAGGTTCTTACACACAAAATCTGTCTTTGATGTAGACACCTGTTTACACGATTGCTTCCAATGCTGGAGTCGAGGGTGCAGTTATCGTAGGCAAGCTTTTGGAGCAAGATAATCCCGACCTCGGTTATGACGCTGCCAAAGGTTACACTCTTAAATACATTAGAGGATTCACTTTCTATATATTGGTCCACCTTATTATTTCCCCCCTATTTTCTGAAATCTGAACTAGCTTCTTCTCTCATTTTACTTTCAGGAGAATATGTTGACATGGTAAAGTCAGGTATTATTGATCCTTTGAAAGTGATCAGAACCGCATTGGTTGATGCTGCAAGGTAGACAATTTGAAAATTTGTCTGCAAGTTTTATAGTTTATTGCAATGAATTTGCTAATTTTGTTTTTCGTTCGTTATTGTATTGGTTAGTGTCTCCTCTTTGTTAACTACAACGGAAGCAGTTGTGACTGAGATTCCAACGAAGGAGAAGGACGCGTCTCCAGGTATGGGTGGCGGCATGGGTGGTATGGGCGGTATGGGAGGAGGAATGGGTTTCTGAGAAGAACTGTAAACCCTAAATAGGTTTCTTTGGAATCTGTTGTGAGATGCTACGGTTGTTTTATCCACAAGGCACTGATGGATTCTTTAAATCATATGATTGGTAGAGACTAGAGAGAGAACCTTGAGACTTTTCCATGATTTCACAATTGATTTATAAAAAATGTTGAAGAAAGGATTTGTTTTGCTTGGTCCATGCATGAAGCCTTTTTTGTTAACCCTTTCTAGAATTATTCTTCAGACTAGAGAGTCTAGTGAAAAAAACCCAAGTGTTTTGCTGGCCTCTGCTGCTGTTGCTCTTGTGGCTCTTGTATTTACATTCTTACATGGATTTCATCAGTATTTAGATCACTTGCCGAGCATATTAACTCGTAACCATTCTCTTTTGTAGAAGTTTCGTGAATCTTTAAGATCTAAGAAAATCAAAAGGCATAATTCGAAAGGAGATGCCTTGAAGATGGAGAAGGCATAATAATCACTAATTAATGCTTATGCCTTGCACACCAAGTGGCTTATGATAAATCTATACATTAATTTAAAACCTGTTTCTTCTTCATTCGTGCATCCTTTTCTTCTCTTTCTTTCTAGCTTCCACTTCATTTGTGCATGTTTTCTTCTCTCTCTATTAATTTTACTTGTTCAAATTCTGCTTTCTCTCCACCTATGAGTGAAGCATCACCTTCTTGTTCTCCAATGCTTCCCTGTCTTTACATGTCATATGTGAAGAAGCAAAGTGTGTTCAACATCTTTTGGTACTAAAAGCTCATAAATTAAAAGATTAATTTTATGTTTACCCGAAAAAGAAAGCAAACCTAGCTACTTTAACACGTAAGGTCCAAACATCGCGTGGTGAATTAAGATTATGATTTGGGTTTCCAAAATAAAAGGAAAAAGTCAAGATTACGAACCAAACTCTATTTGTCTTGGCGTCTTTGTCCTTATCATTTCCATAAACTGCCCTACACTTATAGCATTAAACCAGAATCAAGGAAACCGTAATTGTAATTAATTAAAATAATTTTCGGATTGATTACACTACAGCTAGATGGATTTTACGTACTTTAAGAGTAGTAAAAAAAGATATCCACTAAACTAGATGAGAAACCAAATGAAACTTAAGAGTTACGAATGTTCTTTAAACTTCTAGTTCATGTCACACTAGTCAATTTGTTTTGGTAGCTAGTAAAAGAGAGAGAGAGAGCGAATGAAGAAAGAAATTGGAGGTTGATAATGAAATTAGCTTAACGAGAAAACTATATATATATCATATCATATCTGGTGTAGGCAAGAAAATTTAAGGTCTCGTGTTGATTACTACACACTTCCAAAACTTCTAGTTAAACCACAAGTAGGCTTACTTTTAAGAAAGTTCCACGTCGTTAATTATTCGTTTGTTTTAATTATCCACGAACAAACACACACGTACGTGGACGTGGCTGTCCATTGTAAACATTTCCTCGTGCTCGGGGAATGTTTCTTCTTTATTTTATTCTTGAGATTCACAACGTTCGAAGTTCTTAATTATTAAATCAGCATGTTTCATGTGAGTATGTGACTAAAAATCATTAAAACATAGTAAAACCCAACACTCAAGCGGAAACTCAACAACATGTGTCTCTCAATATTATAATATTCATAATTTTTATCTAGATTTTGGAATAAATAAAAGGAAATAATAGGTCAAAAGCAAATGAAGGTAGAGTAGCTAGAGGTCATCAAATCGAACGGCTATAAACAGAAGTGCACAGGTCAGTTTAATGAAATGGGTTACACAGAATCAGACACCAAAGAATGTAATTTAATAATTTTTAAATGTGGAGTTTTGAACCGCTGCTCCTTCTTTATATATACTCTCTGCGTGATTATCGTGTCAGAGAGAACACTCAACTCACACTTCATCTCCCAAAGCTTCTTCTTCTTCTTCTTCTCATTCTCTATCTTAAGTCTCTAACTTTTACATACCAAAATTCCAACCATAGCCAAATTACAAAACAAAACAAAAAGGTCAGATTTTTAAAACCGGTAATTTTTATTTTTTATTTTTATTTTTATTACTGATGATTCTCTCTGCTTTGAGTTCTTCTTTTGACATGTAAATTTCTGTCTTTAGATCCTTGAGAATTTTTGTTAGTCGCTAGTCGGAATTGTCTTGTGTTAGAGTTAGAGAGATATCATTGGCATATTTTTCTGAATAATAATGTCAAATTTTTTTTTTTTGAAGATGATAATAATGTTCTTGACCACACTTAAAAAAAAAAAGAAAAAAGCAGCATTGCCTAAATGGGAGAAAAAAAGTTGAATTCTTTCAGATTGTTTTATTTATTTTTGGTCAAAGGATTGTTCTTATCTTTTAGTTGCCTTTTTGACATGAATACTTTCTTAAAATTCAATGTTATATAAAAATTTCATTTAGAGTTTGTTCTTTTTCATCAAGTCAAATCTAATCACACATACTGTTCAGAGAAAAAATATGAATTGATTTAGACAAGAGATCTTTAGCCTCTAGTTCCATTTCAGTTTCTTGTAGGTTTTTGGCAATGAATGGATCAGCTGAAGCTTCTACACGGACTAGATCATTGCAGGTCAGTCCTGGTGATTTAGAGGCTGCTCATCTAGATGAACTCACAAGGGAAATAGAACAGAGGAGTCTCTATTACTACCAAGAGAAAAACAAGTCCTTGAGAGCTCGTTATGTCTACGGAACCATCTTCTTGATTATAAACTTATGCGCTTGGTTTATCCGTGACTACGCACAAAAGGCTCTGGCCTTGCTTCCATGTAAAAATTCATATATATATCTTTTGAGATAAATATCTAATGTTTGAATTTAAAGATACTTCATATTTGAAATCATCAATGCAGATGTCAGTAGTTGCGGACCTCAAGGAAGTTACTGTTTCCATACACTTGGAGTACTCCGCGTGAGTCTAGGATGTTTCGTATCCTGAAAAAATGAAATGTTTTGCTGATAGATTCATAATGTTAAGTACTTGGTATGCTATATAGGTTTTGTTTATCCTTAGCAATGAAGATGTTTTTCCTTATTATGTTCCTCACAACATGGAACACAATGCAACTCCATCAAGCTCAAAACAGTTGGCACTCGGATTATTGGATCTTCAAGTTCGTCTTGCTGGTTTTAGTCATGGTAGCTACTTTCTTTATACCTCAGCTTTACATCCAAATTTACGGTATGTTCATGTCTCTCACTATAGCTCAGTAATCTTTTCCATTTTATCTAATCAGTATGGATCATGACAATGATGTTTTCCTTACAGGGGAAATCGCGCGTGTTGGTGCAGGGTAAAATCACCTTTCAAGCTGCTCTCTCATAAATGATGGAGAAACAAATGATTTGACACTCATAACATTTCTATGGTTTCAGGATATTTCTTGGTCTTCAGCTTGTAAGTGTCATCGAATTCATTACATGGTGGAATAACTATTGGATACCTCATGACCAAAGAAAGCAAAGGTAAACAAGGATCAGTCATTACAAAAGCGTTTTCTCTGTGTGGATATATCACCTGTTGGTTAATACTGTCTTTTCTGCAGCTGCTCTTTTGGATTGGTCATGTCAACAGTATTCTACATTGGTTCTGTTTGCGGGATTGCAGTGATGTATTACTTTTATGTAACTTCTACTGCTTGTGTCCTCAATATGTTCTTCATCTCATGCACTGTTGTTATTCTAACTGTTATGATGGTTATGTCCTTGCATTCAAAGGTACATTTCATGGATTTTGCTTTGATGATAACACAATGATTGAACTCTTATTCAAATTCTGATGCTTTGCATTAAAGGTGAAGAATAGAGGACTTTTGTCTTCCGGGATTATGGCTTCCTACATTGTCTTCCTATGTTGGTCTGCTGTTAGAAGGTAAAGAAAAGAAAAACAAAATCTGACTTTTGTTTGGTTAGTTCTTCAAAGCACTACTAAAGTACAAGTTCTGTATCAGCGAACCTTCACATACAAAATGCAACGCGCATACTCAAAACAGTCATACTGATTGGATTACAATACTGGTAAGAGCTCAAAGCCTCTTCTTGAATACTTGCTTACTTATAATTAATCTACTTTTTTTTCATCTTTTTTTTTTTTCTCTATGTTCAGAGTTTCCTTATAGCTATAGGCGCCATTGTGATGGCAACATTTTCAACTGGAATCGACTCAGAATCCTTCAAGGTAAGTTTACAGTCAATCTCAGCTTAAAAATCAATATTTTTCTGCATTAGCCAATAAATCTCTATTACACAGTTCGAGTTCCGTAGAGATGAAGGTAAAGAAGAAGAAGATATACCATACAGCTATGGATTCTTTCACCTTGTGTTCTCCTTAGGAGCAATGTACTTTGCTATGTTGTTTATCAGCTGGAACCTTTCAGATTCAGCTCGGAAGTAAGGAAAAAATCCCATCTGCATATATTCCCTTGTGAAACAACAATATAAGATTGTGTCTACATATGTACCACACAGATGGAGCATTGATGTTGGGTGGACAAGCACATGGGTGAAGATAGTGAACGAGTGGTTTGCCGCAGCCATTTACTGTAAGTTAAAAGTTTAGTTGTTTTCCGTTCTTGATCTAACAGATGCCAGTTAAGCATAAAGTAAAAAAAACACTTTACAATGAAATCTCTTATACCAGTTAAGCATGTTAATGCCCTTTTTCTGTTTATTGATTTTGGGGTTCAATGGATTTGAGTACAGTGTGGAAGTTGATTGCTCCTATTGTGAGACAGCCAAGAGTTCATGAACAACCTCAGCCAACAGCACAAGAAGTGGACAGATAGATAGATGAAGTGGAAATGATCTGACATTATCGCTAGAAGTTTTGAAGTTAATACAACATCATTGAGAGGTCATTCTTTATAAAGTCGTTCTTGTCAAGTTCATTCATTTTTTTACCTTAATGTGATTTCACTATAAACATAATCCAATGTATAAACCTTTGATGAAAGTCAGATCAAAAGAAAAGATTCTTGAGTTCTTAAACTAGATTAGATTCTTTGATTCTTGAAACTGTGCTTATGTAAGCAACCATCTGGAAACTTATATAAACAGAACATGAAAGAGTAGCTGGGAAGAAAAACACTAGAAAACCTGAGGTTAGTCATATTTCTTATCAGATCCTGGAACAAACCAGCGAATGTTGGACAAGCAGTAAGCGAATCGAGACCAGCTTATTTTGGTTGTAGCAAGATCATAAACACCGCTACTACTGTCAAAGTTTGCATTTTTCCAAACATAAGCAGGCCAAACATCATCAGTAATGAAATAAATAGAATTGCTTTTGATGAACCCATCACCAAAAACCAACATCATCTCATCATCTAAAGAATACACTCTTGCCCATTCGGTTCCTTCAACATTCATCTTAAAAAACTTAAACAAGTATCTTCCCTCTTCATTCTCTGGATATTCGTTTTCTATGCTGACAATGATCACAACATCTCCTGAAGTCGTGATTGCTATTTTCTCCGTCCATTGTTCTCCATCTTCCGGATAATAGTTAAACCGATGATTCAGAAACCGGGTTTCGTGGATGATCTCATTCGGGAAATCATCAGAGAAATCAAGAATCTTGATGTAGTGAGACTGTGTGATAACAAAAAGTTTGTTGTATTTGTAAGCCATAGCTAAACAATCTGTGCCTTGAAGATGCCACCAAGATTCATTTCCCTTCTTGTAGGAGAACAAGTACATATCTTGGTAATTCCAACAAACCACAAAATCTTTCGTTTCCTCATCAATCCATAAAACAGCAGTCTTGATAAACCTGTTGATGATTGTCTCACGGTCATTAGGAGAGTGTTCTAGGAAGACTCCGCCATCGTCTTTTCTTCGGAATCTCACTTCACCTCCTCCTTGGAGTGATAGAGATGGAAGATTGATTTTCTCGCCGGTAAACACATTTATGATAGAAAAATCGATACGAGGAGACAACATTAGCAACCAGTTACCATAACTCGCAATGCAACGACACACGTGAAACTCGTTTCCGAGATCTCTGGTCTTGTAAGTTTTGTTTTCAAAAGGATCTAACAGCTTACAAGATCCCGAGACAGAAGACTTTTCCCGGAAAAGCATCAGCCACGGATACCTGTTTCTTGATCCCGCAACGCATGATTTCGAAACGGAGTACCAACTTGAACAAACGGTTCTTGCTCGATGAAAATCTGGAAAGCTCAAGCTCTCTAGAATCAATTGTATAGCATCGGAACACATCTCTGACCAGTCGACGACTCTAGGTTCCATCTTTTTATCCTCGCCTTGGCATAGAAGTAACCGAGTATCGCTATAATATGTTTAAACAGAGTCTGCAAGTTTGTTCTGATGGGTTTTCCGGTCTTCGGAGATCTTGTGCCACCTTGAGCCGTAGAATCGGTGGCGGCTAGACTTAGGGATTAAGTGATTTACATAATATAAAAAAAAAGGAGAGGCCCGTTAATATAAAACCTAAACCTAATTTCTTCCGTGTTCCTTACGAAAACTGTTAAGAAACATTAACTAATTAACGAGTCTTGCAAGATAAACCACGTGTTTTCTTCCTCTTTTAAAATAATGAGTCTCGAGATTAAACAAAAAGCAAATACGTAAGTATGAAAGGTTAATTCTCGCTCCAAGTAACATTTGATCGTGGAGTAATATTGTAATAAGAATCATTTGCTAAACAGAGTACCCTAAAGGGACAGCTTTAACAATATTATCTATGAATTGGGAATGATACACTGCAAAATATATAGTTAAAAAGGAAAATGTTTGTCTACAACAACTATGGTTTTTTTTTTTTTTTTGGACACCACCTACAACAACTATGTATTAACCCGTTTTCATGTGTCATCTATGCAAAGATAAAATCATAAAAATTGTGTATATATTTTGCTTAAAACTCAAACTTCACCAACCGACTATAAACCATGAATATATATACAAAACTCAAGTTAAACCTCGCAACAACAATAAATAAACAAAAATAGTCTACGTTGATCAAATACATAAAATATCCAAAGTGATCAACTTGGCTCTGCTTCAGCAACTGGTACAAAGACGTTAAGAGACAATCACCTACTTGTTTACTCCGTGTGATTTTACGTGTCTTGATGAAAATCATAACAACGCAAACCAAATAAAATATATATAGGATTGGTATGTGAATACACTCATTAATATTTGGGTTCTTGGAATATCAAAAGACTAATAACATATACTTTGTACACCTATTGTGAGATAGCCTGTATAGTTCATGAACAACCTCAGCCAGCAACAGTAGAAGTCAGCAGATAGATAAGATGAATTCAACCTTGCTCAAATTTTTGGATTTCCATTCTTTAAAAAAAAAATTAGCAAGTTCATTAGTAACGTGTTCCACTAGGAACATAATCTAATGTATCACGTAATCACGTTGAAAACTTCATATAGATTCTATGATTCTTGAAACTCATCCTTAAATGTAGGTAAGCAAGACATCAACTAATTAATATATATATATATATATATATATATATATATATATATTGGAAACTAAAAAGGAACTGTGGTTGATCCATCGTGATCAGATCCCTGGAACAAACCAGCGAATTTTGGACCAGTAATAGTAAGGTTGCGTCCATCTTATTTTGGTTGTTGCAAGATCAAAAGCACCGGAACTACTTTGAGGGTCTTGATTGGTCTGAGGCGGCCAAACATCATCAGCAAGGAAATAGATGACTCCTCCATCAATATCTTCTTTAGCTGATGCTGCTGATGCCAATGTGAACCCATCACCAAAAAGCAACATCTCTTTGCCCAAAGAATCTAGTCGTTCCCATTCTTCCGCTTGAGGATTCATCTTAAAGATATAGAACAAATGTTCCACTTCGTTACCAGAGCATTTTTTTAAGCTCAAAATGATTAGAATATCTCCTGAAGTCGTGATCGCTAATCTCGTCTTCCAAACGTATTCCCACAGTTGCGGATCATAGCGAAAGGGATGATTCAAATACGGGTTTGCTTCGGTGATCTCTTCCGGGATGTCACCAGAGTAATCAAGAATCTTGATGTGATGATCATAGGTATACACAAAGAGCTTTTGGTCCTTGTAAGCCATAGCTAAACACATTGTGCCTTCAAGGTGCCACCAAGAATCATCCCCTTTCTTGAATGAGAACAAGTACTGATCATTGTAAATCCAACAAACAACAAAATCCTTGGTCTTCTCATCAACCCACAAAACAGCCGTCTTGATGTACCTGTTGATGATCGTCTCACGATCTAACCAAGATTGTTCGAGGAATAACCCACCATCGTCTTTTCTTTGGAATCTCACTTCACATCGGAGTGACAGAGACGGAAGATTGATTCTCTCGATGGTAAACACGTTTAACAGGTAGAAATTGAGACTCGGATCCAGCATAAGTATCCAGTTACCGTAACTCGCAAGGCAACGGCTCTCGGATAATTTGTCTCCGAGATATCGTGTCCTGTAAGTCTTTCCTTCTGCAGGATTGTACAGCCTACAAGAATTTGTGTCAGACACCTTATTGAACAGCTTCTTGGACGGTTTCGAGACGCAAGACTTTTCCGGGAAAAGGATCAGCCATGGAGACCTATTCCGTGACCCTGCAACGCATGATTTCGAAACAGAGTACCATTTTGAACAAACGGTTCTTGCTCGATGAAAATCTGAAAAGCTTAAGATTTCGAGAATCAATTGAATGGCATCGGAACACATCTCCGACCAGTCCACGTCTCCCGCAGATGTCATCTTTTATTCTCTCTGATTCTCTCTAACTCTTAGCGCGTTTCATTTGCTACCAAGTTAGGCTGAAGCCTGCTTTTATATGTTTTAATAATTACTTTTCCTTTTGTAAATCGGAATAAACGATTTGTATGTTCGGTAGGATTGGGATTTTAATCTGCAACAAAAATAAATAAATAAAAATAGTCTAGCAAAACAATACTTGAATCAAATTATTTGAAAATATCCAAAGTCAACTTGGCTTTATCTAACTAGAATTTGGAACAAACCATGCAATTTTAATAGTTGTGTTCAATATTTTAGAGGATCGGTTGTAAGATTTATAACTTTTTTTATTAACCAAAGATTCATTAAACCACAAATTTCCCTAGAAACATCACGTTAATCCGCAAAATAAAGATACCTTAATACGAAAAATCAAGCTTACAACCATCACAATACTTAGAAATATATGTAAATCCACAGACAAAAGTAGCCCAAAAGAAACAACTGGGCAAGTTGGCTTTGCTGAATCTTTAGACTTAGACCAAATGAGAAACCAATCTCCTAAACAAAGCCTTTAAGCATATCCCGGAACAAACCAGAAACTCTCCGGGGACGAAAGTGAGTTAGGCATTACGATTGTACTTGTGGCAAGATCGAACACACCGCAATTACGTTCTGTACCTAAAACTGGCCAAAGATCATTACTGCGGAAACAGATTGAATCATTCTTGATACCCGAACCATCAATATCTTTGATAGGTGCTCTAATTGTGACCCCATGACCAAATATCAACATCTCACCACCGAGAGAATCTACTCGTTCCCAATTACAACTTCCCAAATTCATCTTATAGATGTAAAACAAAGGTTTATTTTCTAACCCTTTTAAGCTCACGACCATCAAAACCTCTCCAGAGTTCGTAACCGATATTCTCTGCTTCCAACCGCACTCCCCACGTTTTAAAACAGAGCGGAGGTCAAACAGATGGTTACGATACGGATTCCCTTGGACAATCTCATCAGGGGAATCACCAGATATATCAAAAACCTTGATGCTGTTATCTTTTGTGTACACATAAAGCTTGTAATCCTTATCAAACGCCATAGAAACACACTTTATACCTTGGAGACTCGACCATGAATCATCTCCTTTCTTGCATGTGAACAAATAGTGTTGTTTGACACTCCAAGCTACAACATAGTCCCCTGTTCTCTCATTTATCCAAAGACAAGCCTGTTTCTGGCAAGAGACCATGTCCGTACGCTCGATAAAAAGTTTCCACACAACTTGTTTGTCGGATCTCTCTTTTCCCAGAATAAATGTCTCCATCGATGGGAGATCGATTCTCTCGCGAGTGAACACGTTTACAAGATAGAAACCTAGACCAGAATCAACCATCAAGAACCAATTGCTGCAGCTAGCAAGTACATACCTTTCTGAAAACTCGGCTCCGGGATGTTGGATTATGTGGGACTTGTCTTCTCCCGGATCGAAGAATAAAATAGAGTCGGCGTTGAATAAGATTCGCCATGGATACAGAGGTCGCTTACAAGTTGTGGAAACTGTATACCAGTTCGAGCACACGGTTCTCGCTTGATGATAATCCTTACAGTTTAACCTTTCAAGTATTGATCGCAAAAGATCGTGACAAAGCTTTGACCAATCATAACGAGGTCTCGACATTTTCTTCTCTTCAAATCATTCCGATGGTTGTGATTTGTGATAGTTATATAATTTAGGGTTATCTTTTCAACAAAGGAAACCTAATGGGCTTTAAGCTCATACTAATGGGTTTTATATGGACTAATAAAGCCGGTAAATAAAACATGGTTAGGTTATATTACGTATCAAGTGTTGTTTGATATAAGTCGATGGTTGATACCAACACCTTTATCCGGAGCCAAACACAAATTTCATTGGAAAATTATGCTAAATTTTTATTAAAAACAAAAAAAAAGCTACAAAAATGCATGTTATACAATCAAAATACGTATTCAAATAGTTGATAGAACCAAAATCAGAGACTGAGGAGAGAATCTGACAGAGCTTATGAAGACTATGAATATCCTGGAACAAACCAGCAAATCTTCGAAGACAGATCTTCTAATCTTGTATGCCATGCGACTGTACTTGTGGCGAGATCGAACACACCGCAAATTGGTTGTCTCTTCATTGTAAGATCATTTTCAAACAAATGGTCATCATAAAGGAAACAGATCGAATCACTCTTGAGTCCTCCGCCACTAATATCTTTGACCGGTGCTCTTATTGTAACCCCATGGCCAAAAATCAACATTTCATCTCCCAAAGACTCTACTCTTTCCCAATCGCCAATCTCAAGATTCAGCTTGCAGATGCAAAACTTTCTATCTAACCCTTCTAAACTCAGAACGATTAGAACTTCTCCTGCTCTTGTGACTGCAAGTCTCAACTTATAAATCGTATCTATGAAGCGAAAAGGATGACTAAGATAAGCGTTTTCTTCCACGGTTTCTTTAGGACAATCTCCAGAAAAATCAAGAATGTTGATGTAATGATCAAAAGTATACACGTAGAGCTTGTTATCTCTATAAGCCATATCCTCGCACTGTGTGCATGTGATACTCCATCGCTTATCATCAACACCATTTCCTATTTTCTTGTGTGAGAAGATATAGAAATGTTTGATAGCCCAAGCAACGACGTAATCTCCATTTCTCCCGTTTACCCACAGAATCGCCGTTTTCTCAAACCTAAAATAGTTCCACGTCAAGAGAAACTTGGTGCCGTATAGCTCAAGGAAGTATTCAAACTCGTCATTTCTTGTGAATCTAAAAGGACGATCACCACGAAGCGATGATTCTAATGAAGGAAGATTGATCCTCTTTCGAGTAAACACGTTCAAAAGATAGAAATCTAGACTAGGATCTACGACTAGTATCCAATTCCCGTAACTAGCAAGACAATGGATATCGGATAAGTCGATTCCAAGAAGATTTTTTGAGTAGATCTTGTCTTGCACTGGATCAAACAAGACAGAGTTCTTACCTCGGAATACGATTCGCCATAGGTACAGAGGACATGTTCGGGATACGGCATACCAGTTTGAGCAAACGGTTCTTGCTCGATGAAAGTCCAAGCAACTCAAGCTTTGGAAGATCAATCGCAATAGATCAGGATAAAGCTTTGACCAACCATTATCATCTCTAGACATTTTCGTGTAGCATTTTCTGGAGGCGTGCACCTAACATTTTAGGGTTTTGTTCTTTTTTCCTAGTGTGAATATAAATCAAATCATCAATTCGGATATTCCGGTTATAGTTTTCATACCCGAACAAACCAAACCAATACTAAAAAAAAATAACAATCAAGTAAAACGATTTTATAATTAAAATGAATAAATAACCAATCTAACCCATACAATGGACTCAAATTTAGAGCTGTAGCAGTTTAACCGAGTTTGGCTCGGTGCCATAATCTGTAGCTGGTAAAGACACACCAAGATCCGCAATCCAAGACTCATCCCCTAATGGCTCCAAATGATCCGTTATTTTCCCTTCAAAACTGATCCTATAAATCCTGAAAAACTCCTTCAACCGTTTAATCATCAAAACATTTCCAGATACAGTAACACCGATGACCCCAACCCGGCTCCTCCCTGTTACATCATTACTAAAAGGATCATAATACATAAGGTGAAGCTGTCTCTGCGTCTGCTTATTGATTCATAAGGTGAAGCTGTCTCTGCCTCGCTTATCTAGGTTTCGCTCAACACATAGCCTCCCTTGGTATGACTCTAATGGCGGAAGATTAATTCTCTCGCGCGTGAAAATATTCAAAACATAGAATCTTGATCCAAAGTCGAATATTAAATTTGTTAAACCTACCTTCTTCGGGATTGAACAATTGATATGAACAGCCCCTTCTATCTTGGAAGGGAAGATATTCATCTACGGAGACATGTTTGTTAAACTGATTTGTTTACTTAACTCTGTACCAATCCTAAACGTTCCAAAACCAGTAGTAGAGCATCGGAGTTAAGCTCCGAACAGGTTTGCGTCGCCATGAGTACTAGTCAATTCTGTTTCTAAACTTGAGTTGTTGTTAATCGTAGGTCATCAAATTTATATACCGAAACTAAATATACACAGAGGAAATCTAGGAATTGGAAATTATCTTTACACGTAAAATATTTACTCGTATAAAATATTTGTTTTTTTTGAGTCCTATCCATAATCAAATTCTGTTATGTTAGCCTCTAGGCCTATTCTACATAACTTCTATAAATCCATTATTAGATTTATTTTTTTTAGTCACACAGAGTTACTTTCAAGTTTTTACAACTCATAAGCATCATCAAGTCAAACATTATACAAAGAAAAAAGAAAAATAAAAAAGAAAAAGGGTTTAGAAATTGGCAGGACTGTCATCGAGTTGCTTCTCATCTTCAATCTCAACCTCCAAAATCTCAGGGATCCTCTGTTTCATGTAGTTACCAATTCGAGCTAGAACCATTGCACGCGTGTGCCAAAACTTGCCTCTTAAGCTTATCGTAACGAATGGTCCGTCTAGTTCCACTAACTCTACTTGTCCTGTTATCCCAACCGACGAGTCGAACAGTTGCGCTAGCTGCCGTACGTAACCAAAACCAGAAACGTTGGTACACTTCGGTTTAATTGAATACCGGTTCTGAATCTATTACGTAACAATCTAGAATTGGGCAACCAACACGGTTAGAGAAAAAGAAGTTTACCTCGATGCGAGCTTCGGATAGTACCAAATGGATATTATCCTCCGTCAAATCCAGTGGCGGAAGCGAAACTCCTCCGCCGGAAACTGCTTCCGCCGTCGTTAGTGTTCTTGCTATTGGTTTCTCCGATAAGAACGTTCCTAGATACACAGGCTTTCTCATTCTAACATTGTTGAACCGTATAGCAAGTACGATACGGTTAGATACTGGATTCCAGATTTTGTGTGGTGGAAAACTCGGCGGAGCCGTACGGTGGTTGATCGGAAGAGCCACCAGTTCCATGGCCACTCTGTACCGCAAAAATCTGCTTAACTGGGTTAAAAGGAGTTGTGGTTTCTGATAATGTTGATGGTGACGTGTCAATATATCAATCGTCCGTTTACGTTTTTTCTGATAAATGGGCTTAAGGATTACGAAATATTATGGGCTTCTCAGTAATTGTTAATAGGCCCATAAGATCATGCAATCATTAACATTTAGGAAAAAAGTTTTTTACAATTTTATTTGACAAATTCTCTCACATGTAATGTAATACAAACAAGAAAGAAAGAAAAAAATTGTAATGATGTCAAATATAACTTGAGGATTACGTTAAGAGTTTTGACCAAGAGAATAGTTAGACATATGTATTAATCACCAAGAAATAAAGAATGGTGATATAATAAGATCTCTTTAGATATCGTACCCCAAAGACAAAAAAAAAGGAAGAAGAAAAAGATCTATAGTAGATACAAATACAGTGTTATTGAAATGTTGGAGTCTTTAACAAGTGACAAGTCACATGGTTACAATTTACAAATGGCATAGTGGAAAAAAAAAAGAAAGGGATTTGAGGTGGCATGGACATGTGTAGGGTTTCGTTATCCACCATATATATATATATATATATATATTTCACACGCTTGTGGGTCTTACAAAGAGACGTACGAATTCGTATATATATATATATATGGTGTATACGTGAATCTGTATATAACCATTATATATTCGTGTATTCTTTATATATACTATAATATATCTCATTGGTAATTCCAGTTAAGTTCCGAATAGAGAGATCTAAGTTCTGATATATATACTATTTCGTCGTGCTTCACATAATGTCATTAAAAACCTTACACTGCGAATGACTTTGCAGATAGAGAATGGAGCAAGCTAACAAGAATATGGTTATATGAATACGATGTTGTGTTACAAATATTGCACAATTCATGGTAAATGATCAGATGCATCTTGCATGGATCAACCATTCTATATATTTCGAATACAATAAAAAAACAAAGCATATCCGTTTTATATATTGATGATGTATTGCTATAATAATTGTTTTTTCTATTAATTTATATTTTATTATATGGATTATCTAAATATATACGTACGTAAGATTGTGTTGATTACATATGTACATCATATCATCTAAACAATTAATATATACAATTTTCTTCTCAATTTTTACTAGAAAAATCGCACTACTTGTTTATTGTATGATTGTATATATATATTATGAAGCGTAATAAGAAAACAAGTGGGTCATAAAATATAATTCTAAAACAATTAAAATCTTAACTTATTGACGCCTGTTGAGTCAAAGCTTGGCAGATCTAATCTCTGAGAGGCTTCTAAGCAACTTCGAATCAGATGTTCTAAGATAACCCTCAGTCACTTGATTAATCATATATTGCTTCTTCTAACTAACATTTAACATAATTTATTGTTTTTTTTTAACGTCTTTGTATTATTGGTATTATTCTATTCCTATTTTAAATATAACGCTGCGTAATCGTTGGACTCTTGTAGTGAAAACAAGTTTTGTCTAATGAGCTTTCTTGCTTGAGATTCGATAACATTTAAGTGTTATCTTGGGATTGATGCTTATCTGTGACTAATTTTTATTACTTTAATACTTGAACTTATGACTCCGTTACAATACAAAAGTTATTGTATCTAAGATATTATTCTAGACATGCAATTCAAATTTCTCAAAAATATACAAAATAACTCGATCTTGTAAATACGACGCGTTATTCTTTCCTTTTCTTTGGTTCATTGAGTAATTTGATTAACTAATTAACACCAATACAACAATGGTTTAAGTATGTGTTTGATACAAATGGTGTATATAAAGAGAATAAGGACATTTTGTATGAGCTTCTTCTACTACTAAACGACGATGACAAGAATATCACGGGTCTTTTGAAAGATTCTAACAGATATATACGTTTTCATAGTTATCTTATATCAGAACCGATGTATATAATAATAATTAAAAGTTTGGACGAACTAAAATTTTGTTAGGAAAAGCAAATGATTTTACATCCAAAGAATATTATAAAGCCTAACTTGTTGAAGTGGCCAAATCAATTAAAAAGAAGCAGAATATAATATTATTTGGTTTTCTTATACTATATGTTTAGAGAAAAGGAGAGGAGAAGAGTAAGAGCAGCTTGACCAGTGTAAGCATAGAGATTAGAGAGTAGCTTAGCTTTCCCTAGAGTGCTTATCTTCTCATATTGGCCGAACATTTTAAATAATGTCAAATGTGATCACCTAACTGACTTTATTGGATATACATGATATAGGTTATAGTGGCTATGGACCAACTCACAAAAAGAGATAAAATCTTATTGTGATCACATGACCAAAATCCACAAAAGAAAATGCACAAATACTTCATATCCAACTAGTATCACGCAAATGTTAAAGTAACCACTATTGTTAACTGTTTCATATTTCATTTAGAAAATAAAAATAAAAAAAAATTGCCACCTTTAATTTATGTTCTAACCAGTGGGGGGAATCTAACAACTATAATGTAAAATGTTATTTACTTACACCAAAATGTTATATTTTGGGGTCCCCTGGAGAGTAAAAGGCCCTTTTGTTGTTCTTATAATTTTAATCATTGCGTGTCAAGCAACATGAACCTCCTCCTAATGTGTTTTATATTATATTATTTAGTGTTTATCACGTTCTAAATTTTGAATTCGAAACAAACAAAAGCTTTAATGTAATTTTATGTTTTAAGCTTTTGGTTTTCAGTAAGTTTTATGGTTATTACACGATTAGCTAGTGCCGTGGTCTCTTATAGTTCAACTTCGCTATATAAAAGTTTTCACAATTAATATACAGAGATCAAAGAAAAATAGTAAAATACATATGTGCGTAGTTCAGTGCTTTCGTTGACAATATAAAAAGTACAAGCAATTCAACATCAGACGGTGATGATCTGATGATCGAGTCTCTTTCGTTGAACAGTTTTTTACTTTTCCACGATCGTCCCGTTGGATCCATATTCCCCAGTCACATCATGTTGTCCTTAAATAGTTGATCTGGCAGCGTATCAAGCAATTATGGAGAATTAAAGAATTTAAAGCACATATTTTGGATTCATAGTTTCCATTTTTTAATTTAATTCAAACCAATATTATGAAAAATACCTATTCTTTTTTTTTTATATAGAAAAATGGCATTTCAAATAAAATAAAGAAAATATACATCTAGAAGACTACTAAATTTTTGATCAAGTTGTTTTCTTCTGATATTAAATGATGTGATTTTAAACCCACAAAAAAAAAAATATGAGTTAATGGTTGCACCATTGAATTTGACTTTAACTGCATTCTCACGTTGCAGTTTATATGGAAATGTTTTAGTAAAGTTTTATGGTGATGAATCAGCTGCTGGATGGTTTTAACTTTATATGTGTGATTCATAATGACACAAAAAATCCAAAGGTACTAATTCTACGTACATAACATTCCTTCTTTTTAGATTCTATGGAAAATGTAGGAACTCAGGAAGATATATATATATATATATATATATATATATATATATATATATATGTATGTTCTCGTAATAAAAGTTATTTAGTTGATCGTAATAACTATTGACCTAAGAGATAGAACATGTAATATATATACAGTGAGTTCATGAATGGATCAAAGCAATATATATAATACCTAATGCTTCGTCAAAACTTGTCGATTTAGACTAATCAGACAATAGATGTATAGAGTTTGGAGATATCCATCACCTAGATGATATTTCATTTTAAACAAAATTTTAATATGATAGCTGCTCGAACTTTGAATTTATAAGAATTTAAATGGAAAAATTTACTTAAAAAAATTAGGATGGCTAAAAACAATGTATTTAGGAAACTAAAAATTTAAATAATTCAAAAGAAAATTAAAATTTTTACATTAAGTCTCATCTCAAATTCTTACTAACCCCCTAAGTTTGAGAAAAAAAAATATTATGAAGTATAATCCGGTCTAAATAATCAGAACCTAGGCTGTCTCAATCGATAAATCTTCAAAAGCAATTTTTGAGTAAAAGATTTTGGGGAGAAGAAAAACAAAATTCTCTTACTTTCCCCTTAGCCTAAAAAAGTTTGCCACTTTCTTCTTACTTTATTTTTCCCCCACAATCCTTTTCAATTAGAAAATTGATGTTCTTGGCACTGAAGAAAATGGCCAAAAAAAAAAAAGCAAGAAAAAAAGCTGAAAAAACCCACAAGGCACACAAGCTTCTCACTATAAGAAAGAGAGAGAGAGAGAGAGAAACAATCCACACAGTAGAGAGAGAAGGCATGCCTTGTCGGCCATTAGAACTTCAAGCCAAAGCAAAAATAAAAACTTACTTATCCTTTTTCCCATAATCAATTTAAATCCTTATTGGAATATACACTAATCGATTCTCATCACTATCTCCCTCTCTCTCTTTCTCTTCACTTTTTCTTTCCTTTTCTGAGTTTCTCTCTTTTTAAATTCTTGGGATTGTTGTGGAGGTTTAAAAAGTTATTGGATTTGTAAAGTTCCTTTTTTATAACCTTTTGGGTTTCTGATTCTGCTTGATTCCAGATCAAAGCCATGATCTTTGTTGATTCCATAACAGTATATTTTTGATTTCTTACTATCAAATCACTTTGAGGAATCGAGAAGAGAAAGTTTTGTGATACTCTCATTTGTCCCTACAAGTGCACAGAGTAAGAAATCTTAAAGCTTTGACATTTAAATGACTAATCTTCTTTTCATTTGCTGATTAGTTTATTTGAAATATTTAGTTCATTTCGTAAAGGTTCCATTTTTCTTTGTCGCAGCTTTTACTGCCGAGGAGATTTTATTGGTTTTGACCTCTGCTTGGTGGTTTTGTCCCATGGATTCACATTGGTACGCTTCTCGTATTCGTTCTCTGATTATTCCCGTTCGTCTAAAGTTACTGAAAGTTTTTGTTTTTGAGCTGGTAAATTTGAATACTTCAAACCTTTTGGTACTTTCTTCAGATCTATATTCATAAAGAATCATAGATCTAATGCTAGGGTTTAGTCCTTGTGTTGCTCGAATCTCTGAGTTTTGCATTTTAGCGTCTCTGTTAAATTGAAAATATTTGATTTTTTTTTTTACTTTGGTGTGAAGAAAATGTGAATCTCTCTACTTTGCAGGTGTTGAGAATTATTATTGATACAAGAATGAAGTTGAGAGGATCAATGGGTTGGTGGATCTTTGAGTTTAAGACAGAATGGAAATCAATGTTTGTTGGAGTTTTGTTATCCTTGACGCTTCTGGTTTGGCCTTCAGAGAGTTTAAGCAGCGATGGTCAGTTTCTCTTGGAGTTGAAGAACAGAGGACTTCAAGATCCGTTGAACCGTTTGCACAATTGGAACGACGTTGATGAGACGCCGTGTAATTGGATAGGTGTAAATTGCAGCTCACAGGGAAGTAGTAATAGTAATCTGGTGGTGACATCTCTTGATTTGAATTCTATGAATCTCTCTGGGATATTAATCCCGAGCATTGGCGGCTTAGTTAACTTGGTTTATCTTAATCTCGCGTATAATGAGTTCACTGGAGATATTCCTCGGGATATTGGAAACTGTTCGAAGCTGGAGGTTATGTTTTTGAATAATAACCAGTTCGGTGGTTCTATTCCAGTGGAGATTAGGAAGTTATCACAGTTGAGAAGCTTAAACATTTGCAATAACAAGCTTTCTGGTCCCTTGCCGGAAGAAATTGGTGATTTATACAACTTGGAGGAGCTTGTGGCTTATACTAACAACTTGACTGGTCCATTACCTCGTTCTATAGGAAATCTCATCAAGTTGACGACCTTTCGAGCGGGGCAGAACGACTTCTCTGGGAATATACCTGCTGAAATCGGTAAATGCCTTAGCTTGAAGTTGCTTGGTCTTGCTCAGAATCTCATTTCTGGAGAGCTTCCTAAAGAAATTGGGATGCTAGTTAAACTTCAGGAGGTGATTCTGTGGCAGAACAAGTTTTCCGGGTCAATTCCGAAAGAGATTGGACAGTTAACACGTCTTGAGATTCTAGCTTTATACGATAACTCATTGGTCGGGCCAATACCAGCAGAGATCGGTAAGATGAAGTCCTTGAAGAAGCTCTATCTGTACCAAAACCAGTTGAATGGGACAATCCCAAAGGAGCTCGGAAATCTTTCCAACGTAATGGAAATTGATTTCTCTGAGAATATGTTGACCGGTGAGATTCCAGTTGAGCTGAGCAAGATCAGTGAGTTGAGGCTATTGTATTTGTTTCAGAACAAGTTAACTGGAATCATACCAAATGAGCTCAGTAGGTTGACAAATTTGGGGAAACTCGATCTCTCCATCAATTCCTTAACCGGTCCTATTCCACCGGGTTTCCAGAATCTTACTTCTATGCGTCAACTTCAGCTTTTTCACAATTCCCTCAGCGGTGTAATCCCTCAAGGTCTTGGTTTGTACAGTCCTCTATGGGTTGTTGACTTCTCAGAAAACCAACTTTCAGGGAAAATACCGCCTTTTATCTGTCAACAATCTAATCTCATTCTGTTGAATCTCGGGTCTAACCGGATATTTGGAAACATTCCACCAGGTGTGTTGAGATGCAAATCGCTGCTTCAGCTTCGTGTTGTTGGAAACCGACTCACGGGTCAGTTCCCAACTGAGTTATGTAAGCTTGTCAACCTTTCTGCTATAGAGTTGGATCAAAACCGGTTTAGTGGACCACTACCTCCTGAAATAGGCACTTGCCAGAAGCTGCAAAGACTTCATCTTGCAGCTAATCAGTTTTCCTCAAATCTACCCAAAGAAATTGGTAAACTCTCCAACTTGGTAACGTTTAACGTTTCTACAAACTCTCTCACCGGACCAATCCCCTCTGAAATAGCCAACTGTAAGATGCTTCAACGACTCGACTTGAGCCGGAACAGTTTTATCGGTTCCTTACCTTGCGAGCTTGGAAGCCTTCGTCAGCTCGAGATACTCCGACTCTCAGAAAATAGATTCTCTGGCAACATACCATTTACCATCGGAAACCTTACGCATCTAACTGAGCTACAGATGGGAGGAAACTTGTTTTCAGGAAGTATACCTCCTCAACTTGGTTTACTCTCGAGTCTGCAGATTGCAATGAACCTGAGCTACAATAGTTTCAGTGGTGAAATACCTCCCGAGCTGGGTAATCTTTATCTGCTAATGTACCTTTCTCTGAACAACAACCATCTGAGCGGCGAAATCCCGACCACATTCGAGAACTTATCCAGTTTACTCGGCTGCAACTTTTCCTACAACAACCTCACGGGACCACTGCCGCATAAACCGCTGTTTCAAAACATGACTCTAACCAGTTTTCTCGGAAACAGAGGACTATGTGGCGGCCATTTGAGAAGCTGTGACCGTAACCAGTCCTCATGGCCTAACCTTTCATCTATAAAAAGGGGTTCTGCTCGTCGGGGGAGAATCATCATCATTGTTTCTTCAGTCATTGGCGGTATCTCTCTTTTACTCATAGCTATTATTGTTCATTTCCTAAGAAATCCCTTGGAAAAGGCTCCTTATGTTCACAACAAGGAACCTTTTTTTCAAGAATCCGACATTTACTTTGTCCCGAAAGAACGATTCACTGTCAAAGACATATTGGAAGCAACAAAAGGCTTCCATGATAGCTACGTTGTCGGTAAAGGCGCTTGTGGAACGGTTTACAAAGCGGTTATGCCTTCGGGTAAAACCATAGCAGTTAAAAAACTCGAATCCAACAGAGAAGGAAACAACAACAATACGGATAACAGTTTTCGCGCTGAGATTCTAACTCTAGGCAAAATCCGTCACAGAAACATTGTCAGGCTCTACAGTTTCTGTTACCATCAAGCATCAAACTCGAACCTCTTGCTCTACGAATACATGTCACGGGGAAGCCTCGGCGAGTTACTTCACGGTGGGAAATCACACAGCATGGATTGGCCAACTCGGTTTGCTATCGCCCTCGGTGCAGCTGAAGGTCTTGCTTACTTGCATCATGATTGTAAACCGAGAATCATTCACCGCGACATCAAATCTAATAACATTCTTCTCGATGAGAATTTTGAAGCTCATGTTGGAGATTTCGGGTTGGCTAAAGTCATCGACATGCCACAGTCGAAATCCGTCTCAGCGGTCGCTGGATCCTACGGCTACATCGCCCCGGGTATGTCAAACAAAATCGACTAAAAAATTGAGCTAGATTATGATTTTACCGAACTTAAATCTTACCGTTTGTTTTTGTAACCGTTCTTTTTGCAGAGTATGCATACACTATGAAAGTAACAGAGAAATGCGATATCTACAGCTTCGGAGTTGTTCTTCTTGAATTGTTAACCGGGAAAGCTCCGGTTCAGCCGCTGGAGCAAGGCGGAGATCTTGCGACGTGGACAAGAAACCATATCAGAGATCATTCGTTAACATCTGAAATCCTTGATCCTTATCTAACAAAGGTAGAGGACGATGTGATTCTCAATCACATGATCACAGTGACTAAAATTGCTGTCCTCTGTACAAAATCTTCGCCTTCGGATCGACCGACGATGAGAGAAGTTGTGTTGATGCTTATAGAGTCCGGAGAACGTGCCGGAAAAGTAATCGTGTCTACCACGTGCGGTGATTTACCTCCACCGGCGCCGCCGTGAAAAGAAAGAGTCGTTTCTTAACTTACTTATTTTTGTGAAATTGGTTATGTATAGATTAATATGATTTGTATAGTCATTATAGAAAAAGAAAGAGCTCATTTGAGAAAAGTGCAACATATAAAACTGTTGATTGAAATAAAAGTAGAAATTTTTGATATTAACACAAAATGATATTAATAAAAATATGGGAAATATATAAAAGTAGAAGAAAAAAGTATTGAGCAAGAATATTTTGATGATGTCAAAAAAAAAAAAACAAGAATATTTGGGTAAATAATAATAATAACTAAATGGAATATTTTACTACCTAAAATAGAAAAAATAATAATGGAAAGAATACAATTGTGTTTCTTCTATTTTTGATTGAGTAGAATATTGAGCAAAAGTATTTGTTTCCCCGTGAATTTGATTAATGTCACTTTCTATTTTATATCTCGTGAAACCCACCATGGAAACTATGATAATATCACTGTTAATATTTAAGAGTTCAATATCTCATGAAAAATATGATAATAATTATAATTATTGAAAAAATAATTGGCGGAGTTACAAGATTTCTTTTCTTTCCTAAAATAGAAAGTATATAATATCATAAATGAATGAAAAGGTCGGTCGAGATCTAAATTTAGACCAACTCTTTTTATATTTTTCCTACAATGATGCGTTTATACCGCAGCAAAACCATTCACATCACAAAATTTTATTTGGATGTTTTGATTAGGTTTTAGTAGCTACAGTATTGCATCGGAAAAAAAATCTAATCCTAAAAAAATTATATATGAAATCTATAAAAAGCCAATAAAACGAATGACTACTAAAAGGTCAAATCTCGCAATTTGCCGGCACAATCTTGCCACGGATCGAACCACCAACGTTCTCACACAAAGCCGAGACTAGCCCGTCGCTTCCAACGTAACTCAAGTTGATGTCTGAGAGCTCAACGTCTTGACAAGGAAACGTTTTACTACATTGCATCTTCAAAGCCTCTTTGCTAGTCGAAGTCCCCCAAATTTTGTGGTACTTGACATCTTTGATCTGAACATGAGACGCATACTTGCCAGGACTATCACATTGCCCGTGTGGACAGTACTGCTGGTCAATGATGATAGGGTTTCCAACATTGATCATTTGGATATTCTCGTACAAGAAATTTGAAACCGAGATCTCCGAAACCGACTTAGCCCATGTTTTGATACGTAAACCGTCGGTTGTACCGTTGAATATCGAGTCTCTGACGGTTAATCCCTGAACGTTCTTCTCGTCTTTGTATCTCCCTAGGCTCCCTACACTAATCCCGTGCCCTGGTCCGCATCTGTTGTTGGAAGATTATATCAAGAGATCAAATATACAATCGGTAATGTTATTATTGTAAAATAAACAAATATCTCAACACATTCAAAGTTGTTAGCATAACAAAAGGAAGAAAATATCAAGGAAAAGAAAATCTACCACTAAATAGGAAAGGAATAAACTAATTCTTAAATCAATTTTCTTTTTCTTAAATCAAAATTTTCATCTATATATATTTCTTTCGTTAATATAAATGTTTGAGCTAGTGAGATTCATGAGTTAGAGTAGTTTTAGTTACCTGACATCAGAGATTTCTAAATTGCTGGTTCCGTCAAGGATTGCGATACAATCGTCGCCGGTTCCAATAGTGACGTTGAAGATATGCATATGGTTAGATTTCCCGATCTTGATTCCGTCGGTATTAGGGCTATCTCCGGGGGCAGTGATGGTAACGCCTGTAATGTTAAAATCCTCGACTGAGAAGAAGTTGAAATGACCCATTTTGCTGTTGATAGATCTTAGGCCGTTGATCCTCGAGAATCTAACGAACGCAAACCCAATGTTCATAGCTAGCGTACGACAGCTAGGGTTCTTGTTACAATCATTGAGTGGCCAAGAATATGATCCTTGGCCGTCAAGTAACCCGCCGCCAGTGACGGTGAGGTTATCGACGTACTTGAAAAGTATCCACTCTTCTTGTTTGATGTAGTCAGGATTCTTAGGAGCTAGTAACGTTCCTGTGACAATAAAAGTAATAAAGTTTTTGCAAGGACCGGTGAACGTTACTTGACTGACATAGAATATTCCGGCAGGAATATAGACCGTTGATCTTCCACTACTCCATTGGCAAGCATCGTTCCACGCCTTTGTAAACGCAACGGCGTTATCTCTTTTGCTGTCGCCGTAAGCACCGTAGTCTCTGACGTCAAAGACTTTTTCTTGGCGTGGGTATTGCCTCGTCGAAGCGGCGAGGACGAAGAAGAGAGACAACGCATACAAGACGATCAGAAACCTAGACGCCATTATTCTCTCGTCTTTTGGTTTATGTTTGTTAACCCTTTTTTTCTGGATGAAGGAATATAAAGCGATTAGGCTTCTTATATATACATAGGGTTGCAAGATAAGAATATATGTATTTATTCACCATATATGGGAAACACAATCTTTACTATAATCCATATGGAAAGTACTTATTAGTAAAATTATGCAAGGATCCTATTAAGATGGAATAAGATTATTTTTCATTATGTTATGAGAATAACAACTAATAAGTAGAGAAATAAATGTATGATTCTTTTTTTTCTTTTTCATATCCGCTTGAATCTAAAGACCTATGTTGGAATGTGATAAATGTTAGTTTTATTATGACATTTTGACAAATTAATCATAGTTTATACAGTTACACGTGGTATTTTAATGCTTTATAAAATTATGTGTTGATATAATCTTATATTTCACTTAGATAAGAAATGTATTATTTTACATGTGTATGTATTATTAAAAAAAATTATATAAAATTTCATATATATGTGACAGAATAAGATAAGGGAGTATATATATCATATATGTTTACTGCCAAAATGGATGCTGCATGTATATATCCAATATAAGATATGCAATTATCTTTTTATCTAATATAACTTGTGTTAGGACAAACAAATATATGCAAAGAATATACACAATATTAGAAATGTCAATTTTCTGAGTTAATCAATTTTCTTTACTAAATATATAGATACGAATGTAATAAGATTAGGACAGAATAGTAAGTTTTCTAAAATAATTGAAATTTCTTTATATGTATTTGTCTTCTATGTATAGATTCTCTTGCCGAATCGAATTATATTAGATAAAAAGACAAGGTGAAAAAGGTAAATTTTTGCTAAGACTGTTTCTAAAGATTAGAAATTGGATAGATGTTTGAGATAAAATAATCTCTTGTCATATGTAAGAACCAGTATATCATGCTACGTGGAGAACTAGATGCGAAGAAATTACGACGTCAAGTTTTATTTCATATCCACTATACAAGCAGTACACCTTTGTTGGTTCTTCTTCAATGTAAATGTTTTTCCATTGTATTATAATTTTAACTGACCCTCTTAAGTCGTAAAGAATATTGTGTTAGAGATCATATCTCGTCCGACACATAGCAAAACTACAAAGTTTCTCGAGTTTGTTATGATTCTCTGATCATTGATCTCAATATTACATGTCGGAAAACTCACACTTAAAGTGTTACAAGATTACAAGATTTCAACTTCAATAGTTTGATCCAGATTTACTGTTACAAAAAGACTAAAGAAAAATAATAATAGAACTGAGTATAGAAACTAGAAAGTTTGAAGGGTGAAGAAGTTGGATGGAGCAATGCTGGTCGTTTGATCCGGCGATACGGCTCTCGTTCAAGGAGATTGTTGTCTATTAATTGGGTATTGGCTCTTGGGTCATTGCCAGCTGCCTTGCAACCCAAGCCATGAAACTAAATTCACCCGACGAAGTAAAAACTTATAAAAGAGCAAATGTATAAGCTGTAAGAATCTTACATACTTACAGTAAGATTAAAGGGTTGATACTCTAGTAACTACAAACAAATACTACGTACAGTATATAAACAGCTGTGGTCAGATCACAAGCGTTTGGTAGCAAAAAAAAGTCTGTTCGATGGAGTAAAAAACAAGAAAAAGATCGCAAACCTAAATTATAAGATTAAAGTATGCATATTTTGTCGATCGATAGTATCTTTTCAGTTAACTTTCCAGTTATCATGTATTAGTCGAAGTAATTGTTTTATATAATTGGTTGAGTGTGTCGTGTGAAAACAGAACTCTAACGAAAATAAATCAACGAAGGTTTTTGTTAGTTCTTTATAATATACGACGAAGGTTTTTGTTAGTTCTTTATAATATACATGCGAACATCACATGTGTCAATTGCGATTACAAAGCCTTTGACAATATATAATCACAAAAAGTTAAACCGTTTAATGCCGCTTCGATTTGGTTTAAATATATAAAACTCAAAAGCTCATGACATATACATACATATACTAATCAAGATGAATGGATGATCATATACTAAGATTTTTTGTGAACACAATTAGTTTGAGAATTATAATTCCCGCATACTTGTGAACTACATCTACTGTCGTTTAAACCAGCCAGATACTTTGTACCGGAAACTATTTACCAACGAAAAATAAGGTTCTTGAAAGGAAAATGGCAATGAAAAGGGCTCTTTAAGACTTTATATAAACTTAAAGGCGTAATTAGAATTAGCACACAACATCGGGGTTTATCGTGTAAATATTAAGAAGATTAAATAAGATCCAGAAGAAGATTGAAATGTAAAACACGGCACGCACTTCAAAGCCCAATACGGGCGGGGGCAAACGTCACGCCTAATCTTATCTTCTTCTTTCTCTTCTTACATATACTCATCACCAATTATTTCATATTATTATTATTAACAATCACCCAAAACCAAAGAACTGTTAGAGCACCTCCAATGACATGCTTAATGTACTTTTAACATATTGCTTATCATTATATGTAATGATTATAATCATAAAAAAAGAAAATATTGTAAACACTATAGTTTAAGTTGTGATTATAAGCAACACACAATCACTATTTTTGAAAGACGACATAATTATCAAAGATCTCTTCTAAGTTTAAGGTAAAACTGTTTTGATTTATAAAATTGAAAATTATTATTAGAAGTACTATAGGAGGACTAGATAGATATATAGGATAAGAACAGCTTGTGTCACTGTCCAAATGAAAAAACTTTTGGGTAGTTGAAGCAAAAAAAGAAAAAAATAAAACTATTTGATTAGGAATAAAAATTATTATACAGGAACGGGCAAAGCGGTGGGAGTCTCTTCCTTATAAATGATCACACACCCAATCCAAGGAGGAGTGTAGTTTTCGTGTAGAACGAATCCATTTCTGAGAAAACCAGATCGAGAAAAAGTTTTATCAATCGGAAAAAATGGAGAAAGCGATCGAGAGACAACGTGTTCTTCTTGAACATCTCCGCCCTTGTGCTTCTTCCTCTCACAATTTCGAGGCTTCTCTCTCCGTAAGCTTTCTCCTTTTTATCTCGATTTTATCGCGATCTCTGGGTTGCCCCCTTTCTTGTTGTGTAATTCGTAAGTCTGTGGGTTCCGGATCATTCGTGATCTGGATTCTTTCTGTTGAATTTTGGATTTTGATTTTGATGCATACCTCTGAGCTGAAATAGTTAAGCTTCAGCGTCGATTGAGATAGAATCGGTAAAAATTGGTTTTTTTTTTCTATTGGTTCACTGGATTGAGATATATATTTTGGTTGTTTGGTGGAATTATCAGTGTTCTGTAAAAAGTTTGCAAATTGCAGTAACGTCTAAAAGTCAAAGCTTTATTGCCACTATCGTTTTTGTAACGTGTTCTTTCCAACTTCTATTCAGGCTTCTGCTTGCTTGGCTGGGGATAGTGCTGCTTATCAGAGGACCTCTCTGTATGGTGATGATGTCGTGATTGTTGCGTAAGTTCTTCCATCTCTTAGGCTTTTCTTCTTTTGGTATTTTGGTTTTCTCAACAACTCTATGAAAATTTCTAGTCTCTCTGTCTCTGATAAACTTACGCTTATTGGTCCACTGCAGTGCACATAGGACTCCACTATGCAAGTCCAAGCGTGGCAACTTGAAGGATACTTATCCAGATGATTTGCTTGCACCTGTTCTGAGGGTCTGTCAGCTATCTCTTCTATTCTGTTGCTGATTTTTATTTCTTTCCTACTTTTTAAGTTACATATAGTATCTTCTTGGCACAGGCATTGATAGAGAAGACAAACCTAAACCCAAGTGAAGTTGGGGACATTGTAGTGGGTACTGTTTTGGCACCTGGATCTCAGAGAGCCAGTGAATGCAGGATGTCTGCCTTCTATGCTGGTTTCCCTGGTATGTTTCTTCTATGTACGGTACTGTGATGAACTCATTTCCATTTGCTTTATGCTCATGCTGTTATGTTCGTTTGCAGAAACCGTGGCTGTCAGAACTGTGAATAGACAGTGCTCATCTGGGCTTCAGGCTGTTGCTGACGTAGCCGCTGCCATTAAAGCTGGATTTTATGACATTGGTTAGTGAATGACGGCTTTGATTATGCCATTGTCCTGATTTTTTATATTTTTATATAGAGAACTGAACTGGCGATATATTGCATGCAGGTATTGGGGCTGGGTTGGAGTCTATGACTACCAATCCAATGGCATGGGAAGGATCAGTCAACCCAGCGGTACTGTCTCATTATTCTCTCTTCTCTGGAGTCTCTAAGTGGCTCTGTTAAGTTCATAGTGCATTATAAAACATATTATGTGATTGCAGGTGAAGCAATTTGTACAAGCACAGAATTGTCTTCTTCCTATGGGTGTGACTTCAGAGAATGTAGCTCAACGCTTTGGTGTCTCAAGGCAGGAGCAAGATCAAGCTGCTGTAAGCCAACTGAACTTTTTTCAGCATGTTTGTACTTTAATAACCTGTAACTGTGATCTCCTGATGCTAAGTACTGAGTCATGTTGCTAGGTTGACTCACACAGAAAGGCAGCTGCGGCTACTGCTGCTGGTAAATTTAAGGATGAAATCATTCCTGTTAAGACCAAGGTATTTTTCCAAATCCACCATACATTAACTGTAACAAGGACTTCTCTTGGTGCATTAGTCACTGAACTTCATTTCATGTACTAAAATTAGCCAATAACTTGTGTTTTTTTATATTTCAGCTTGTCGACCCAAAGACAGGTGAGGAGAAACCCATCACAGTTTCTGTTGACGATGGAATTCGAGCAAGCACAACACTTGCTACTCTTGGAAAGCTGAAGCCAGTGTTTAAGAAGGATGGAACCACAACTGCTGGTACTTTTCGGGAATCAATTGTATAATTTCTAGGAACACAGTTTTGATGATCAGAAATATGATTTCATTGCTTCATTTGTTTTGTCTCAAACAGGAAATTCCAGCCAAGTAAGTGATGGTGCAGGAGCTGTTCTCCTTATGAAGAGAAGTGTTGCAATGCAAAAAGGACTTCCCGTTCTTGGTGTATTTAGGTAGGGGACAAGTCCTGATAAAATTATAGCGTTAGAAGTTTTAAAATCGAATGCTGCTGCTCCTTGTGATGTCTGTTGACATATATGCCAGAATCTGTATTTATTTCTGTATCTCTGGAAACATTGCAGGACATTTGCGGCAGTTGGTGTTGACCCAGCAATCATGGGTATTGGTCCAGCAGTTGCCATTCCTGCTGCAGTTAAGGCGGCTGGTTTAGAACTAGATGACATCGACTTGTTTGAGATCAACGAGGTAAATAGCAAACACTTCCATGATATTTTTAGTACATATTTCTTCTAGCACAATCTGATGATAACCCTCGGTTTGAATACTTTGGTGTTCAGGCATTTGCATCTCAGTTTGTTTATTGCCGTAACAAATTGGGACTTGACCCAGAGAAAATCAATGTCAATGGAGGCGCATTAGCCATAGGACATCCTTTGGGCGCTACAGGTATATCTGATAAGAGCTATAAAACTGTTATTCTTATTACAATTCACCAAACCATAGACTTGATCAATTAGAGACTCTCAACTCTCAAATCTCAATCAAACCTTAAGAAATCCACAGCCGAAACTAATCATTTATAAACTCAATCCTCGCTATCGGCTCTGTAACCAACTCACAACAGCTGTAACTTGCTGCAGTCAGTCCTAGCCTAGATAGAGTAGACCTATAGTTAAACGATCAAGAGTTGTCTTCAAAGTATCAATCTCTCCATTGTGTTCATATAAACTATAAAAGGCTCATGAAGCTAATGCTTGTTAATATTTTTTTTTGCAGGAGCACGTTGTGTTGCTACTTTGTTGCACGAAATGAAACGCCGTGGAAAAGACTGCCGTTTTGGAGTAGTGTCAATGTGCATTGGTATGCTTCTCTATCTCTGACGTGAATATTTCATCCTGAATTTGGTGTCTGAATCTGTTCTTTTTTTGTGGCTGACTGGGAAAACTGTGGCAGGGACGGGAATGGGTGCAGCGGCTGTGTTTGAGAGAGGAGATGGAGTTGATGAGCTTCGTAACGCAAGGAAAGTGGAAACTCAAGGCCTTTTGTCCAAGGACGCTCGTTAAAGATATAACGATGTAGCCAGAAAAAACCCTTTCACTCACCTCCACATATTTGATCTCACCACCTGTGTCTTCTGGTCCTCTTTTCCCGTTACTTCAGATAATATTATAGTTTGAAATAAAGCACACAACCAATGTTTTGCCTGAGTCTTGTGTTCTTCTTGACCAGGTCTTGTGTTTAGTATTTTTTTACGTGAAGGGGGATAATCTTTAAATCTTTATATCAAGAAGAATATTTTGTTCATCTCAAATTTCATCAGTTGTTGCTTCTAGAAATATGAGAATTTTTGGCTGTCAACAACTATTAGATTTCAATGGATAATGTCAAACTTTGGTAAAGTCAAGAGTTCTGGCTTTTTATACGACTCAATACTCGAGAGTACGTTACTTTTGTTTCGTGTTTTATTTGAATCGAATAAAGTTTAACGATATCAATTGGGGTGGTGGCGCAGTTGGCTAGCGCGTAGGTCTCATAGCTACTGAGTGATCCTGAGGTCGAGAGTTCGAGCCTCTCTCACCCCATTCATTTTTCCACTTTTTCTATGACATTACATAATGCATTTGGTCATTTCTTTTTAATTATTTTCTAGCCCGTCTTCCAATTTAATATAACTTCCAAATTAGGCAATCAGCAAATATAATTTTCGTTTTAGTAACGTGTTAATATTTTAAGACTTAAAAAAACGTTATACCAGCAGTAAGATTTTGTTAAAAGTTGCACCAAAATCTGAAATCCCTCCGAATAATGAAATCATGTTTCAATGCACACAAGAACCTATCAAGTAAACACTCCCTCCCCTATACATATATGTATATCGAACCATGATCGCATGTACCAAATGCTATCATTATATATGGAAATCATTATTGAGTTCTTTGACCAATTAATTATTTGCATTGACTGACTCTCACTATAGGGGAAAAACAAGTCCAGTGAATCATACATTTCTGTAGGTTCATCTTTTATGACACACCGTATTTATCACTTTCTTATTCTATGAATTTGACGGAGGAGTAATTTTGATTTTCTTTTTCGAGTAATTAAGAATCTGGTCAAGTATTCGATGAACCTACAAAAAAAATGAAACTATTATAAAAATGTAGATCAACCAAGTGTTCTATCATCACAAAATCGTAAAAGAATCAACAACAACTACTCTCTATATTTTACACACACTCTTGAAAGTCTCTAAAAGATGAAATATATGAAGTTCTTGATCATGGCCGTGATCATGTCAGCGGCAATGCTTCCAGCGTTGGTGGTCGGATCTCGTCGGGTGAAATGTGACAATTGCGTTGACGGTGGAAAAGAAAAGATCAACGTCATGGAGATGATGAGATCAGGTATGGATATGATGAGCCGTCAGGTTCTTCAAGCGACGAGATACATAAACTACGATGCGCTGAAGAAAGACAAACCAGTTAGACCAAATGGTAAACCTGATCAACCTGATAACAAATACAAGCGAGGCTGCAGTGCCGATACTGGCTGTTTCCGCTTTACCAATTAACCCATCTCTTTCTCTTCTTCTTTTTTTTAATCGTTTGGTCTTTTTTTTTTAATTTATTATTATTGATTTAGTTTGATTCAACCACATTCACAATTCTTTTAGATAATAATTGTAATCCTGAGACTCAATTCCCTCATCTATATATTATATATTGATCACATGATTCACATCGTTAAGTGTTTTTACGGTCATATTCAAACAAATGGTTCAAATACCTCATGGATTTGTAATTTTATCACCTGTGATTTAGTCAACAAAAAACAAAAGATTTGCATAAATTATGAGTGGACATGGGATGCATGTAGATTATCATTTTTTTTTTTTTTGGTAATTCGTAGATTATCATTTTAATTAGGACTACACATTTCAACTTTCCCACAACTTTGAAAATATCTACTTTTATCTGCTTTCAATTACTTAAGAGATATCCAAAATATACAAAATTTTGTGAAAATACCCAAAAATACAATTACTTCAATTTTGATTGACTTTTAAAAATAGTTAGTTTTCATATTTGACATATAGATTTTTCAGAAAATATAGGGAACTACCATCCAATTATTATTCAAAGGTCAAAGTTCAAACCCTTTAGCTTTATCCAAATATTATTATATGTTGAAACTATCAATATACCATTACACCAACAATTACCAACTTTGAAGTCTTTTAATAAGAACCCAACAAGTTGATCTTAATTTCCATAATTTGCTTTTAGGTCCTTCAGTCCAATATTTTTGAATTTACACAAACTCATTACATCTTTCAAACTTTACTTTCATTTCTAGTCCTTCAAAATTCAAGGGTTTGATTTTTGATTTTTCTTGTTCAATTACGTTAGATTTCTCTTACTCTTTTCTATTTTTTCTCACCGTCTTCTCCTTTTACTCTCTCTCTCTCTCTCCCACTCAGTCCTCGATTCTCTACGCGTTTCAGCGTTAAGTCTTCTAGATCTCTAAGCTTCATCTTGTGCTCGCCGATATAAAATCTCCGAGATCATTTCCGTGTAATCGAATCGGATTCGCTTCGTTTTTGGAGGAGGAGAAAAAAAAATGGCGCAACAATCGTTGATCTACAGTTTCGTTGCTCGTGGTACGGTGATTCTCGTTGAGTTCACCGATTTCAAAGGAAATTTCACATCAATCGCTGCTCAGTGCCTTCAGAAGCTTCCTTCTTCGAACAACAAGTTTACCTACAACTGCGATGGTCATACCTTCAATTACCTCGTCGAAAATGGATTCAGTAAGTCAAAATTTTGCTCGATCTATGTGCGTTACTTGTTTTCGTTTTCGATTTGTCTTGTTTTTGGGTGGACACGTACCATTTATTCATTGTTTTGCCTAATTGAGCGGAGTTCTTATGTTTGGTATAATTTTAGTGATAATTATGTATTGGCGCGGTGATAATTAATTGATTTTAGATCTACTCTGTGATATGTTTGGTGGATCTATTGATGAGTTATTGCTATCCTTGTTCTGGATCTATGGTTCCTGGCTTATTTGCGTGTAGTTTTTGAATTCATGGTTTTTTTTGGCTGGTTTCAACTGTTGTGAGAGTTCTTTTTCTTTGTTTTGGGGATGTTTGAGGATAGAATTGGTGTATTGTATTCCTTATGTAACTCTGTTTTACTATATACCTGGTTGGTTATTGGGTGATGTTGATGGTGATATGTACTCTTTATTATAGAGTGATCATTCTTACAAGTGATATTGGTGAATCTACTGCTGTATCTCTCGTTATGGTCATAATAATTTAACGGTTTTGTTTTTTTGCTGTGCAGCCTATTGTGTTGTTGCAGTTGATTCTGCTGGGAGACAGATTCCTATGGCTTACTTGGAACGAGTTAAGGAGGATTTTAACAAGAGATACGGTGGTGGAAAGGCTGCTACTGCTCAAGCAAACAGCTTGAATAAAGAATTTGGGTACTTATTATTTGTATCTCTTTGATTGGGTATTGATAAGTTTGTATTGTTCATGGGCATAGTCATTTGACTACTGTTTTGGCTGCTCTAAAGGTCGAAACTGAAAGAGCACATGCAGTATTGTATGGATCATCCTGATGAGATTAGCAAGCTTGCTAAGGTGAAAGCTCAAGTTTCTGAAGTTAAAGGTGTAATGATGGAAAACATTGAGAAGGTTTGATTCTGACCCTTTTTCTTTTGCCGGTATAGTATCATGTTTTATAATTATTGCAACAAAGTTCAGTTCGTATGACTTAAGTATCACGATCTTTTGGTTCTTTAAGCTTTAACTGTAAATGGGAATGTCTGATTTGTGGTTGTAAAGACATGTTTATTCATTGTGGAACTCATTCATTTGCAGGTTCTTGACCGTGGTGAGAAAATTGAGCTTTTGGTGGACAAAACTGAAAACCTTCGCTCACAGGTTAGTCCTCTTAGGCAAATGGTCCCAGGTTCCATACACACATGCTTGATTTGCAGCTCTTTCTCACTGTTGTCATCTTGGGTTTAAAATTTTTAATTGAACTCTGAAACTGTTACAGGCGCAAGATTTCAGAACACAAGGAACTCAAATGAGAAGAAAGATGTGGTTTCAGAACATGAAGATAAAACTGATTGTTCTTGCAATCATCATTGCCTTGATTCTCATCATTGTCCTCTCGGTTTGCGGGGGATTCAACTGTGGTAAATAAGTCTGGAGCTTCGCTTACCAGGGTTATCTACCGCCTTCTGAGAACATCCTCATTCAGTTCGTTGTGCTGCTTTCTTTTTTTGTGGTTTCTAAATTCTCGTGCTATGTTTCTTCTTAGATTGTACTTCTTGAAATTGGTTTTGTATAGGCCATATATATACACATATATGTATGAATATTCGATAAATTTGCAACATTGCTCTTGTTGGTGATGACACTAATTCTGACGAACCAATATTTGGACCAGATTTTGGTAATTAGTAAATCTCATGTTTTGGTCTGTTTAAGAGGCTGTGCTTGCAAAAATTTCAGCGACGATGATGACACAACATAGTGTAGCCGGTTCATTGGAATTGGGTCTAGGTCTATTTTTACCCGGTTTAGTCGATCGAGGGTTTAACTTTTAACCATTTACATTTTGCTCGGCGAAATCAGTCTTCCAGTTACTGCAATTTCGATTTACTCAAAACCTTTCTCTTCTGCTTTCCTAGTTTCGGAAATTATCGCCTGTTTTCGATTCTTCTGGTGGGATATTTTTTGGTGAGATTTTGGAGTTTTATCGAATTTGTTAGCCATGTCGAAGACGACGATGAGCTCAAGTTTTCCACTACTGAAATCGAAACGACTTGGGGAGCCACCTCCGGCTGATTTCGCGGTTGTAATGTCGGAAAATCTCGGCTGCCGGCCCAAAGTTTTGAGGTCGGGAGTCGATCACGGGGTTCAAATACATAGCTGTGATGCATTGCGAAGGAAGCAGACGGCGGTGATTTAAATCAAAACCTGTCAACTTTAACGCTGCTCCGGTATTGTCTCTGATCCCTCTAATATAATGTTTCAATAGTGTGTTAATTTTCGTAAAGCTAGACACTTGATTCTAGTATCTAGAATGTGGTTATGTTTCCGAAAGAAGTTTTTGTTTATCTTAGTTATATCAATCTTTGCTGATTTGATCTCTCTAGTTTGCTCATTTGCTCATAATGTCACACAATCTTTTAAGTTTTAGCCACTGATACCAAATTTTCACTGAAATAGAGAGAGGCAAAGCACAAAGAAAGGAGATTTCAGAATTCATAGATTTCAATTTGAAGTTGTTTTCTTTGTTCTTATAATAGAAAATGATTTATCAACCGTTGAAATTCTAAAGCTTTTTTCACATTTCCCTCTTAACACATTCCTCTGTCTTTTAATTTTTATCTTTTTTTTTTTCCTATTTTCCTAAATCAGGTTTGTCAAAGAAATGGGTTCAGTTTCCCGCTGAAGAAACCAAACGACCCAAAACAAGAACATTCCATAATTGAAATGGCTTCAAGTCCACCCAAGAAGACCTTAAATTCACAATCTTCCTCCTTAAGCCGGCCTCCACAAGCTGTCAAGTTTGGTCGCCGGACGTCCAGTGGTCGCATTGTTAGCCTCTCCCGTGACGATGACATGGACGTCTCTGGTGATTACTCCGGCCAAAATGATTACATCAATTACACCGTCCTCATGCCTCCAACACCAGACAACCAACCTGCTGGCTCCTCCGGGTCCACCTCGGAGTCCAAAGGTGATGCAAACCGTGGCGGAGGAGGAGGAGGAGGAGACGGGCCTAAGATGGGGAATAAGCTGGAGAGGAGATTATCTGTCATGAAATCAAATAACAAATCTATGTTGTTGAGGAGCCAAACGGGGGATTTCGATCATAATAGGTGGTTGTTTGAATCTAAAGGAAAATACGGAATTGGAAACGCGTTTTGGTCAGAAGAGGATGATACCTATGATGGTGGCGTTAGCAAGTCCGATTTCTTAGACAAGCCGTGGAAGCCTCTCACAAGGAAGGTCAATATTCCGGCCAAAGTTCTTAGTCCATACAGGTGATTGTTTGTTTTCACATTTAACCCCTAAAAGATTTTTCTTCTTCTGCTTCACTTCTTCTTAAAGTTTGTATAATAGAACATTAAGATCTTACAAATTTTTCCCCTTGTTTCAGGTTACTAATCGTGATTCGTCTTGTGATAGTCTTCTTCTTCCTCTGGTGGCGTATTACGAATCCTAACGAGGATGCAATGTGGCTATGGGGACTATCGATAGTGTGCGAGATTTGGTTTGCTTTCTCTTGGATTCTTGACATTCTTCCGAAGCTAAACCCTATAAACAGAGCCACAGACCTCGCTGCCTTGCATGATAAGTTTGAGCAGCCCTCTCCGTCAAATCCCACTGGTCGCTCTGATCTTCCCGGTGTTGATGTGTTTGTTTCCACTGCTGACCCAGAAAAAGAACCGCCTTTAGTCACCGCAAACACCCTTCTCTCAATCCTTGCCGTGGATTATCCAATCGAGAAGCTTTCTGCTTACATTTCAGACGATGGTGGTGCAATTCTCACCTTTGAAGCCATGGCTGAAGCTGTTCGTTTTGCTGAGGTTTCATTATCGCTTTCTCTCCCTTAGTCTTAACTAATAGAACTAGATGATGGCAAAAGCTGATATGGCTTTTAAAATTTTGTTTGCAGTATTGGGTGCCATTTTGCAGAAAACATGATATAGAGCCGAGGAACCCCGATAGTTACTTTAGCATAAAGAAGGACCCGACAAAAAACAAGAAAAGGCAAGATTTCGTCAAAGATCGCCGTTGGATCAAGCGTGAGTATGACGAATTCAAGGTCAGGATCAATGGTCTTCCTGAACAAATCAAGAAAAGAGCTGAGCAATTCAACTTGAGAGAAGAGCTCAAGGAAAAGCGGATTGCCCGAGAGAAAAATGGTGGCGTATTGCCGCCAGATGGGGTTGATGTTGTAAAAGCAACGTGGATGGCTGATGGTACACATTGGCCAGGCACATGGTTTGAACCCAAACCTGATCATTCAAAAGGAGACCACGCGGGAATTCTGCAGGTATGAACCTTCAACTTCAGTGATTTCAAATAAAACCATGAAAACTTCTCAAACTTGACCGAATTTTGTAGATCATGAGCAAAGTGCCTGAGCTTGAACCGGTGATAGGCGGACCAAATGAAGGCGCACTGGATTTCACAGGGATTGATATTCGCGTACCTATGTTTGCATATGTCTCGCGTGAGAAACGCCCAGGTTTTGACCACAACAAGAAAGCCGGTGCCATGAATGGTATGGTCAGAGCTTCAGCCATACTTTCCAATGGCGCGTTCATCCTCAATCTGGACTGTGATCACTACATCTACAACTCCAAAGCTATCAAAGAAGGAATGTGTTTCATGATGGACCGAGGTGGTGACAGGATCTGTTACATTCAGTTTCCACAACGGTTCGAAGGAATCGACCCATCAGATCGATATGCCAATCACAATACGGTCTTCTTCGACGGTGAGTTGTTCAATTGAGTTTCAGTTACAGCAAAATTGTAATGCGTATGTCACAAGCCACTACAGCTTGAACATTGTTCGGTACTGTAACAGGTAACATGAGAGCACTAGATGGATTACAAGGTCCTGTCTATGTCGGAACAGGATGTATGTTCCGAAGGTATGCTCTCTATGGATTCAACCCACCTCGAGCCAATGAGTACACAGGCGTGTTTGGTCAGGAAAAGGCTCCAGCTCTGCATGTCCGGACTCAGTCCCAAGCATCCCAAACGTCCCAAGCGTCTGACTTAGAGTCCGATACACAGCCTCTTCACGATGATCCAGATCTTGGTCTGCCTAAAAAGTTTGGTAATTCAACTATGTTCACAGACACTATTCCGGTTGCAGAGTACCAAGGACGGCCTCTAGCAGATCACATGTCGGTTAAAAATGGAAGACCACCCGGTGCTTTGCTCCTGCCACGACCTCCCCTTGATGCTCCAACCGTGGCTGAAGCCATTGCTGTCATTTCTTGCTGGTATTGTTTTGGAACAATCGATATGCTCTGTTAGTATAAACGGTTATGTAGTTAAACCTACAGAATCTATTTGACCTTTCAGGTATGAAGACAATACTGAATGGGGAGATAGAATCGGATGGATTTACGGGTCAGTCACTGAAGACGTGGTGACAGGTTATCGTATGCATAACCGTGGTTGGCGGTCTGTGTACTGCATCACAAAACGTGATGCTTTCCGTGGCACAGCTCCGATCAATCTCACTGACCGTCTCCATCAGGTTCTCCGTTGGGCCACAGGCTCTGTAGAAATCTTCTTCTCCAAGAACAATGCTATGTTCGCCACCAGACGGCTCAAGTTCCTCCAGCGAGTCGCCTACCTCAACGTTGGTATCTACCCTTTCACATCCATCTTCTTAGTCGTCTATTGCTTCCTCCCTGCTCTCTGTCTCTTCAGTGGAAAATTTATCGTCCAGAGCCTCGATATCCACTTCCTCTCCTACCTTCTCTGCATCACAGTAACCCTAACGCTGATCTCACTCCTCGAGGTCAAGTGGTCGGGAATTGGACTGGAAGAATGGTGGAGAAATGAACAGTTTTGGTTAATCGGAGGCACAAGTGCTCATCTGGCAGCAGTTGTCCAAGGTTTGCTCAAGGTAATAGCCGGAATCGAAATCTCCTTCACGCTTACATCGAAATCCTCAGGAGAAGACGAAGACGACGTCTTTGCTGATCTCTACATAGTGAAATGGACCGGACTGTTTATCATGCCGCTTACAATCATCGTAGTGAACCTTGTTGCTATAGTGATTGGAGCTTCGAGGACAATATACAGTGTAATACCGCAATGGGGCAAGTTGCTGGGAGGAACATTCTTTAGTTTATGGGTCTTGACTCATATGTATCCATTTGCTAAAGGATTGATGGGTCGAAGAGGAAAGGTTCCAACGATTGTTTATGTTTGGTCCGGGCTTGTGTCGATTACCGTCTCGCTGCTTTGGATCACCATCAGTCCTCCAGATGATGTTTCAGGCGGTGGAGGAGGAATCTCTGTATAAAATTTTGGATCAGAGTGTAAAAATTGAGAGGATTGTTTTACTATAAGTTTTTGTAAAAGTAATTTTGGTTTATGTAAATTTATGTTGATAACGACGAAGTCGTCCATTACTTCATGTCAGCTTTTGACTCCTTATCTCGTTACGAAGAACTGAAACAAACAGTTCTCTGCTAAACCTGTACCGCGCATACGAATGTTATATCATAAAAAAAAAAAAACACCTGAGTCCTAACATCAGAGTCCATAATTTTTGAATGCACCGAACCCCTTTGGATTGTCATGGATGAGATGTCTTTTGTATTGGAGAGAATGTTTCTCCGATCACAACTTAACTTAGAAGGTAGAAACTAAGTGATGTCTTTGTCTCCATCAGTGAGCCATCAAATATTGATGTTTATGACTAAATTCCTGTTCACTCTCTCTGTTACTATTTTGTGGGTTGGAGAAGTCTCTGGTTATAACAGTTGGTAGCCTTACGGATAAGTTTTGGTATTGATTTTGTTTGTCAATGATGAAAACATACAGTAGTAGTAAATCTCTGTTTGTGTGACATAATCAAAGGAAGAATCAAAACATTTAGAACAAAATTACATTCAAACCGGCATTACATAAGTTAATGAACCGAATTTTTATATATCGGTAAAGTCGTCTTCTAATGAAACAAATCGACAAGGAGATTTTTTTTTTTATGAGGCTGCGGCGGCGGAGCAAATGCGATTGTGATCAGCCGTCACTCTCGTCGACGTTTTGGTGGAGGCTTCCTAAATCAAGGAGCTACCAGGTGATTTTTCGTTTCTGCTTTCTTTTAATTTTCTTCTTGTGATTGCATAAGCAATGATGACACAATCACCAAATGAGATTAATCTATTGAAATTTTTGATTCTAGGATTTAGGGGTTTATAGCAACTCTTAGGATTTGATCTTTTTGGGTTTTACCTCTCTCTCTCAATGGTATCTTTATGGATTTTGCAATGTTACTTTTTGATTTCAATTTTTTTCGGGTTTCAAGCACACTACAATTACAAAAGCAAAAAATATTAGCAGAAACAATATGCATAGTAGTTTTACATTTAAGAGTGAATGAGGCCCTTACAAATAAAATGGCATTAATTTGTTTCTTGATTGGACAAAGACTTGGTCTAAATTTTTAAAGGTTTTGGTAGGTCTAGAGCGTTACATTGTTGATTTGTTTGTGAACTGTTGAGGAGACATTGTCAAATTATATCCTTATGTGTAGACTCCTGAAGTTTCTCTTTACCAGTCCAGCAGCTACAGAAACAAGGCAGACCATGGATGGAGGTTTCAGCACAAGGACCAGCAGAGTCTGCAATTTTTGCAGCGTTTGATGCAGAGCATCACAGATCAACAAACGCCAAGTTTCAGTCAAGGATTCGCTAAAGGATGTGGCAAAGTTGACGACGATGGTCTAGTTGGCTGGTGACTAACAACGTTGGTTGTTTATTCTTGATAGATTTGTGAGTACTCGCCACTTTATATCTTCCACTACTCAAAAAAGTTTACTGTAAATAATGTTTAAATTGTGCTTACTTTCTCTCTCTGTCGTCTGAGAATATTAGTTCAAACTTTGAAGAGTAAGCACTTTGTCTATATTTGGCAAGTCCGCTTATGGTATATGATTTGTTTATTCACGTTAAAAACTGATTTGAATCAGTGATGAGTGGTAGAATTTATATTTTAAATAAGCGATCTTGTGAGTGTGTTGTCTGAGATTGAAATCTGGAGACCTGTAAAATCTTCTTATAGGCCTGACTCTCTTATGTTCACTTGATCCAGTTTGTCTTACCAGGAAGCTGATGACCTTCGTGCATTTGAGAAACATCGGCTTGAGTTAATTTAAGAATCAGAGAAGAACCAAAGCAGTTTATCATAAGGACATTATCAGCCAAAAGAGAGATCTTAATAAAGGGAACCAAAAGTTACAGAAACTAGTAAATATTCTTTCTTACATCAGGTAACAACATATTTACATACTATTTTTTCATATCAGTTTCCTGTTCTACACTATCCTTATCATTAAAACTGTCCCATCTTGAATCCAGAGTCATAAACAATCTAACTGGATCTACTTCCTTGCCCTTATCTGTACTAACTATCTTGCCAAACCACTTCGGCTTGTATGAAGCGATAGCGTGTGCTATTACTAATCCAAACAACAGTCCAGGCCAATACCCTATAACCACTGCCTTCCAGTTTAATATTTCTTCCTCTTCTTCTTCGTCTTCTTCCTTAGGCTGTTGTGTTGGTGGCTCAAGGCAACTTCCTTGGAGAGGAAGACCACATAGACCTGCATTCCCTTCAAATGATGATTCAGCTTGCCCACTAAACTGTGGTCCTTCTGGTATTTCACCTTTGAGTTGGTTATGAGCCACACTTATGTAAGCCAGAAATGAGAGGCTCCCGAGTCCTCTAGGAATATTCCCTGACAGTTTGTTTCTTGACAGGTCTAGTGACTCGAGCTCTGTAACATTTGCCAAAGACGGAGGAATATGGCCCGTGAAGGCGTTATTCGATAAGTTGAGCGCAATCAATTCCTTCAGCAGACCAATGGACTCAGGAATCTGTCCTTCAAGTTTATTTCCAGAGAAATCAATGGTGCTGTAGGAAGTAAGGACTTTCCCCTGCTCCATGAATAGACCTTTGTATTGCAAATCCAAAGTATCTTCATAGATATAATAAGTATTCTTGTAGTCTCCCATGTACATACGCCCATCTTTATTTATGATGGGTGATGATGTCTTCCAATTAAGAAAGAAACTTGGTGGCAAGCTTCCGGTAAAGCTATTATCCGACAGTTCAAGTATCCGCAGCTCGGGAAACCCAAGAGGACCTTGATCAAGAGGAGATAGATGGCCGAAGAATCTGTTTGAACGAAGAGTAAAGACATGCAAATTGGGTAGAGCCTTCAGCCAGAAAGGAAATGTGTCTTCAATTCTGTTGTTATCAACACTCAGAAACTTCAGAAAGGAGCAATTTAAAAGCGATCTTGGAAGCTTCCCGGTTAGTCGATTGTAGCCAACGTCAAGCGTCTGTATCAAAGCATCGCTGTAGAACTCATCAGGTATACTTCCTTCCAAGCTGTTCTTCCTGAGATTCACTACTTTTAAGGCTTTGAAGTTACTCAGACACTGAGGAATTGGACCGGTGAAGTTGTTGTATGATAGATCAAGGACGACGAGAGTGCTTCGGTTGCAAATTGAGAGTGGTATGTTCCCTGTGAAACTATTGTTCCACGCAGAATAGTACATAGAATTGAGTGGTGGAACAGGAATCTCTCCTGTCATGGAGTTATAGGCAAAATCTATTATCTGCACTGATGAGTTAAGTAAAACTTCTGAAGAACCTTCAAAACCGGTAAAAGAATTGTTAACAAGATTCACTATGCTAAGACGAGGAAGCTTCCATAACCACTCAGGCACTTTCCCTTTGATTAGATTGTTGGAAATGTCTAGAAGCTTCAAGTTCTGAAAGGTCTTTAAGATGTTTGGAAACTCGATAATGTCGCACTGCACCAAATACAAGCTGTCCAAGCTCAATAGAATGTCTGAATCAGAACTTAAACTGGCTGGTAATAACCTATTTTCACGGAGATCAATGACCAACAAAGATTTGAGAGGAGAGAAGACACGTAAGTCAAGTGGGTAACTTATGTTTAAGGAAGAAAGGTCAAGATAGGTAAGGTTGGTGAGCTTAGAGATAGGCTCTAGGATTTGTCCTTCAAATAGGTTATACCCAAGGGACAAGTACACTAGCCTAGGTGAAGAAGAAGTGTTGGGAACATCAAGAGAACCAGTAAGCCGATTCTTTTTCAAATCGAGATAAGACAAGAAAGGCAAACTTGGTAGTAAGTCATAAGGTATGGCTCCTGAGAGTTTATTGTAAGAAAAGTCTAAAACAGAGAGCTTTGTTAGGTTTCTTACAAGTGGTAAACCACCAGTGAGCTCATTATGGGAAAGGTTTAAATGGGTAAGAAGTACTAGGTTACTAATTTCGGAAGGAACTTGACCAGTAAAGCCACTGGAGGCAAGAGACAAAACCTCTAATCTTTTGAGATTGCTGAACTCAGAAGGGAGGGAAGAGGAAGTGAAGTTGCTGTGAGAGAGATTAAGGTAACGAAGCTGATGCAAACCGAAGAGACTACTGTTGGATTTGAGAGTTCCAGTAAAACAACCACTTGGCAGCTGAAGCTTCGTGACCGCACCAGTTGCGTTATCACACTGGACTCCATTAAAATAGTCACTGCGGTTGCAATCCTCAGATTCAAACTCGTTCTTGAACTGCATGAGAGCTTGGATCTGGTCCTGACGGCAAGTAAGAGCATTGATCATCAAGAAGAAGCTTGAAGCGAAGATCATACAATAGAGGAACAGTACAGACAGCGACATGGTTTGAGATTGAACAAGTTGAGTAAATTATTGAAACTAAACAGAGACATATCACAGATTCCGCTTTATACGTATATGTATGTCTTCTTCTTTATTTAAGCCGTCTTTCAAATAACAAAATGTGTGGGTTCTAAATGTCACGTGGATGTCTACGTGTCGCATATTTCATGAAGGTAAGATCCACCACGTAGACATGTCTATGACTTTTTTTCAAACTTAACATTTCACATTTTAACATTCAAATCAGTTTGACGTTTTTACGAGTGTGTTCATACTAAATTTTAAGAAACAAGAGAAATCAATATACTCACATTGGATTGGATCAAACGAACGCATATTTAATATGATGATGACGTATTCTGATTAGTATCTTTTTCTAGTACTCAGATGAATTTTTTTCGCTACAAGAATACAAAATAAAATAAAAATTAGTGGGCCTTTCAATAATGAATAGTTTGGTCAAAACTTTATATATCTCGTATCTTTGGAATTTTTAAAGTATTACATTTATGAGTTTGGTCCGTTACGGTTACAACTTACAAAACAACTCGCATTTATTTGTTTATAGATTGGAGAGGAAGAAGACAATAAGACATAGTCAAAATTCGCAAGTGAGGAAACAAAAAAAATGGTGGTGACCTGGTAAACTGAGGAGATGCAAACATTTGGGCCTTAAAAACGGGCCAAAGAAGTATTTAGTATTAGCGTCTATGAGGCCCAACTAATTTCAGGGGAAAATTTGGTTAAAATGTCAAAACGACATCGTCAAAAACACTGTGTAGTCTGTGGGAAATAAAGAAGCCCTTGACTCGGCCATAGCAGTCATTTCTCTCGAATCCATCTATAATCCGATCTGAGAAATTTGGCCGGAGCTAGGTTTTGTCGATCAATCCTTTTAATCAATGGCAATGGCTGTTTTCCGTCGCGAAGGGAGGCGTCTCCTCCCTTCAATCGCTGCCCGCCCAATCGCTGCAATCCGATCTCCTCTCTCCTCTTCTGACCAGTGAGATCTCTTCCTATCTCTTTCATTTTTCTTATCCTTGCGAATAAGCACAGCATTTCTACGTTCTTCATTTGGTATTCTTCTGAATTTGAAATCGTTTGGTTTGTGATTGAGTCGTTGATATTTTTTGGTTTATTTTGATGAAATGATCTGTTTTAGGGTTAGAGCATTTTTCATTCATTGAATTTCGAATAGAGGAGAAATAATCGAATTTGTTCATTTGATTGGGGGCTCTAGTATAACTTGTTTTTAATGGAAACTCTTTTCTTATCGCAATTTTTTTATTTACTTAACCTTGTCAGATTTAGTCAGCTTCCAGCTGATTTTGCCAATATCTACCAAGTTCAAATTTTTTTTTTTTGGGTGTCTCTGTTTGTTGATTAGATGCGATAGTGGATGATGAAGACTAACCTGTATTTGATTCGCAGGGAGGAAGGACTTCTTGGACTTCGATCTATCTCAACTCAAGTGGGTAAGTCTTGGGTGATCATTGTATATTCGTTTTGCCTAGTTGTCGTTGTTGTTATAAGAATCTAATATGTTCTAATCTCTATGAATTGCTGTTCATTTATTCTCTGTGCAGTGCGTAACCGTATGAAGAGTGTTAAGAACATCCAAAAGATCACAAAGGCAATGAAGATGGTTGCTGCTTCCAAGCTTAGAGCAGTTCAAGGAAGAGCTGAGAACTCCCGTGGACTTTGGCAGCCATTTACTGCACTTCTAGGAGATAATCCCAGTATGGTTGGCAATAAAGAGTAGTTCTTTTTTAATCACTTTATACTAGTATCAATGATCATCTCATGGCTTGCATTGGTGTTGATGATGACGAAAAATCTTTAGCTCTTACTATCTTCTGAGATATCCATCCTTTTGCTATCTCTGTGTTGTTCTTTTGAATGTGTTTCTGATTTCCAGCATTACTTGATGAAAAAACCAGGCATTGATGTTAAGAAGAGTGTTGTGGTCACTCTCTCTTCTGACAAGGGTCTCTGTGGTGGAATTAACTCCACTGTTGTTAAAGTGAGCAGAGCTCTGTACAAATTGAATTCTGGTATGTTTTGAAAACACTATTGATGGTTCAGTAGTTTAGTTTTTCTAAATTACCATATCTGATATTAATTCTTATATCTTATATCGTTGCAGGTCCTGAAAAGGAAGTTCAATTTGTTATTGTTGGAGAGAAAGCAAAGGCTATAATGTTTCGTGACTCAAAGAACGACATTGTCCTCTCTGTAACAGAGCTGAATAAGAATCCACTCAATTATGCTCAGGTAGGTCATAGTTGCTTATAGTTTGGAGTATTACTTACTCTCCCCAGTCCATTTGTTCTCGAGCTATGTAATTGTTGTCTTTAGTATTCCTTATGTTTACTTGCTTCTTCAGGTCTCAGTTCTAGCAGATGACATCCTGAAGAACGTTGAATTTGATGCTCTGCGCATTGTCTACAACAAGTTCCATTCTGTTGTCGCATTTCTACCAACTGTGTCCACTGTTTTGTCCCCAGAGGTAAGTTACTACTGTCAAACGTCTCAGGGCTATGATTTGTGCTTAGTAGTTGATGTTCTGCTTCAACTATAAACGAAATTAAATGTGTTTTTTGCATTGAAAGATTATTGAGAAGGAGTCTGAAATTGGAGGGAAACTTGGCGAGCTCGACTCGTATGAGATTGAAGGTGGTGAAACAAAGGGAGAAATATTGCAGAATCTAGCTGAGTTCCAATTCTCTTGTGTAAGTAGCCTAGATCTTAATTTGTTAATGGTATTTCAGCGTAGAAAAAACCATAACATCGTGGCTGATTACGTAAACTATACCAGGTGATGTTCAATGCGGTTTTGGAGAATGCGTGTAGTGAAATGGGAGCAAGAATGTCTGCCATGGACAGCTCCAGCAGAAATGCAGGAGAAATGCTTGACCGTCTCACCCTCACTTACAACAGGACTCGTCAAGCTTCCATTACAACAGAGCTTATCGAGATTATCTCTGGAGCATCTGCACTTGAAGCCGCTAAATAGACCAATCCGTGTTGTTTCCTTATTTTGCTTTGATCTGGGTTTGATATCTATACCTTGAAGAAGAGTGTGTTTAGACTTTTAAGGGATACTGGAATCAGTGTCCCTTGCTGGCTTCATGTTGAGACCACCAATCTTTGCTCAACGGTTTTATAATAAACATTACCTGTAATTTTCCAGCAGGATTACTAATAATTGCATTCACATTTTGTTCTGATTAGAATTCGATTCCTCAAGAACTGGCAGCGTTGTATTGCGCATTAACCATATACTCTGGCTTAGTCATCTTCTGTTATCTAAATCGTAAGGTGAACATTTTCCCATTTTTACAGGTTTGAATTACGACTGATGTCTTCTCCAACTACTGAACAAATCAAACAAAAGCCAATGCTGCTGCTACTTTTTGTTTTGTAGCTTGAAAGGCTACAGACTTTTCTCATCCAATGCGTTGTATGTCAAGTCATTGGTAAGTGGCTTTCAAAAAAATAAAGTGAGAAATGTTAAGCTTATGTGTTCCAATCCAATTTTTTTTACATAGGATATATCAACGTCATCTGAAGGCATTCGTTTTTCTCCATAGCCCACTACGAAAACTTTCAAGTAACTTTTATCACTAGGAAGACGTTTTAGTAAACGCCAATACCACCAAGACGGCAAGATTTAAATAATGACTTGTCGGTGTACATATCTATCTATAAGATTAGTGACAGCTCCATCGCCAAATTATATCTATATCTCTTTCTCTTTGCTTCACGAATATTTTTCATCTTAATTGTTTAGAACAGTAATGTGGGGTTCCCATCTGCTTTGGGGTTTTCTCTTGGTGAACTTACTCTGTTGTTCCTCAGCGCCAAGCACCCTTACTATAAAGAATCCTGTTGTTGGTCTTGTTGCTTGTCGTCCCCTGCCAGATTCAAGTCCTTGTCCTTCGTTCAAACAATTGACTTATTGATGAGCAATACAACCAAAGCAAGAAGACGAAGAACAAGGAGAAGTGTTGAACTGGAAAGCAACGGTTATAGGATTTTCTCCTGGAGTGTTGTTTGGATTGGCAATATCACAACAATTATTGGTCCTGAAAAGCGCAAACACCGTTAGAGAGGAATGACTTGGTTTTGCGTGTGATCTTTGAATGTCTACATCAAAAGATTGCTGGTTTTGTAATGAAGTGGTTCCTTATGTTTTTTTTGTATCGTCATGTGAAGCTTTGTTCCTTATGTTTTGCAAAGTATAATGAAGAAACAGAGGAGATGAGAGGGAAAAGCCAGGCAAAGTGATAAAAAAAGAAAGAAACAACAGTTGTTTCAGTTTCATATATCACATTAACAACTGTACATCATGAAGCTATAAGAACTCTCTCCTTATCCATTCCTATTTCAAAAAACAAGTATGAAGCTGCTCTGTTCTATTTTTTTTCCTTGCTATACAAGACAAGATGTATATGATTTTGGAGATGCCTTGTATAGAAAGGAACAAAATAGAGCAGAGCAGTTTCATACTTTGTTTCTTATAGCTTCGATTCTGTATACTAGTTTCAATCGATTAATGAAACATATAGCCAATAAAAGTTTAATTTGGAAGTTATTATAAAATTAATTAGAGTGAGAATGGGGAAATATCCTTTAAGCGATATGTTAACTTAAGCCTTTTCATATCCAGTCCAGTCCGGTACATATATACTAAAAAAAATTCAGCCCTAATTTTGCTCTTGTACTATTTCTCTTTCCCAAAGAGAAAGGTGTCATCTCTGATCTCTCAACCATGAACAACTCGGGCATGTCAAAAGACAAACGTGGTAAGAATCTCTCTTCCTTGCTCGAAATCAACTGATTAGATTTCATCTGCGATCGATCGATCTGTACTGAGTTAACAAATCGGTGTGTGAATAAGTGGATCTAATAAGATTGTAGTAATCGTATAATTCGGTTTCTCCGTTCCAGGGCCTTGGTACTCGAGCTGCACAGGCGTCTTCTGGCTCGTCGATGAAATTGAAACCGGAGCCCCTAGTTCTCAATTGATTTATTGTTATGTCCGATCAGCTCTGCAGAGAATGGGTTATCTTGGTAGTCAGATGACAATCTGGGCTTTTGGTCCTAAGGAGCAGAGCTTGGAAAGTGCTTCTGATATCACCTTCTCATACGAAGCCATCGAAGGTGAGAATTCCTCCTCCTTGACAAAAAAAACTCTTTTTTTTTTCTTTCTGAAATGATATAATCTCTCTCTCTCTTGGTTTACTTTATCCAGATAAAGACAATAGAGTTCATAAGATGTTATTTCGCATTATTACATATGGAGCTTGCTATTCTGATGAGGAAGGAAGAAGTGTGATGGTTATCACAAAAAGCCCCCCAAAAGAAGACGACGAGTTGCTCAGGGTTCTTCGCGCTTTGGAAACCAGAGGTTACGATGTTCTCTTGGTTCAGCCTCCTCATGATGATGATGAGGCACATGTATTTTCTTCTCCAGACTCAATCTTTAAGTGTACTACATTCTTAGATGGTTCAAGTCCTATCGACTTTGACCTTCCCGGTGAAGAATCTAGCGTTAGCTGGGAAACTGTTTCTTCTGATCCGGAGAACCTAGACGACGAGTCAAACAGTATGACTACACTTTGACGTTTCCATCTTTCTTCTTTTTTATGATATAAATCTCTATATATGTTTTCTGTCAAAATTTTGCCGTGGCTTTTTTTTTCTTTTTGTCATTTGTGTATGAATACACTTAACATTTCAACCCTAATTTGACTCTTTTCTTTTATCTCGTTTCTCCCATAGCCTCTCATCTCTCAACCATGAACAACAACTTGGCCATGTCAAAAATAAAAAGTGGTAAGATCATCTCTCTTCCTTTGTCGCAATCACTTGTTTAGATTACATCTGATCGATCTGTAAGTAATTAACTAACAAGCGCATGTCATATATATGTATATAATTCTACTATTGTAATAGGTACGTGGGGATACTGTTTCATAATCGTTTATGCATGCGTTTCGCAGGTGAGAGTAATTACACACGCGTCTTCTGGAACATGGACGATTACCCAATCCCTAAAGATATCAAGCCTAGATTGATTTATAAGACCATTCTATCAGCTCTTGAGAGAATGAGATGTAATTGTTATAAGTTCGAAATCTTGTCTTATGGTGAGAAGATAGACCAAGACGATGACGAGTTAGATGAATATTACGAAGCTGGAATATTGTACCTCAACCACAACTGTAAGTGACTTCCTTAAACTTATTTAATACTTCTACTACTCCTCTTTTCTTCTACTTAAGATATACAGATATGATCCTTACCCTTCTGTTGATATATATATGCAGTTCCAGATAATCAATTGTTACGGGAAATGGTTTTTGGATGCTCAAAGTCCAGTAAACCATTAAATTTGATGGTAATCTCTAAAAGTATCCCTCAAGACAAGGAGTCCAGAAGAATCCTGTGGGCTTTGAAATCAAGAGGTTACAATGTTCTCTTAGTACAGCCTCAGCCTGAAAGCAGCCAAGAGTTATTTCTTCATGATGATCCAGACCTGCTATGTTGTTCTACATATCTATTAGACGGACGAAAGGCTATGGACCAAAGTGGAGGAGCCTCATCTTCTTCTTCACTAGTTGCCAATACTTCTCGCTCCAACTGCCAAGATTTCTCCGGTATGTATGATTTTCATCTTCTGACCATCTATAACTATTTTAGTTCAATTGTCATTTCTCATTTCGTAAATTTTTGTGCAGAGCCTATCACACATGTCTCAGGGACTAAGACAGGCATCTTCTGGGACATCAACGAGTGCCCATTCCCCTATGGTCTTGATCCTGAAACCATATTTGATAGAATCAAATTGGCTCTTGAGGATCATGGTGTTTTTGATGGTGTGATATCTATATGGGCTTATGCTGAAAGGATACCACCGTTCTCGGATGAAATGCTAGATACCTATCACAAATCAAGAATCTATTTCGTTCCCCAAGGTATGTTTATATATATATATATATTTTCTTTCTTACTATACACTCTTTTCTTATTGTATAGTATATGTATGTAATCTAATTTATCTCCGTTGATGTATAGTTCCCGGGGATAAAACTGCAAGAGTTCTTAGGATGGTACATGATACTGAATTATGGAACCTGGACTTTCCTGTAGACTATCCTCAACAATCAAATCTGATCGTAATCTCAAATGACATCAGCAATCAAGGATTTATTGGCTTGACCACTTTTCTTAAAACTATGGATGAAAATGGTTACTATACTTTCTTAGTACAGCCTGTGGATATTGCTCAAGAAAAGCTCACTGCCCCAGACTGGCCAAGAGGTATATTAGATAAAGCTTTTGATTTCAGCAAAAGAGAAATATTTAAAAAGGCGCGGAGGAAGAGGGTGAAGAAACATAAGGCAGCAGAAAAGCCCGAAATCTCTCCCGTCAATACCCAAGAAGACTCCTCTCTAGTCAAAACCATGATCAGACAAGATTTCTCCAGTAAGATTTTCTCTTTTATCTCATAATTGCTTGTTTAGATATCATCGAGTTTGACCAATCTGTGCTAGTTAACTAGCAGCAGATGTAATTGATATGGCATATAGTGAAATTAATGGTTATCAATGGATCTAATTCGATTGTAATCTAACTTTGTTTTTGTTTTATGCCTTCTCTTGCAGAGCCTATGCAACCTGTCTCAGGGCCTAGGGTAGGCGTCTTCTGGGACCTCAATGATTACCCAATTCCTCTTGGGTCTAATCCTAATCGGATCTATCAGAGAATCGAATTGGCTCTTGAGCAAAAAGGTTATTATGGTTTGATGTCAATATGGGCTTATTATCCTGAGGAGGAACCTATCCCAGACGTCGAGCGGGATCTTTATCAGAAAGCCGGAATCTATTTCGTTCCCAAAGGTACGTTCTTTTTCACTAATTAAGCTCTCTTAACACTCTTTATTCTCTTTGCATACATATAATTAATAATCTACATCTCCTTTGATATATAGTTCCAGCGGATAAAACTGCGAGAGCTCATAGGATGATACATGACATGTTTTTGTGGGCAATGGACACTGAAGTGCACTATATTCCAGCACCAAGTGTAATCGTCATCTCAAATGACATTCCAGGAAAGGTCAACTTCACCTATTGTCTTTCCTGTTTGCATGGTGGTAGATTCTTGAATGCTATCTTAGTAGAGCCTAAAAAGCTCGTATTAGATCCCCAAAAAGTAACAGCAACTTGGCCAGAATGCGTATTAGATGTTGGTGAGACTTTTGGCGAATATTTTTGGCCAACTCCCAGTTCCACTTAGCAGAAGCGGATGAAGAATAGTGAGGAATCACCCAAAACAGAAGAGGGGAGCTGCACTGATTATGATATATTGAGATAAGCATATATCAGACTAAGTTGTTATTTATTCTGTTTTCAACTATTTAGTCCGATGTTATGTTTTACACAACACCGAAGTGGGAGCTGATCTTCCTTTTTCTTTTCTTTCTTTTGGCTTTGTATCCTAAGTAATTTAGTGGATGAATAGAAATCTATATTTTTAATGCTTTATGATTTAATTTGTTCTAGCTTTGCTTCAAGTATCTTAATGATTGAAGCTCTTTTGTTGGACGTGCTCCTTGTCGCCCTGACCAGATTCAAGCACTTAGCTTATGCAGTTCAAGAACGAGTTTGATTTCCGGTCGCAACAATAATGAATACTTCAACGGAGTCTGGTGCGATGTCACGACAAGTGCAGTCACGAAGCTACAGCTCCTAAGCGGCTGTCTCAATGGAATCCGTTCGCTCAATCTATCTCACAGCAACTTCACCTCCCCTTCACTCCTTCCAGACTCGGCAGTCTTAACTGATTAAAGGTCTTGTCTCTTTCCTCTAATGGCTTCATTGGTCAAGTGCTTTCCTCAATTAGTAACCTAAGCATGCCAACCGATTTAAACATTTCCCATAAGGAGCTCATCGGTAGTTTCCCACATGTATGGAATCTATCCAAGCTCTCAGTTCTGGACCTTTCACATAATCACTTCTCCGGAACCTTCCCTTCCTCTTTGCCCTCCGTGCCTTTTTCACATCTTAAACTCAGTGAAAACCATTTCACCGCTTCAGTTGAAGCTCCAAACTCCACTTCTCTTCATCATGGCTTGAAACCCTATACCTTGGGCATTACTATTTTGATGGACAAATCTTAGAGGCAGTCTCAAAGTTCATCACCCTCATAAATCTTGATCTTTCTTTCCTCAATATAAGTTACCCAATTGACTTAAACTTATTATCTTCTCTGGAATCTTTGTTGAACGTTGATCTTTCTGGTAATAGTATATCACCGGCTAGTTTACGTTCATATTCACTCTTCCCAATGAACATGGAGAGACTAGTCTTGTTAGGTTGTGACATAGGCCAATTACCAAATTTTTTGAAGACCCTTCATAACTTGGAGCTTATTGATAGTTCTCACAATAAAATCAAAGGGAAAGTCCCTGAGTGGTTCTGGACCCTTCCGCATCTGATCATGGTGAGGCTCGCTGATATTTCTCTCAACGGTTTTGGAGGTTCTTCAGCAGAGGTTTTAGTAAATTCACCAGTGCACATATTAAGCTTGGCATCAAATCATTTTAAGGGACCATTTCCTAATCCACCACGCTTTTCAACCTCATAACATGCAACCGCATCTCTTTAGGGCTTCTTATTCTATCCTACAATAACTTCACACGTCCACTTCATGAATTGGGAAGCATCATCTTTCAAGAACAATGAAGATGGGAGTTTATATATGGTAATATGGTATACAACAAGGGATCTTAATGCCTGAGTAACCTTAGGATAGTAAAACTTCGGAAGATAAGCAAGTCCATGAGGACCAATGTTCAATGATCCGGCGAATGGGAGACCATCGATATGATGCCAGCTTCCAATCATGGCTTCTTTCTCGACACACTCCATGAGGACTTCTCATTTTTATCTCATTTTCTAGCTCTTTAATCAATTTCTTTTCAACGGCTTTTTAGAAACATTTTTCGACAACCCGTAGCACTTGTTGTAACACCGAACCATTTTTCTTTTGAATATAATTTAACATTAAATTCAAAAAAAAAAAAAACTTCGGAAGAATAACTTGGAAGGAAGTATCCCGGACATGTTCCATGTTGGTGACTCTATACAGACATTTGACATTGGCCACAACCAACTAACCGGAAAGCTTCCAGGGTCTCTTGTAAATTGCTCTTTTTTTCAGTTTATAAGGGTTGAAAACAACATTATCAAAGACATATTTCCTTTTCGGCTCAAGGTGTTACCGAATTTGCAAGTTCTTACCCTCTGTTCAAACAAATTCTATGGTCCTATGTCTCCTTCTGATCCCAAGCTGTGGATACTTGATATATAACATAACAGTTTTGGTGGAAGTTTGCCACCTAGCTACTTTATGAATTGGGAAGCATCATCTTTCAAGTGTAATGAAGATGGGAATTTATATATGGTAGTATGGTATACAACAAGGAAGCTTACAAGAATGTTTACTATATATATGAAGATGTTATAGATTTACAAAACAAAGGTCTATTGAGGGAGCAAGTGAAAGTGCTCACTTTCTGTGGTGCCATTGATTTTTCAGGAAACAGATTTGAAGGAAAAATTCCTGAATCTATTCGTCTCTTAAAGGCATTTATTGCGCTCAATATATCAAACAACGCATTTACAGGCCATATTCCTATGTCTTTGGAAAATCTTACGGAACTATTAGACCTTTCAAGAAACAAACTCTCAGGGACTATTCCTAATGGATTAGGGAGCCTCTCGTTTTTGGAGTACATAAATGTGTCTCATAACCAAGTCAGAGGTGAAATACCAAACAAAACAAAAACTATTGGACAAGATAAATCCTCCTTTGAAGGGAATGCAGGGCTTAGTGGTCTTCCTCTAGAACAAAGTTGCTTTGACTCTTGTGTGCCTGCAATACAACCAAAGCAAGAAGACGAAGAAAAAGAAGGAGAAGTGTTGAACTGGAAAGCAACGGTTATAGGATTTTCTTCTGGAGTGTTATTTGGATTGGCAATATCACAACAATTCTTCATATAAGCCAGAATGGCTCGTCAAAATTATTGGTCCTGAAAAGCGCAAACACCGTTAGAGCCTTAGAGGAATGACTTGGTTTTACGTGTGATCTTTGAATGTCTACGTCAAAACATTGATGGTTTTGTAATGAAGTGGTTCCTTATGTTTTTTGTATCGTCATGTGAAGCTTTGTTCCTTATGTTTTGCAAAGTATAATGAAGAAACAGAGGAGATGAGGGAAAAGCCGAGCAAAGTGATAAAAAAAGGAACAACAGTTGTTTCAGTTTCATATATCGCAGTAACAACTGTACATAATCAAAGCTATAAGAACTCTCTCCTTATCCATTCCTATTTCAAAAAGCAAGTATGAAGCTCCTCTGTTCTACTTTTTTTTCCTTGCTATACAAGACAAGAATCATCTCTAAATTCATATACATTCCTCTCTCTCCCTCCGTATCTCTCTGTTTGATCGACCAATCATAACTGTATAAAACCAAAGCTATTCATAATAGACCTGCATGAAACTTGTAGAACCTTTACAAAATTTTGCGACCGGTGTATCCATATTAGCACCCTTGCAGTCGTCTGAACTTTTAGACATGAGAAAGAAGTCGCTCCTGTCATATGGTCTTCGCGCTTCAATGGCACTGTGGATGTCTCTGACGGTTTGGTCTAATCTAAAAGGAAGATTTGCTTCTGTCCCATCGTGAAATGTGAAATTTATTGTAATAGTATCCGTTCTTGAATCTTCCTCGACAGCCTTACCCTTCAATTTTACCTGACAATATTATGATGACAGAACTCAGTGCTCAGAAGGGCAAAATGTAGAAAACAGACAAGGTCAATCCAAAGTAACACCATCAGGAGATATACTCTATTATTCTCTCATTGCTAAGTTCTATTTTAATCTAAGCTTTCAGGCTAACACAATTCGAGAAAGTAGCAAGACTATAGTAAATAATGCAGAGGAAGAGAAGAAAAGTTACATCCACTTGAGACGATGCCAATGGAGGAATAGCTACGGGGACACCTTCATCACTAGCTTTTTTGAGTATTGACCCTTCTGTCTCGGTTGGATCAACGTTCATGAAACTGTACAAGTAGGTTAATGGCGATAAAATAGAAGATTCAGATATGAATGTGTTCAGAGATCTTGAAATAACAGCAGAGAGTCTAGTACTAAGTATAAACGGGAAGTTACCTAGAAGAAGAGCTCTTGGAAGCCTGAAACTGTGATTTTGAACTTGACTGCCCCATCGAGATACGCTGCGTATTCGAATTTCCAAAGCACTCGTCCATGAAAGAGTTGATGGCATCCTGTACTCTCCATTTGCATTGACCGAGGTAAACCTCTGCGACTTCTGGAGGCGCATTAGTCACATCGCAGAATGACTTGATGTTCTCAGCCCTCAATTCAGACGACAGTTCATCTGACTTAGGCGGTAGTTGCTCTGGCTGAATCCGCAAATCATTCATAATCCTCCGACGTAAATTCGTCACCATTGGCCTCGATGTTGGCACCACGGATCCCTCATTCACAGAAACCTTTGGCAAAGATTCAGCGTTGAGGGGAGGCAAGGTACTGTTTCGGCAAGCCTCCAAGGCCGAAGCCAAGTCCCAATCAAATCCTTGGAGGTAATAGAGTGCTTCATATCGACACACCCCAGTTTCTTTGCAGATTGTATCAATCTTATATGGCGGAAGCTGGTCTTTCCTGATTTGAGCAGAACTGCTACTTCCCTGAATCTGAATGGAGAAAATGCAAACATGGAGTCGGAATCAACTTCACCATTAAACACAACAAAGCCAGAGAAAGACTAAGATCCTCCTATACTTCATTGCAAGGTTCTATCTTTCAGAAAGGGAAGCTCACTACCTGAACTTGAGATGAAGACATTATAGGTAAATCATGTAAATCTCCCATCCCAGGCACATCAACGTTCATCAAACTGTACAAGAAAAAAGAAAAATGAGATTTTTGTCAAGTACTAAACTCTGAACCAAGAAATTACAGGAAACAAAAGTAAGGAACTTTACCCAGAAGAAGAAGGAGAGCTCCCGATTTGAGAGTTTCCAACAGAAGTAAGTGGCGGAAGTGTATGGTCCATCATCTCGACATCTTCTGAGAACCCAATCGGAATAAAAGCCTCTGAAATCCGCTCCACACACGACTTTTTAATCATCGCGGCAAGATCATGATCATCATAACCTTCATCGTTATCGTCATCACCATCATAGTCGTGTGACGACGTATACAACTGCGGCTCTCGGTGTTCGAAGTGATGGTTTAAGGCTGCGGATAAATCCCAATTGAAGCGTTGGAGAAAAGTGACGACTTCTTGCAGAGACATTCCATGAACCAAGCGTCGGAATTGATCGATGCGTTCTTTCTTCACTTCATCCGGTAGCTCCGTCGCCGGATTCGAACTCCCAGCAGCGTCGATCGTGCTTCTTGGCGGTGTCGACGGAGCCCGATTCAGAACACAAGGCGTGTGGATCGTTGTTACCGGAGTAGCTGAAGACTCCGCCGCCGTTGATTTCTCGGTGCCTGATACCTCCGCCGAAGATTCATCGCAGATTTGGTCCAATTTCTCCTGATCAGCCATCGTCGTCCCCAAATTTTTGGGCGGGACTTTCAACTTTTCTTTCTCCGAATCTTTTTTCCAAGTTTGACGATTTTTGATTCTTTTCTCGATAACAAACACTACGATCGCTTTTTATAGTACAGTGCCAACTGACGTCGTATGACTCAGTTACATCAACTTAACGCGAGGGGTACAATAGTAAATAACAGGATAGACCGTCTCTAGCTTTTTTTTTTTTTTTTTTTTTTTTTTTTTTTTATTTAAAAAAAAAAATCAACTAACAAAATATTTTAATCGATATTTGATAACTCGTTTGTAATTTCATTATTTTGATTTCTACTATTGTAAGACGTACGAATGTTGCCTTTGCTTTTCTTCTTGTAGCAAGTAGCAACTAATAAGAAATGAGGCAACAAACCATTAAGCAATGTAATTAAAAAAAAAAATCAAAAGAAAAAAATAAACTAAATTTTAATTACAAAAATGTAATTATTGTGGTAATTAAGTAAAAAAAAAAATTATAATGAAAAATACCATAATTAATCCTCTACACTCCTGTAATTATTGGAGTATTTTTTATTTTATTTTTATAGAAGAATCGTCTATATTTTCTGAACATTTTGCTTAATGGTTTTTATTAATAGAAGAATCATCTATATTCATGGTAAATATATGCATGATATGTAATTTTATTAATTTATCCAATCTCACAACATTAAATCCTATTTTTCAACATTTTGACTTATTCTTTTTTTTTTCTTCTTTTTTTCCCTTATGTACCATATATTAAATTTTATTAGTAAATGACATATTTGTTTAATTCGAAATAGATTTAAATGTTTTAAAGCAGTTTAAAAGGTTAATAAGTTATATTTTATTGAAATATATCATATGATATAATAATCTAAAATATTTATAGAAAGATATTATCTTTTTATAATTTTCTTGACCCCGGTCAAAAATTTATGGAAAAATGGGTACAAAATGAAACCACAATTTCTTTTTTTTTGGTAACCAACCACAATTTCTTTTGTTTCGTATTTCGACTTTTTTTTTTCAACATTGCATTGCTCTATAGTGAATATTACATACAGTGCATATATAATTTAATAATAATGTATGTATGTATGTCGGTTCGGCAACTCCTTTTCCTTTCTGGATTATACTTATCATATATATATATATATATATATATATATGGCATGATACGTAGTTTTGTTTATTTTATCAAATCTCAGAACAAAGATCACTTGCACACGTCTCGCGTTGCTAATTATGACTACAGCTGATGTCCCCTTACTCTTGCCGGTAACTTTCAGGAATCTAATTTCTTTTTCTCCAATTTATTGATTAACTCTTTATCTTTATTCTATATGCGGCCAATGGAAAAGGAATTTAGGTTTAGTTTTTTATGATTTTTAGGATCGAATTAAGGGTCTTTTGTTAATAATTATTCTGTAATAGTATATTCACAATTAACCATCATAGGGTTTCATCGGAGTCAAAGTATATATAGACGAAGGGGAATGATGATTTATAATTTTGACGTTTAATTAACCCCCCTTATCATTAATTAAAGATAAGGGGGAAAAATATAGAGCCTTGGAAGATCACAATGTCTTAAGAGCAGCAAAAAATAATTAGAAAGATTTTTATTCTTATGTGTAATATAAACTTGGTTATTCAAAAAAAGAAGAAACAAACTTGGGCTATTCATCCAATTTGATAGTCTCATGCTTGTATGTACGTATAGCCTAGTAATATAAATAAGTGTTATCCTTGTAATTATTAAATTAAGGTTAATGAGAACGATATTTGTGTTGTAGATGGAAGAAGACATGTTGAGAAAAAGAGAAGCGATGTGGAAACGTGGGATAAGACTCATCCTGAAGTGAGTACTGTCTTCTTTGTTTATATATATAAGCTTATTCGTTTGATTTTCTTAATAATGCATGCATGTCTTAATTTTTGGGTAAAATGAATGCATGGCAGGATGACTTCGGGAGTGGTCTACTCAATAGTGATGCATACTTTGCTCACCACCTCATTCACTTTGCTGATATTTCATATGTTCTATAGTACAAGGGGCTTTGATCTCATCCGGTTTATCAATGTGTTTGGCTTCTTCTTCTTTTACCTTATGTCATGCTTAGGAGAAATTGCAATGAGATATGCGTGTCACAATGTGGAGGAGCGGATGTGTGTCACAATGTTTGGGCATTTCACCCATCTGATGGGATGTGCTTTGCTCTCCCCATACATACTTACATTAAATCCTACTGCGGCTGTTGCCTTAAGTTTCCTAAGAGTTTTATTGTTTTTTTGGTGTTTTTTCATTTCATATTCCACTTGTCTTCCATCTCTTTTGTTTGATGATTCCTTAACCCCGTCATATGTTTAAGACTATTTACTGTTTATATATGTTGAATTTATTATGTAATTATTTCTTACGGTTTTTTTTTAATGAAAACTTGCAAGAATTTATCATTTTATTGATGTTTCCACACTACAAACAATCAGATTCATAATATATATACATCTTGTGGATCTTGTTAAAAGCAAGATGGGTCGACTAAACATGAAAGACGAACAAAGACATTTTTGTGCCAAATTTAACCGGTGAGAAGAAATGCTTTGTAATATTATGGTCTTTTGGACCGTCCACATACATCAATCAATATTAGCTATAACAATGTATAAAAGCCATTTCCTAACACTGAATAAAAGAAGTTGACCAATATCAGCTTTGGATACCACATCTTCTTGCAAGTATTGATTCTCGGAAAGTGATGAATCCCACAGAGAAGCCAAATGAGCATAAACCAAGGTAAAAGCTTAATGGTGATATGAAGACTATCAACATTAAGACTATACCAAACCCACTGAAAATAGATCCCACCTCAGCAAACCACTTTACAAGTGGAGGGACGTACGGAAGCTGAAGACACGATATATGCACCAGCATATGCCAATATAAAAATGATGAACTGGTCAACCGAAGTGAAGTCTTCCCAAAATCTGACAAATATCGCCATAAAATCTACTGCTTGAAGTCGGCAGCCACATTTTCTTTGTGCATCAATGAGGTAGCGGATTGGTATGAATGCCAAAGCTACTCCGGTCAGGAAGACTACCATTTCATGGCACCTTTTAACATAACTTGGCCATCGGTTCCTGTACGTAAACACAAAGTAATGAGAAAAGCTCTACATATATATGTGGTCAGATGTGAAGTATACGCATTGGTATGTTATATATACTTTTGGTTTTTAATAAAAATCCATAGTAAAAGAATAGAACAATAACAGCAACACCAAATAAGAAACAAGTCCATGTAAAAAAGGTAAAAAACAAAATTTAAATAAATTATAGTCTTACTGCATGTTTACATATATATAATATATTTAAATTTTGTTTTTTTACCTTTTTTACGTGGACTTTGGATTTGACCTTGTCTGTTTTCTACTTTTGCCCTTCTGAGCATTGAGTTCTGTCATCATAATATTGTCAGGTAAAATTGAAGGGTAATCAAAAGGATGTCGAGGAAGATTCAAGAACGGATACTATTACAATAAATTTCACATTTCACGATGGGACAGAAGCAAATCTTCCTTTTAGATTAGACCAAACCGTCAGAGACATCCACAGTGCCATTGAAGCGCGAAGACCATATGACAGGAGCGACTTCTTTCTCATGTCTAAAAATTCAGACGACTGCAAGGGTGCTAATATGGATACACCGGTCGCAAAATTTTGTAAAGGTTCTACAAGTTTCATGCAGGTCTATTATTAATAGCTTTGGTTTTATACAGTTATGATTGGTCAATGAAACAGAGAGATATGGAGGGAGAGAGAGGAATGTATATGACTTTAGAGATGATTCTTGTCTTGTATAGCAAGGAAAAAAAGTAGAACAGAGGAGCTTCATACTTGCTTTTTTTAAATAGGAATGGATAAACGAGAGAGTTCTTATAGCTTTGATTATGTACAGTTGTTACTGTGA